GCCGTTGCTCGTGGGGGGGCTCAAGGTGCTCGCACACGAACGAAGGGGGCGGTATGTGGACAACGCCACTCGAACGTGGATGGAGGATGCGTTGGACATGAATGATGAAGAGATGGGAGTGCGGATGTTTGAAGACATGGCGTGTAAGGATGCCACGTCACGACACGAGTCAGTTCGAGGCGCGGCGTTGAGAAGACTCAAGCTCTGGTTTCTTGAAAAAGACCCCACGGAATCGTTTGCAGGACTCGAGCGCGTGCTCGTAGGCGATGGCCAAGTGCGGTGGACGTCCCATGTGAATGCCCAACGCATCCGACGACGACAACACGAGCGACCCCACGAAACCAATAACTGGGGTAGTGGGGGGGGTAGTACTGATGGAGGATTTTACGTGTAGAAAAGGATAAGGGTGTTGATATGCATGTACAAGGTACCTAGTTTCGGATGGGCTTGTCCAATTTGTTTGCGCTGTAGTCACACTGTATGATCAAAGTGATGTGCGAAATTGCTGTTTTGTTTGGCAGGGGATTGATACCCTTGTATTGCACTAGTAGGACTACGTAGTATATACTATGGGAGATGGGTTTGAATCTAGTTCTAAAGTTACCGTGAACGTTATATATATGGAAGTTAACGTTATTCATAGTTCTGCGCAATCGCTCGGATTGGTCATTCTGAGTATACTTGTCGCTGATTCGCTAGATTGTATTTTGGCGGAAAAGAGCCAATCAAACGTCGTATAACCTTGTTACCTCGAAGTAACAGTTCGACGACTACTACTACGTAGTAATAACATTAGCTTTTGTGGTTTGTATTACTCGTTCTTCATCCCAGTTCTACATGCGTCCACATTCTCGAACCATGAACTACTACTATAAATCGTACAGAGTCCATCCACCCACGACCATCATTGGCTACCTGTACTGTAGTGGGATCGAACCACTGGGTGGGTATATGTATGTATATTGCGTTACCCCACTACTGTAGTTCACATACAGACAGCGCGGCTACTACTCCAATATAATTGGCGCGCGCAGCAGAGGCGACACGGGCGACATTTCACCCGTGTACTCAGCATTCGTCGACGTAGGGTGATGTGGCTGATACGACGCCATGATGGGAACGGTGCTAGCGGCGCTGGAAGCGGTGGTGCTCGTGCCTTCTCTCGGGTAGTAGTGCTGGCGATGGACTTGGCTGTACAGTTTAGTGTTGTGACCTCCCACAACGGAAGTCCCGGCCATAGACTCGCTGTAGTTAGACTGATCATCGGAACTGCACTGCGAAGTCCCATCAAAGGTCGAGTCGGCGCCCCACGTGGGACTGCTGCCCGATACTTGGTGTTTGACGGAGCTCCCGGTCGCCGCCTTGGCAGACGCCGCCGCCGCCGATTGGACTGATCCTCCTTTTAACGAACATGGAAAACAGCATTTCGCGGTGGTCATATTCGAGTTGTTGTTGGGCTTGACTGACCATGTCTTATTGCACTTGTGACACAGGACCTATATAAATTAATATTATCCCCATGGCGGTCAATAAGATACTACGACCAAAAAAGCCCCAGGTTTGTGGATTGCATGGATGTAATAGCATGCACTCACAAAAAATGGAATGCTACATAATAGCCTAGTGTCACGAATACATACAAGAGATCGTCTACACAATATAAATATATAATATGTATATATATATGTGTGCGTGTTATGTGTATATATATATATTATGTAAAAACGTATCTTTATATAAATATATGCACTACACATCACCCGCACATATATATATAGAAAATATTTTTTTAAACATATAACTTATAAAAGTAAAATATATAAATATGTACATACACACATAACACACACACACATATATATATATACATGCGGAATGCCCATGTGAATATATATATATATATACTGTAGTACCTCGCCGCACTTGACGCAGTTGGATTTCTTTCGCAACGGGCCAAAGCGTTTGTGGCACAGATAACACCGTTTTCTCAAATTCAACGGGCACAGTTGATCGGGGCGTAAGAAGGGCGACGCACTGAGCCGATCCTCTCGCAGGAATCGGTCGATGTCCGACAGGTTTCGGCACCACTGGATCACCGCCTGGTCGTTGGCCCACACTGGCACGATACCCTTGACGTCCATGTCCGCCAGGTACGTCATGTCCAAGTACCCTGGGCGGTCCGACTCAATGAAGACATGGCCCATGTCGTATTGGAAGGCGCGAATGAGATTCAGAGATTCGCGAAGGGATGGCACACAGGCTAACTCGACTGATTTGTAGGCGCGGACCCACGCCCGTTTGCCGTTAACTTGAAACTCCAAGTCCGACTAAAAAATGTATGTTGATTGTTTAGGGGGGAGGATGATATGGTGTCGATAGTCGTTGTCGTAGTAGTACACCAGACCTATATATATATATATGAAATATATACGGTATATATATATATATATATCAAGGCTGAAAGGCTATATGTTGTTGGGTCGAGAGTAGTTTATTCGACGTAACTCCCTTACAGAGTCGTCGTGGTCGGACGAGATTGATCAGACGTTGCAATTTGTCAAAATAGATATTCCATTATCTACCCATTCGATATAAAATCGATAAATACTTTTGAATACAAAATATGACAGTACAACACGAACAGTGTACGTATAAATGTGGTCTTTTTCTTTCCTCTTTTTACCTTTATTTTTTATTTCGAAAACCACATTAAGTACAAGGTAGCAAATGGTGTGTTCAAAATGATGGATTTCTCCCATATAAATATATATATATATATATTCGTTGTCACGTTGACTTTGTAAAAAACTGCCAATAAGGATAATCCCATTCCACATAGACATTGAAATTTGCGAGACAAGTCATAAACAGTATTCCTTGAGCTTTACAACATAACCAACATCCATAACATTAACGTGATGGGGTGTACCTCGAGAAGACAAAAGTCGCGCTTGGTTACGAGGCCATCAAACGGACTCTTGGCCACCATCCATTTGATTTGAATGCAATTGTTGGGCCGATCGGGATGACGTGGCAGAATCGTGTACAGTGTGATGGCATCAACCAAAGCGCGGCCAAAGCGCTGGACGTATTCCTTGGCTTGGGCAGTCGTGTCTGTGCGATACAATCGCATGACTTCGTCCAACTGGCCGACAGTTTCCATTGCCGCGCAGTGGATGTCGCTGTTGGCGGTGGTGCCCGTGCCTTCGCCCTTGTAGATCTTCAAGTCACACTCATTGGAGAGCATCGTCCACTTCACAGGTCCATCTCGAATTCTGGCTTTGGCCACCTATAGTTCAAAAAGCGGTTAGTGTTGCAGCTAGCTAGCTTAGGGCGGACGGACGACGTCCTACCAAGTCTTGCACGCTCTGCTTGGCGATCTCCAAGTATCGAGCATTGTCGTCGGGCGACAGTGGGGGACATTGAAAGAACCCTGGAGGCAGCGGAAGCTTGAGGGACATATCTACACTATGTTTCCGCCACCCAGATGCACAACTGCGAGCCTGAACCCTGTTGTTGTTGACCATCTGCTGCCATTCAGATCATAATAATACTATACTGTACGTACTTGGATTAGGTTGCGTCTAGTATTTCACACGAATGTGTGTCGTTGGTCCCATTATTTCAGTGACTCGAAATATGAGTCCCCGTCTACGTTGTGGACACGTATTGCTCGAAAATACATGAAAAAACCACTCGTTTTTATTCTAAAAGTACAATAAAAACGTCTTGTCAGGGGGCACTGGAACTTGGTGAGATGCGACACTTCTCCGGCCATTGCGGGCCAGGATTAAAGACACTCGAGAACATTCCCCAATTTTTTTACTTCGAAGTATTTATTTAAAAGTAGGACTGTTCAAATCTCAACAAACAGTGGAGAAATACTGGTTCTATCGAGGGTTTATACGAGACTTATACGTATATACTCTGTCACCACTGCTATGTAAGTGTAATAATCTCAGTGGTTAGAAATAGTTAACCAATGGTGCCTGAGGATTTCACGAGTACATAGGACAGAGTTCTACCAGGGAATAATACTCCACAACAATAGTTCCACGTTGCTTCCGTAATCATTTCCATTCAGTAGGGCTGTAACTTAACCTCGGAAAGATTCATGAACTACCGACATTGTTGTTTTGGCGTCGGTTTTACGTGGCTAAAAGAGTGGTACATCTGCTGTAACTGTGTTACAAGGTTGAATAAATACCTGGTGTTTTAGCTAATTCACTGGTGTTTTATAAGCTCCAAATAACTCTGAGCAATAATACTACGTAGTAATCACATGTGATGCTGAAGTGACCAAAACACCTTGGCTATTAATTCCATCGCGTAGTACACGCTACCTGCATGTACTATGCGATGGAACAGGAAGATGGCGTGGTTTTCTACGATGTGGTACACATACGTACATCGCTGTACGGTAGAACTTCGGCGCATGTCCTCGCTGTGTGTCATTTGTAATATCAAAAGTTGTTTATGGTGACCAGTGAATTGTGCAATTTGGTCCCGAGAATAATAGCAGATATAACTTCGATTTGCACTTTTCAAATGTGCAAACGCGATAAATGACCTAGTTACCTATAATTACGATCCTAAATCACGGTACGGATCACTGGGGTCGATGTAACAAACACCCAGGTTTATTTATGGTGTGAATAGCCAATACGAGTGAAAAGCACAATACGTGTTGGTTCATTTAAAAGCGCACCTCAAACATTGATGTAAATATCGCCCAAAAACACCTAACTTCAACTGCTTGAATACCGCCTGACCAGCTGTGCTGCTATTCCCGTAAGTTGCGTCACCAGATGTTAGCTATCGCTAACTGGTACAGGGGGTACAGTAGTAAAATGATAACTCCAACAACAATGAAATTGTTGATCTTAGATAATTAGACAGATCCGGGCTTGAAAATTATCCGGATGTATGACTGTGATACTAGTAATACGTAGTACTCCGAGTACTATGTGTCAAGTGGTGCTTTTCCTCGCCTGTGCTAACGCCTTCTATCAAGCCTCCCAAACTCTATCGCCTAGTGTATCAACTCTGACAGGCCGAGACAGTGGCCGCTTGATACTTGCATGTTCTGCATATTCTTCATGTCTCTACCCTACCCTAGTGATTGCTCACCCAATCACGGAGGAAAAGAGCGCTGATTCTCACACGTCAGTGTTTCCCTTTGGCTGAATTTTAGCCAATAGGAACGAAGCTAGATAGTCTCTCATTAAAACCATTCCACTGTTGTTTTGACCCGAAATACTGTTTCAATGAGATTTATATGGAACTTTGTATGCTTAGACCAACTCACTTCTTACTAGGGGTTAAGTGCATCTCAGTGGTTAGCAATAGCTAACCACTAGCGATGCAGTTAACCCCGGAGATTTAGCATCGTATGTACTCACCGGGGGTTGGACGGAGTCAAGCTACAGGGCTACTGGCGAAAACGTGTATCCGGATGTAATAATTCCCTCGTTGGAATAGTTTTTTGGGTCAAAACAACATTGGGACTGTTTTTATCAGGGAATTATTCAAACTTTGGTAAAATGAACCGCAAATCCATCCATAGATATTATTGGCCAAAAACATTTTGACCAAATATCATTATTAATAGCTGGTAGGCATGCCAGAAAACTGGAGGCTTTACGACATCATACATCCTATTCCTAAATCTTGTATCATTGCCACTATGAGTATATTATATTGGGGTAGCGTTACTTTGGTTTTGTGAAGGAAAGAGTTTAACGTTAAGCGCGTAGGAGTTCGAATACCCACGAGCGTGAATCGAGTCACTTCGACTACTACGAGTTAACTGTGAGTTCCACATAGTTACTGTACACCCTCGGCTGCTTAGAGAATGCTATGTGATGGCAATGCACCATATGGGAGATTTACTACCGGTACACGACGACTACTGTTTGTCGAGGCACTCTTGCGAAGGCAGAGTTGCAGGGTGTTCTTTAAATGAGTTTACTCGTGTATTTTATTAAGAAGGATAATAACTCCAATGCAAGCCAATTGTATTTTTCATCTTAACAATAAGTATATGCATTCCGAATCTGGGAATTGGCAGTGAGGACTTCGATTTCAAAGACTCCATTTAGGAATTTAGTATCGAGTATGCATCCAGAGCCCACTCTTGAGACTTCTGGAAACGACCGTTAACATCAAATGTCAAAGGAATCGCGAGAGCTATCAGCGTCACTCAATCGACAACACAGCATAGAGCTCTTCATACTAGTGGAGTCGGTTGTCGAGTGGATGGAAATCGATAGCGAAAGCTAGGACCACAGGCGCGGCATGTCCAGTTTCTGTCTGTAACTGGTAGTCAGAGTCGAAGTTAGACGTCCGGATAGTATCCGGAGATTACTTTTCTTGGCGAAGTGGTGCCAAAGCAGACACGAGAAAGCGCCTCGTCTGGACAGAGACTAACTACAACGTGTTTAGACAAATTGAAGTGTCCTACAACCTATCGTGAAGTGGCAGCGCCTACGAAAACACTGATAACTAATCAATCCATAAAAATATGGTTTTTATTGTATTTACTGTTAATAAAAAATAATCGAATACTATTAATAGTAACGTTATAAGAAAAAAAGTAGGAAATAGTCATCACACTAGGTTCTGCGGATTGTGATCTCAAAATTCTCTCTATTAGATAATATTGCGGCGCGGTAGGTTCCAGATCGATTCAACGAACGGCTCTCGGAAATTTAGAACCGACCTCACAAAACCCTCTTGTGAAAACAATACTTCTATACCGACTACCACTGTTTTCGTCGGGGAATTACACATTACGGATATACAGTATGCTCACTCTTCGGTTTAACTCACAACGCTCGAAGGGCATGGGCAACATGGACGTAGGCACGTGAAGCCACAACGATGATGGTGCATCTGACCTTTGACGGCCATTTCGATTGAATTGTTACTTTATTGTGTGTTATTCTCACTTTCGAAGGCAATTTGTTTAACCCTATATGACGTTTCGCCATTGCAATTTAATTGGTTGAGATTGATTTGCCACTGTACGGAGTAACGAGTTACTGGAGACTTTGCTTGGTCATGTCAAAGTAACCCCCGCCCTGATGATCTCTTGAGAGGACAACGGTGGGTGGGGCAACGGCAATAGCAACTTGGACGACATTTAGACCCGCTCGTAATATTATTAATATGGCCTCACAGTCAGTACTGTTTTCGGCGAACTTTCGTTGGCTTCATTGTGCCAACATTCTGGAGCTGTCTAATATTATCGATATACGTAGTTATACAATGTTAACGGATGTCGAGTCACTGGAATGGATAACGAGCATAACACGAAGGGCACTCTCGTTGTTGTGCATTTGCCGTTGCCATGTCACTAAAAATAACATAAAATGGACATTTTTCCAAGAAAAGTTGCTGCAATCACAAAACTATATTACTTTATCAGTACTCCATTTTTCGAGATTTTGTACGTCTGGATGGATCTTACCAAAGTTTAAAAGTACTTAGTACAGTACTATGCTCCAAATTTCTTGAGAAGGGTGGTTTATGGCATAATAAAAATGGAACGATTTGGTCCAAGTTTTTTTGAGGTTTATGTTCACGTTGAAGTCTTGCACTTCGAACCCAAAATTGGCAAATCCTTGATGACTAACGTTGCCTCTATAAATGCAGTCGGATTACGATTTGCTATGTTAATCCCAGCAATAAATATACTAGCGTTAGTACTGTCTGGGTTCAAAGTATATCTTTAATATTGACCAATCATAGAGATGTCCGTGAGTTGCAAGGGCGTTGCAACTCTTTGGTTCAAGAATTCAGATCTGTTTCTTATCTCCACCTCCCCAACTGAATCCAGCGATGTATGCCACCAGCTCCTCAACCACCATTCCATCACGGAGCAAACATAATTCCATGGTATGTACAGTATCGAAGCAACCAACTGAGTTTTCGTATACAGTACTGTAAGCCAGTGTTAGAGCCAGCAACTATTTTCCGCTGGAGCACTTCCTGTAGGTAACAACACGATTCTAACAACGTACATGTAGTGTGAAACCTATTTCCAAAGGGTTCATCGTATTCCCGCGTTAAAAGTTTACTCGAAAATAGCTTCGTTTGGCCACGTCTTTTCGCTGTTCAAAGTGCCGTTCGAATAACATGATACTCCAGTACAAACTCACACCGCACGTCGTAACTCACGATGCTTCACATAGTTAAGAGTGCAATTGAACCCCATTTTAAGGTGCTCAGTCTATTTTACGGTGCACGATGCTTATTGTTAATTAGCACATATAGAGGCAGTTTGCACTTAGGTATATTCTTTTAATATGACGCTTAACTATAATACTAAAGTTAGTAACTTTAGTGCACCTTCAACTTGAAACAAAGTGTTCTCACTTAATAAAATAAAGATTAAAAAAACGGAAGTTGGACTTTTACACTGGTTGTTGGTTGAAGGTACGGTTAATCGTTTCACATCGTCGTTACTAGGTACTAGTAGTATCTGGAGCATGGTCAATAGTGCAACTTGAACTTGGTGATATAATTGCCGCATTCAACCATCTTTGCAGCATATCCCACCACCATCTCCCCTTCCATTAGTCAACTCGATCGTCATGGCTACCCTCAACGACTCTCGACTGTTCGACGCTGTCGCAGCGGGGACTCTGCGCCAAGTTGTGGACCTCGTCGCTCAACCGCTTACGAATGTGAACGACACGAAGCGTATCAACAAGGTAGTACCTTCGTACCTACCTACCTTCGAATCACTTTCTCGCTTCGAATTCAGGTGCTGTACACACCGCTGATGCTCGCCGCCGAGCTCGGCTACGTCGATATCGTCAAGACTCTCCTAAATCGGCCAGACATTCAACTGAATCGACCGAGTGCTAGTGATGTCAAGGTAACTACTATGTAGTCTCTCAACCACATTCACCTCTCCCGACAATGCAATTGCCACGAACGCGATCGATAGAAAACGCCAACGCCGTTGATACTCGCGGCAACCAAAGGACATTTGGATGTAGTGCTAGCCCTCCTAGCTCATCCAGACGTGGATGTGAATGTTTCCATGGAGGTAGGTTTGAATGATTGTCCTTTTAAAATGCAAAGTGTGGTTGACATTTTGTGCTGCGTTGCCAAATCAATCTCGATCGATTTTCGATCTACTTTTTTAATACTGACTTTTGTATGGAAAACGTAGTCTAGTCGTGGTGATTGTAATAATTACACTAATAGAAGTCTCACACGAATTACATGTTGATGACTGTTTCCATTTGATTGGCTCAATTCTTCTGCGGATAAACCCAGCCAGTATGAGTATTATTACTTGCTGCGGATAAAACTGTATGTTGATAAGTCCTAACGATTCTGTTGCAGAGAAACATCACAGCAATTCAGAACGCCGCCGCCAACGGATACCTGGACATTGTCGCAGCTTTGTGGCCCGGGGCGAACCTCCTCAGCCAGCGTCGAGTAAGTTACTAGTTAAACCCCAAATGTCCACGATAGTTAATCAAGTGGTAGAGCTTGGATGCCGCGCTGCGTGGCCAGAAATTCGAAGTCGTCGCGCACATGGTCGAAGCGGGCGTTGAATACGAGCCGACGTTTCGGGTATACATATTGCCGTTTTACCCAATAAAGTGTGGCTGACTTTTGGGCTGATTCTTTGCCAACTCTATCGATCGATTCCTTGTCCTGACTTTTGTATGCAAAGATCGCCGCCTCGTATCACACTAATTTCAGTCACCCACGAATTCGGTGTTGAATTGAATTTGATTGGCCGCTTGATTCGTGTTCTGGGTTTTGATTGGTCGATATATCATCGATTGTCTGTCGATTTGGTGGTGCTGCTCGTTCGATTGACAACCCCACTCCCATTTCGAATATATCGAATATATATATATATATATATATATATCCTAACAACATGATTGTTGTTTCTACGTACCGGTAGTAGTAACGACTCAGTTTTATCGTCTTTCTTTTACCCCAAACGTGGACTTTTGTGCAAATCTATCGATTCTGTATGGATTTTAAGGATGTACTTGAAGTAAAAAGTTGTTTGAAATCACACTAATTTCAGTCACACACTGGTTTCCTGGATTGGCTAAATAGTGATTCTTGTGTAATAACCCATATGACAGCTCCAATTTAGAGTACTATATAGGGCAAACTCCTGTTGGAGTACGTGGCGCCATACTTGACGTTGGACGGCCTCGTGTTGATGTTGGCCAATGATTTGCCCATCATCATCGTAAGCGACCTTGACGCCAACACCACCAACGACCAACTTGGTGACCCTCGCGTCGTGCCGAACCCAGACCACCGGTACTCGTGGGCAGCATTTCTCGATCCATCCATGATCACTGTGAACGATGCCATCGCCAAGGAAGCGGTGGCTTCCGCCATCTTCGACTTGGTTGCCAAGGACATGCGAATCCCGCGGGAGGTCGTGGTGCGGGCACTCGTGACGACCTCCACAGACCAGCACGGCCGCCCGGTGCTGTCGGTGGCCGATCCCTTCATCGCCGCCTTCCTTATGGGCCAGCTGTACTTTGCCAACCGATACGAGATCGCAGACGGACCTCCCGTGCACGTGAGTGCTACGTCGGTGGTTGTGCTCGCAATCGATCACGGGTTGTGCAGTCAGTTGTATGACGAGTACAAAGACGAGGGAATGCTTTATTTGGACGGATTCATAGCGTGCAATTCGATTCTGTGCCAGTTGTTGGCCACCACATCGCCGCTAACACGATCTCGACCTCGTGTATCGCATGGGTTTGGAACCGGACCGCCGCCGCCGCCATCTACTGCCGCGGCATATGGTTATGGTCGATGCGATACTGTGTTACTACCTCCGGTATGTACATATATTGTAGACGACACACTTGATCTATAGTTATTTTCGTCGTCGTGGTGGATCTCTAACAATACTTTGAAAACTAGAATGACGACGACATGATGACAACATGGACCAAAGCATTCGAGCTGTGGGATTCGGATCCACCTGATGATGCTGGGGGCAGTGGCGGCGGTGGCCTCTCTAGTCATACGTTTCGACGATACTGCGACCAAACGTACGGAGTGCAGCTGCATGTAGCGCTCAAGTTTATGAAACATGAAGACAGCTACCGCCGCGAAATCTCACAGCGTCGGCATGTCCATGCCAAGTACATCCTTCCGCTACTGCCTTCGTTCGCACTCGATGACGATGACGTGGCATCCCCGACGACGACTAGCCATCACGTGACGTGCTCTTCTGTTGGCAAGGGCCAAACGCTGTCCTTGGCAGACTATCCCCATGTAGTCGCCATGCCAGCTGGAGACCGCACTCTGCATGACATCCTAGTCAAAGAACGGCCCGGCCGCGGCGATATCCAAGCCATGTTGCTGAATGTCGCGCAATGTTTAGCGCATTTGCATGGCTGTGGGATTGTCCACGGTGATGTCAAAGCCCTCAACGTCCTTCGAGTGCACCACCAGCTAAAACTGATCGATTTGGACGCGGCTACCCCCGTCGGCGAGTTTTTTCAGCGATCCACGTGCACCTCGGGAATCCTGCCACCAGGTACGTCGTACTACAACGTGCCACGTCATATACGAGATTGGGATGATGCGTCGGATATTGTCACACTTTTGAAATGTCGAATTGTTACACGTTCGAAATGTCACATGTCACATGTCACACTTTTGACATGTCGGGTTTTGTATTATCACATATTTGAAATGTCGGGTTTGTATTATCACATATTTGAAATGTCCATGATTGCATGAATGAATTTACGTACACATTCGTTGGTACGTATTTGTATCACATGGTTGAGATGTCTATTTCACACCCTCCAGATGTCCACCGTGGCCCTCCTCCCTGATCTCGTCGAGGCAGTGACTGCGTTGTTGTATGTTGTCATGGACATTGTGTATCTCACACATTTGAAATGTCTTCCTGTAGAAATGTTTGTGCATCTCGACACCACGACCGCCATGCGCCAACACTACGAAGCGTACTGCCGCCAAGCTGGAGATGCGACTGGTGCTGCTGCTATGTGGCGTCAACATCGTCCCAGATCGGGGTACGTCGTTCGACTGGACCCTGTCGCAGACTCTCAGCCATCACAGCCGAACAACTCTGTGGAACTACCGTACGCGTTGATTCCCATGTCTCCGTCGATGGACATTTGGGCGTTTGGGTGTCTCGTGTACTTGCTTGTGACAGGGTTACACCTCGTTCCCACGGATATCCATCTCAACATCCCAGCAGAATACATGGCCGTAGCTGCGACATGGACAGATTTGGCGTTGGATGTGAAACTTGAGGCAAATGTCGACGATATCGCAGCCAGAGATTTACTGCGTCGGCTCCTGCGGGTGGACCCCGCGCACCGAATATCCATGGCGGCGGCGCTAGATCATCCGTATTTCACAGCCCAAACTTGCGACAACGTGTCATTGGATGATGGCGGCGACAAGGCATTCTGTACGATCGAGGAGACGAAACCGCCCACGGTGTCACATATCCCAGACAAAAAGCATGTCCATGCAGCTTGTGATTACGACGACATAGCTCTGAAATGTCGTGAGCCATCTCCTTCGTTGGTGGTGGAAACATCCCCCCTTGTCACACCCACACAAGCCACGAACGCGGAACAGTGTCGCAGCCACCCAACTTTGTCGAAACAAAACACCATGTTGGTCGATCATGATCCTCATCTGACACGACCCCATCCCGACGAATCATCCCCGTCGTTTGTGCTGTTGCCCATGTCCCGAGTCCATGCGATACCGTTCGTAGGCAACGACGCCGCCATCTGGACTTCATTTGTCAGCCATTTCCACTCGACATGCCACGCTGTCGCAGCTGCCATGGCGGCCGGCCTCCCCATCGATGCACCGCTGAAACAGCTCAACCACGGCCACAGCTTGTACTTGTATCTGCTCGACGATGTCACAGGAGACCTCGTCCCAACTGCGACAACGTCCAACTCGGCAGCGTCATCATCAGTGTACCCTATCGAAATCCGGCCCACAGACTTGGAGTTTTTAGCCATGAGTTTGCCGCTGGCGCTAGCTGGCTTGGCTACGTTTAGTCGACACCATCAACAGCAGCAGAGACTGCTACTGACGGTGGCGGGGAACCACGGGGCCCTTGCCGATGGAATCGTCGCCACGACGACGAGTACTAGTACTAGTACTACTAGTACCAGTCTCCCGGAGATCCAGTCAGTGACGTTTGGCGCAATGTGGCGGGCGATACGAGGCGACTCGGCTGTGACACCGTTGCATGTTCGACAAGCTGTACTGCACGCAGTAACCAGGTGGTTTCACGCCCGAGACCCCCGCCATACGTTTGGGGGGCTCACGCGCACTTGGACTGAGCATGGGGACGTTGTGTGGACAGCCAAGGTGGAGGAGCTGGTTATACTAGCTACACAAGAAACCAAGTCTCAACACGACGACGACCGCCACCACCTGACGATGCAAAAGCTCCTGCGACAAGTGCTCGCGAGTGAGTCTGGCCACAATACTGACATGTGTGACAAGGTGGCGCCGCCAGTTCCAATTGTCGCCACGTTCAGTGGAGCAAGCTGCAGCCCCGACCAATGCGTGGTCATGTAGAAGTGTAATTTTTTAGTCATGTTTGAGGGAATTAAATATAAAACCTACTGTAGTAGTCCTAGTAATAAGTACTATAATACGTTGTATAACGTTACTATAGTTTGTCACAAGGTTAAATGGATTCGAATGCTATTTGGCGAAGTCACACATTCACAAGTCCAAATGTGGGTGAAAAAATGCACAATAGTATAGAAATCTCAAGTCGATTGGATACAATTGTAATAATAATTCAAATAATATATGACCACGTCATCTCAAATCAAGTACGACTTTGAAGTAGTACACTTCAAAGCAGCATGCAATATTGTAAATACGAACAAATAAACGTTAGAGTGTATGAATACTATGATGCCAAAAGTAGTACAATTGTACTCTACAGTACTACAACGAGGAGCGCCATCGTCCCCCAAGGTACTACTGCACACACCAAAAAAAGCCCGCAAGAAGTCAGCCAACCAAGATGCCATGACTGCCTCCAAGTAGATACTAGTTAATTGCACTAGTAGGTTGCTGTTCTTGGAACTCAACCCTATGAAGTATAATGTACATATACTTCTCACCCCCAAGGTACTGTACAGTACAGTAATCCAGTCGTCTCTTGGCAGTGACATATATATATATATAATATTTACAGTAGTACTTCATACATCATTGGACAAGGTTTTGATAATATTGTTGACTAGGGTTACGTCAAGAGGTGACGCTGGGCGGCCGCGCGCACGATGCCTTCCCGCGTCCTATCATCGCTCGTTGTTGCTACTTGTACATCAAAGTATCGATGGGCTACAACTTGGTCCATAGACAGGCGTTGAGACGGGTCCACCACGAGCAACTTGCACAGCAACTCCCGAGCCACGTCATCGAAAACACTCTCGTGGATGTACTTGTGTAGGGCTTGGTCCGTCCACGTCGCAGCCATACGTTTAAAGCGGGGTAAAATCTCTTGATCCCGATTGGTCGGCACTAGTTGCATGCCCGAGACCATCTCAAACATCAGACACCCCAACGCCCATGCATCCTGCGCCGGCGACGACGTAACCAACTGGTACGGAAGCATCATGTGATGGTCTTGGTCGTCGGGTACAATATGGCGAAACGACCGCACGACCACGTTCGAGTGCGGCTGCAGCAGGTCGTCGTCCTTGAAACCACCGACGGTGTGCCAATATGACACGTATTGCGCGTACTCGGCGTCGTTGGCAAGCATATAAAACATTTCTACATGCCACAAATGGATTATTATATATATATATATATATATATATATATATATATATATATATATACGTTATATGAACAGACGTGGATGGATGGACGCAACACACAACTAAAATATATGCCTATACAATACCCTTTCCATATAATACTAGTATTGTATAAGTACTCCAAAGTATATATATATATATATATATATATATATATATATATATATATAGAGAGAGAGAGAGAGAGAGAGAGAAATGGCCCAAAAATATTCAAACAACAGCTCACAACTCGCATTGGCTCGCATTGGTTGTTGAGATGCGACAATTCCTTGTTGCATGGCCATGAGTGTATGTATATATATATACTTCGAAATAATACATCTAATATATATATATATATATGGCCTCGATATGCAGCGAAAAACGTCGATCGATCTCAAAACGTTCAGTCGTACGTACCTCTATATATATAATAAATATAAACTCTATCGAATCAATCACATACATACATCGCTATGCACAAATTTGTTTTAAATCGTCCATCCAACTTACCAGGAGGTAAAATGCCCGATGTAAACTTGGCGTTGCCCAAAGCTGGCGTGCCCACTTTAGTAGTCGCGGCCAAATCGATCAGTTTCACGTGACTGTATCGCAGGATGTTGTCCATGGTCACGTTTCCATGCACGAGGCCCTTGTTGTGCAAATGCCAAAGGGCCGCAGCCACTTGTCGCAGATAGCGGCATGTGTCGGATGGACGGGGTCGTTCATGGCGGAAGATGTCGGCAAGGCTGCGGCTGCCTGCGGGGAGGACGAGGGCATGTGGATATGATGCCAGGTCGATGGATGTGCCTGAGAGGGGAAGGGAGTGCAGGACACTTAGGTTCTTGGGATTAGGCACCAACCCAACAACGTAGTCGCAGCTCAGTCCGCGTCGGCACTCAAGTTCGTTCAAGTAGTCGGCATGATGTTTTACAAATTTGATTGCTACTTGCACGTGGGGGCCATACGTTTGTTCGCAAAAGCTGCGAAATGTAAGCCAGTCCATACAATCAGTGCCTGTGACCGACGTCAGGTCGTGAAAGGCGTCAATTGTCACCTAAAGAATCAAAAGAGATAAAAATATCGAAATTGAATATTATCGATTTGATATACAAATTAATTTGAGGACGGGGTGCAATCGAATAATCGCGCAAACCGATCCACAATCGATCGGATTGGTGGTTGAATTTCATTGACAAGGTTTTGATTGGTTCATAATTTTGAGCTCATCTGAAGTAGCCAATCAAATCGATTCAAATTCCAACGAGAAACCAACACGACATTTCACTAAAAAGCACAATACTATAGTATGCCTTTAAATTGGCAACCACAAAAACTTTTAATGTCCTAAAAACGCTATATGAAACACACAACCTTTTTGCATACTAACTAGTACATACAAGGTGAAAAGAAGAATAAAAAAATACACTTGTGAATATATATATATATATATATATATATATATATTTGCACCTTTGTTCAAATACGTACTAGTAGACTATTATATATATATATATATATATATATATATATATGCAGCAGTAGCACCATCCATAATCGTACCTTGCCGTCCAACAAAGCCGAGGTCACGTTGTGGAGGGTTTGAATGCATGACAGAAACTTGTCTTCATTCAAGAAGCCGCCGCCGTCGGCAGCGTCGGCGTAATCTTCAAACACTTGGCTGTACATGCCGTGGTCGGTGGCTTGTACCACTACTGACGTGGCACTCTGGTGGACTGGCGGGCCGTCGGCAATTTCGTACCGATGGCCAAAGTACAACTGACGCTTCAAGTACATTGCCACGGAATGGTCGGCCGTGGCCAGAACAGACCGATTGTGTTTGTCCTTGGAATCTACCAGTGCTCGCACCACTTGTTCTCGTGTGAGTGGACGAACCGTAGGGCTACTAGTAGTATTACTAGTAGTAGTACTACTAGCCACGAACAAGTCCACAATTTGCATCGCGATGGCTTCCTTGGCGATCGAGTCGTTCACTTGAACGACGGAAGGATCTAAGAACGCAGCCCACGAAAACTGGTGGTCTGGGTTGGCCACCACCACGAGTTGCTTGGCAAGTTCGTCTCGAACTTCGAAGTCGGTTTCTTCGATTGTCATGATTGGAAGGTCCTTGGACAGCATGTACACCAGGCCCGACGCGGACAAGTACGGTGCCACGTATTCTAATAGGAGGGATCCCTAAAAAATTTATTTATATATCATGAACCAGTCCTCTATATATTGATCGTTTGAACACAAGGGGGAGAAATATAATATATTTTTTGACAAAAAATTATAATATATATATATCATGGACCAGTCCTCTATATATTGATCGTTGAAAAATAGGGCGAGAAATATAATATATTTTTTGACAAAAAAAATATATATATATCATGAACCAGTCCTCTATATATTGATCGTTTGAACACAAGGGGGAGAAATATAATATATATTTTGTTAATATTTACCTGGAATGCCACGTCAAACTCGACTCGTTTTTCAATAAACGACGCCACCATCTCGTATTTGCGACCTTCCAACAGCGCGTTTAAACTCTGGAGACAAAAAAAGTTAGCAAAAAAACGTATTTCTCTGTCGCAAAAAAAAACGTTTTTTGTTTCCAGCCGATATCAGACACATACCCGACGTTTGGTCAAATCGTTCGCGAACGGCCACAACGCATCGACAACATCCACATGGCCTCTCGTACAAGCATATTGGAGCGCAGTGACATTCCTCTAAGAACGCAGCATGAGCTTGCGTGCGACGTAGGACGGAGGGTGTTCTATGTGACTACCTCCATCGTAGCATTCACATCCACTTGCGGCATGTCCAAGAGAGCTTTCACAACGTCTATATGACCATGCAACGACGCCAGGTGCAACGGCGTCGGTGATTTCTATACGCGACCATGAGGTTTCGTTTTGAGAATGACAAGGGCCGTAGAAACCGTACCTTGGCATTGATGACACGGTTGACTTGAGTCTCTGGCCGCGCCAAGAGAATCCGGACGATGTCTGCTTTGCCCAGCTCGGCAGCGAGCATCAACGGCGTGTACAGGACCTACGTATCCGAGGGTCACAGCGTTGGACATTGAGAGTGGCTTGTTACCCTGTTGATCAGCTTGGTGCCATTCACATAGACATCGTGGAGCTTGAGTGCCGTGAGGACTAGCTCTGGTTGTCCATTGGAGATGGCCGCGAAGAGGTCACTTGTCGTCATGATGGTGTGCGAAGAGTATGTAGTTGTACTTGCACGATGAATTCGAATGTGAGCGAGATCTGCAACGTCATGTCTTTTTTATTTGTTTGTTTTTCACGACATACATTAACCAAATGGCTACTCGACTTCGTCCCAAATTATTTCAAAAATAGTAGTATACTTCAAAGATTGATATTGATAATACTAGTAGGTACGACTAGCGGAATGTATGTCGAAAGTGCACGTGTACCAGCAATAAAATGTCAACAGTACTCTCAATCTCATGTATACTAGTAGTATGTATGTATGTACTGATGACACTGATCGTGATAACGCTAACGTTAGACAATAAGTACCTAGAAGCAATCATGGTGGAAAGGGATGGATGGCAAGTACATTTGACTTCGAAGAGCTTGTACTCAATGTTGGAAAGGAGGTCAGGAGTACTGTAAACGCAGTCTCACTGTAGTACGTACTACAATGTACTGTACAGTTGACGAGTGGAGGTCCTGGCCTGAATACAGTACATATATATCTGTCGCACTACAGTACTGTAACTCTGAAGTGTTTTCACTGGTGGTGGTCAACCATCATTCACCACTGCGATTGAATGGTTATGGAGCTAATTATTACTCTAGCGTTATTTCAACTCGTTCAGTGAGGATGTACTTACTACACGGAGAAGTGTCGAAAGGCATGATGCACAAAACAAATCGTTAAAGATCCATATTACTTCGAAGTAAGGTTGAACTACACAACGATGCAAATCCCCCTGCTACTGTACCCATCATTCGCGAAGAACACTTTGAACAGTGTATACTCGTACCGCGTGTGAATGCACTTTCCATAATTTCATACTACTTAGTACTAGTACAAACGAGGTGGGGAATCCGCCGGAGCGCACTGTACAGTAAGTACTACAGTACATAGGACTCGGGAGTACTAGTACCAATATACATGTATTTATAACATCATGCATGACAACTATTAATACTCAGCCAATCAGTGACAAGAAATTTCACATTATCGAATCAGAGGGTCGTACGAAACTCACAATCAGATTTACTTGTAAACTAGTAGTAGTATACTAGTACGTATATATCAAACTCACTGATAATCACTCGGAGAACTGGACGTACTGTACAGTGCACTTTACTCTTGCCTTCAATATGGACCACTACTACATAGAAGTAAGTGGGTTGCTAGCAACTTGCTACGTGGACAAGATAATAAATGGAATGTTTTACAGACTAATTATAGTAGTACTGCAGTTCATAACGCGAGCAATTCGTGGTTGCCAAGTAGCAAGTCGACCAATTTCAATAGGACAAGATGGTTCGTCCATCAACAGTATACGAGGTCAAGAATTTCTTCAGCAAACGACAAATTCTACTATTAATACTTGGAAGTGTAATACTACTACTAGTATAAATAAAGTACTTGTACAAAGTTACAATCAGTACTGCGTACTGTAGTTGTACGTATACTAACTACTAGTATTACGCTGTACAGATTGTAGTACAAGTACTATTAATACTTCAAGTACGTATACAATACTATAGTACCTATTAATACTTCTGTACTGTACTTACAGTAATAAAATCACAGTGAAATTCTGTTCAAATTTGATTTTCGTTCATTTTAGCGAATCATAGGGAATGTAGCTGTAGATAGGCTTGTGATTGGTGCAAATAAGCCAATCAAATCCGTTGACCCTCTGAAAAATCGTCCAAGTCTGACCTCGAGGTGGGCGTATACTGTAGCACGCAGAACAACGCCACCGCCGCCGCCGTCGCGATGTCCTTGTCATGCCAAACTAGTGATGATGTGGTTGACAAGGTCTCGTCTGAGGTTCATTTACAGCGAACAGATGTGTAGATGTCAGTCACCTTACGACCCTAAAAGGGTTGCAGTGGATGTACAGTGTACATACTGTACATGGAAGGGGAGGTTGAGTTGGAGGTCATTTTCGAAATCCGACCGCTGAGCAGACGACGATATGGTGCCACCGATCCCTCGGGAATTGACGGAAGAAGACAAGCTGTTCCAGGCGGTCATGGACAGGAACGTCGACGCATTGAACGCGATTCTCAAGGCGGGCAAAGTGAACGTGAATGCCATGAAGCCCGTCGACATGGTACGTACGAGAAGAAGACAGATACACGGACGTGACCGGCCTTCCCTAGATCCAGTCGACCGTGCTCTACGTGGCGGCATTGTACCCATGCATGGCTATCGTCCAGTCGCTGCTCGCGGTCCCAACGATCGATGTCAACTTGCCCAACCGAATCCACAAGGTATGTCCTCCAGCATCATCCGATTCGGACAACGGCATACGAAGTAACGTTATGCATTGAAACCCCTACCATGTTGCCGTAGAATGCGACCACTCCATTGATGCGCTCGATCCAGAAAGGCAACTTGGACATCGCCGACGTCCTCATTAGCCGACACGACACCATGTGCAACGCTGTCACAGACGTCCGTCCCACCATCGTCGTCGATATGTCTTGCACCTCACCACCATTGGTTGTCGTGTGTAGAAAGGCAAGTCAGTCGCGACGGAAGTGGCGTCTTACAACCGAGCGGCGATCGTGCCCAAGCTGTGGCCCCGCCTCAGCCCCGCGCTGCGCGCCAAGGTACCCTCCATCATCTCCATCTCCACGTCGTGACCATGCATGTGTGGATCGATATTAGTGCATGTCCGAAGCGTTAAAGGCCAAGAGCTTTGAAGTTGTGGCGGCGCTCATCGAAGTCGGGTGCAGCTTTGAAGTGACGTACAACAACAGTGTACGTGCTGTGGGATGATATATATGGGAATTTATATGCAAGGGTTGTCGTTCATACACTATTTGATGTCATGCATCACTTTCACACTAATTAGGTTCTTGTCAAAATCCCACGATGCAAAAGGACAGTTGAACAATGGATTCAAATCATCATCCCCTTGTTTCGTGGATATTTGAATATATATATATATATATATATATATATATACGATACAGTAATACAGTAGTATATGCAGCTACATTTTAGGTCAAGATGTGTATATTCGTTTTAGCCAATCATAAGGTTATCTTCATTGTTTTTTAGCCAATCATAAATCCACCTTCATTCTATATTTTTAGCCAATCCGACTGCTTGGTTCGCTTTGTACTAGTAACAACATTGGCAACATTTAGGCGAATTAAATAGGAACAAATCACACTAATTTCCGTCCCACACCAATTCACGACCACATTGCAACCCCAACATTCGTAGGATGCGCTCTTGATTGCGGCCGTGGCCAAACATGTGACTATCCAAGGGCTCGTGGGACTATTGCTGCAGGACCTTCCGTTCTTGGTCGTAGACGACGACGACGACATCATCGCAGACAACCCCGAGTACATGGGATCATGGAGTGCATTCGTGCTGCCGGGGCTTCGAGTCAGCGACGACGTTCGCAAAGAAGTCGTGATCGACACGTTGCTCAGCCACGCGACGTTTCACCGCGTACCTCGACAGATATTGCTAGAGCAATTTGTGTACGCCAAGGACATTCATGGCCGCACTGCGTTTGACACAACCGAGACCAGCGTCAAGGAGCATCTCCAGCGGCTGTTCTTCTTCATGCAGCGCTACGAGTTTGTGCCAGGGCCGGCCGCGCACGTGAGCGCGACGTCCGTCGTCCGACTGGCTTATGATCATGGCATTTGCCACCAAGTTTTTCACGAACTTGCCGACCAACTCAACGTGTGCCTCACGTTAAAGCAGTTCCGACAGGTGAATGTCACACTTACCCAAGTGTGCAGCCAACACGAACGTCCCCATCGTCGGCGGGAGGTACGATTCCATCACACGAATTGTTACTTCGATCTATCACGAATTATTTAAAATAATTGATGGTTTAGCAAACCACTGCCTTAACCACTAGACTATTTGGCCTCGTTCGAGTATATATATATATATATATATATATTTGACCGATTAAAGTGTGCACTTTATTTGGTGCGGATTGGCGTTATATATATATATATTAATACATTTGACCGATTAAAGTGTGCACTTTATTTGGATTGGCGTTTGCGAAATCTATTTCCATCGATTCTTGAACGTAATATTGACTTTTGTATATGTTAACAAATCATCGGGCATCACAGTACATTGTGATGTGGATTTGGTCGAATTGAGTGTTTGGATTTGATTGGCTACTTGATTCATGATCTGGGTTTTGATTGGTCGTATATCGATATATAATGTCTGCCGATTTGGTTCTTCTGCTGCTCATTCGATGATTGAACACCCAAACACCAATGGATCTGTGACATTGTGTCTAAAATAAACCAAGGTTTAAACGTATATATCTAGAAAATAAACCAAGGTTTAAACGTATCTATATGTGACAACGTTCAAGATCATGTTTGGTCCATCTATTGAGTAGTCAATCCTATTACAACCTTGCTTCGTTCAAGATTCAATCCTCCTTTTTTGTGTGTACCGTATCCCCAACAAATATATATTTTCACTCGAAAGCACAATATATATATATATTGTGCTTTCGAGTGAAATTTCATTGTGTTGTGGTTTCTCGTTGGAATTTAAATCGATTGGATTGGCTACCTCAGACAACCTCAAAATTATATTAGCCAATCAAAACCTTGTCAATGAAATTCAACAACCAATCAGATCGATTGTGGATCGGTCAGCGCAACGATTCGATTGCACCCCGTCCCCAAATTAATTTGTGTATCAAATCGACAATATATAATAATCGTACATTCATTCTACACTGAATATATATCCAATCAATATATCTACAACCACTAACTATTACTATTACTACTACATAGATGCAGGCACCACCTGTCCTGGACGACGCTAGCTTAGTCGACAAGTGGGATGCACATTTCGAGTACTTTGCCAAGGACTTTCCAGGGTACATGACCGAAGCTGAGTTTAAAAAGTTTTGCGACATGCAATACGGCCGCAAGATCCAAGTGGCGCTCAAGTTTATGCGGCGAGAGGAGGATTATACAAAGGAAGTGGAGGTGCGGCGCCTCATATCCACCCGCGGCCACGTGTCCAAGTATATGCTCAATATGCTGCCGTCGCCCAGCCCCGACGAGTTTGAGCGCGCTGTGGGGTCGCTCTCAGTGAACAACGACCAGCTTTCATTGGCCGATTTCAAGCACGTGCTGGTTCTACCGGCGGCCGATCGCAGCTTGGAAGATATATTCTTCAAAGAACGACCCAGCGCCAACCTCATTCGGTTCCTTCTCGAAGAAGCCGCCCACGCCCTCCGACTCCTCCATTCATGGGATATCATGCACGGCGATGTGAAAAAGCTCAATTTTGTGCGTGTAAAGCACCAGCTCAAGTTGATTGACCTGGATGCTGCCACAGTCATGAATACTATGATGGGGTCCAAGTTTTCATCGGGCGTGTTGCCCCCAGGTATATATATATATATATATATATACTAGATTTAGATGGATACTGTATGTTGCACGCGATTTGGATATATATATATATATATACTGGATTTAGGTGGATATGTTGCACGTGATTTGGATATATATATACTAGATTTAGGTGGATATGTTGCACGTGATTTGGATATATATATATATATATGGGGGCTGGGTTTCCGACTCGGATTTGAATGTTGTATATATATATATATATATATATATATGTGTGTGTATGTCGCCATGGGTATTTTATATGCAGACACTTTATATTCAGGATTATGTTGTTTTAATTTGTTTCTTCGTCTTCAAATTATATATATATATATATAATACATATATATTGCGTGATGATCTCCGTTTGAGTTTTGTAGTGTCAACGATATATATATATGCATTGTACGTTCATAGTAAAAACAACTATTGAATGTATTGTACTGATTTACTTCAAATATATCGACAATCCATTGCATTTTGTACTGACATGTGAATATTATATATATGTTGATCACCCGTGTGGAAGTTCCACCCTTGATAATTCGATATGGTGGACTCGTTTCACCAAGCCGTTTGATTGGTCCGTTGATCGTCGTGTTGTGAGCTTTGATTGGTCGATCGATTGTCTGACTGTGGAGCAGTATCTAAGCAACATGATTTCTTGTAGAGATGTTTCATCACTTGGAAACAGACGACGAACGGTCTCAGTACATGGCATACTGGGCCGACGACATTCGCATACGCGATAAACTGCGGCCGCGATCGAATATCGTCGTCAAGTGCTTTCGCCAAGATTACAACCAGGATGCTGCTGCACTTCTGCCATATGCCCCCGTGGTGGCGTCCCCAGAGATTGACATTTGGGCGCTGGGAGTGATGATGTTTCAGCTGTGGTCGGGTGAAGAGCTCGTGGCCACAGATATCAACGAGGACGTGACCAGCGGCCAGATTCAGCTGGCCAAGTTCTGGACGCCGGAGCTGCTCAAGGCGCGTATTCGGCTGCATATTGACGACGAAGATCAGCTTGATTTGCTGTCGCATGTGTTGGCAGTGGACCCGAAAGATCGATGGTCGCTTGAAAGTATTCTCCAGCACCCGTACTTTAACCCGTGATTCGAGAAGGAGGAGTAGTGACTAAACGACTGGCGGTCCTAAGCTAAAGAACATTTCGTGGTTCAATTGCGTTACAGCTAGCTAGCTATTGATTGTGTATATACGTACTACTGGGTACATCATACTTTGTCAAGGTGTAGAATATAGGCTGGAGAGAGCTACTTTTGTGAATTCGCTATATAAACTTGCAAAACTCACGTGGTTGGTTTATTGAATCAATATTGAATCCCGCTCGAGTTCTGATTGGTTGGATATACGTGTCCTTTCTGGAAGACCCAATCAAATAATCCACTCGAAATTCGATTAGCCAATAGCGTCGATTTGTGATGATTCAACTCGGCGGCGAGATATATCGATTTGACGGGGTCATCTGTACCGAATATACCACAATACTGTATCAATTACCACTATTTACAGCTCACCGAGTGGTATAATATAGAATAATGCATGGGCAAAACAACATCACATGTCCACCCATGGCACCCTAGAGCAATGGACTACTTTTTGTACGAACGTAAACAATCAATTGAAGGCGGCTAGGGAGAGCTTTGAAATCTCCACGGGGTCATTCTACAAAATATTGTATTTTGCAGGTGTATTACAAGAGTAAATCTAGAAAATATTACCAAGCAAGGTTTCGGTCGAAAAGTAAATGCATTGTTTACGTTAGTGACACCAGTGATTAATCCAACCACAGGGGCGAAAGATTGATGATGTTGGTTGGCTTGTAGTTAAAAATACATCGTCATTTGTGGGGGGATTCGCATTTCAACGCAAAATGGACAAGGGGCGATGGATGGAAATGTGATGTTGTTGTCAATGTATTATACCAGTGGGGTTACACGTTACATAGCTCTCCAGCATATATTATACTTCTTCACGACTTCATACATGCATGAATATTTTATAAGGGGATTTATCTCAACAGGGATCTCTTTTTTAATCGACAAAATTATACTCCGGAGTATCAATGCAAGGAGCAACTCATCGACGTAACGTCACTTTTGCCCCTGTCGCGTAGGGTTTGGTATTTTCAATTTACTTTGGCATATTAAGTTAGTAGTTTGTTTGCAGTCCTTTCCTGCTACTGTAAATTATCGGCACTAGAGCAAATTGATCCCGTGATTGGCATGACTCGGTACACGATCACTACAGAGACTCTCGTGGAACTGGCCGAGCCTTGACTCGACAGCACGACGCAGGACTAATAACACCTTGGCGAAGCCCTAAAGCTTACAAGTAGTTTCTACCAGTGTAAATAAGATTAAGAGTATTGGACGCTCAGTGTACGCAAAGCGGGTGCATCTTAATAGTCTGGTGGGTGAACGCGGCTTACGCGGAAGCGAATATCTAGGGAACGAGGAATTATTGTGAAGTGGTTCAGCCAATCAATAGATCACACCCGTTCGACTGCACCAATCAGACGCAATAAGTATTAATAATCAATTTTACAACAATTACCTGACAAATGTTTCGGAACAAAAGTGTAACAGAGTAGTATATTAGTATAATAATATGCTCGATTATATTTTTTAATAATAGTTGTACTATTAATACTGTGAAAGAGTAAGTTTACGGTGTTAAGCTACTTAGTATGTGTTCAGTTTGCCCTGATTCTGCTGATTCTGGCTGATTCTCGTCCAGTTTCTACCTATTGCCAACGGTAAAATGTCCATTTTGGTCATATGGCGTCTTTGTGCTCTGAGTCCAGCCTGAGTATCTACTGTATCTTGGGATAGTCAGAATATGGTACTGTATATGTACTTCGAAGTATGTAGTATCTGTTCAGTACTGTACCTCGTACTACGTACAGTAGTTCTCATGGACTGACATCAACTCTATGTCTGAATGGTTCATCAAAATGTATGTAAATTCCATAAAAATACACAGCTCACGTTACAGTACGGTAGTTGAACTTATTTGTTTACACTTTACAAACAAGCCTGGGGAATTCCTTAAATAAGACGAAGGCTGTATGCAATGTGTCCACACATTTAAAGTGTACAAAAAATAAACCTTGTAACCTGGGACTGCGTTATACCCCCGGTAGGCGCATTTTTCGAGGTATAATAGTGCATTACCAGCAGTTAGCTATCACTAATCACTGGAGAGGCCTTAACCTCTAGGAGTACTGTAGCTGACAAGGGACTTGGTGTTTTCACACTGGTACAGTCTACTCAGGAAAAACTCGCAAGTTCCGATACTTTTATTCTATATGACGACTTATTTGTGCAAACTTCATGGGTTTTGATTGGCTGTTTGAGTTTTCTCAAAATTCGCCGACAACAGGAACAATTTGGGTCTCCAACAGGAGTACCAGTAATACAGTATTAGTACCGGGTATAACGTACCACAGTTGTGGTGCATACGCCCTCAACGTTAGAGCGTGTTTGGTGGAAAGTTAATTTTGAAACTATTTGAACACTTAGTTTTACACGATGAATTTGTCACAAGAAGAATCATGATTTTCATTGATGAATTGTGACAATTCCCAGTGTAAAAAAGAGTACAACTGTGCTGGGAACTACTACTAGACAAACCCCGAAAAACGTTCAATAAATCTGGATACCGTACCGTCTCAAAACAGTTCAAATTAATAAACTCTAGTTAGATGAGGCATATTTTTTGTACTATGATCACCTCAACTTAACCCCCGGGATTTAGCATCATTATACTTCGAAGTACTATTATAGTACTTCGAAGTATGTGCACGCTGGTATGTGCACGCGGGGGTAGGACGAAATCCTGGGGTTACAGGGTTATTACGGGAAGAAAATTTGCTTGAACGGTTTTCAGTCTTGGCTGAACGGTATCCAGATTTATTGAACGTTTTCCCATAACATGAAAGGTCCGACCAATAGCGGCCATCTACGAATAATACTGGGGTATACTTAATTCAAGATAAAGGCAAGGGCTAAAGCTATTGTATGTCAACAAATACTGGAAGTACATGATGGCTGCAAAGCTATCTCTTTATTGACGAGAGGCTACGCATACCGTGTCCAGGTACCAACTTCGTATACCTAATGTATAACCTAGATTAGTACTACGTAGTAGGACTGTTCCTCCACCTACCTGGAGGAGCAATGCAGTATGTATGGCAGTACTGTAACGCTGTAACGATGGGTCGGACCCTGCTGAATTATTTCACGATTATCAGTATAACTTGATGTTTGTATGGGCATACCCCATAATAGCCACAAAGGTCCGACCAATTATTCATTTTTCTTTTTTTAGATGACTATTCTGGGTGACCAACCTAACCCTACCCTAACCCTCGCATTTTTATTGGTTGGAAATTAAACTAAGAGTGACATGATTAGCTAGAACAGGAATAGAATTATGTGATTCGCTGAATTAATCTCACACAAATACCCATTATTCTACCATAGATTCTCCTATTAATAGTACTACTGTACACACTTGGGAGTTCTTTTAAAATACTTCACGTACAGTACTGTAGAGAGTTTACTATTAATACCGTAGTAGTACTTCAGTACTACGTAGTATTACCGTACAGTAGTATTAATAGTAATACTGGAAGACTTACTACTTGTTGTACCGTACAGTATTTCATCGGACGTACCATTCATTTGGATGATGACACCACATTCACTCATAAAATTGATGTCGATCCAGTATACTGAATTCTTTTGATGCTGTTTATCCCACGAAAGTTGATACTCAGACTGGACGCAGATCTCCAAATTGCTACCTGTAAAAAAAGAAAAATTGCTTTTGAACGTATACGTATACATTTGGTTCTGATAACAAGAATATTGGACGTATTCCGAGTATACGCATACATTTGGTTCTGAGAACAAGGATTGGAGAATCGGAAATTTGTGGTCCTCTTTGATTACCTAGTGTACCAGTCCCCACTCGTGGGGCGTGTGGGTTAGCAGGGGTCGCGTAAATTTTGATTGGTCACCACTGTCTGTTCGTACGGTACCGAAGATCTCACTGGATAGCGGGGATTGAACTCGTGCTAACAGTAAAAACCGGAGTACTGTAGATATATACAGTATCGAGAAGTATTGCCGCACTTGTGAATATATCTCGTAGCTAAACTATGGGAAAACGTTCAATAAATCTGGATACCGTTCAGCCAAGGCTGAAAACCGTTCACACTTTGTCAAGTAAATTTTCTTCCTATATACCCTGTAACCCCGCGACTTCGTCCTACCCCCGCGTGCACATACAGGTAGGTAGGTACTTCAAAGTATACCGTAATGCTAAATCCCCAGGGTTAAGAGTTAAAGTGGTCAGAGTACAAAAAATATGCCTCATCGAACAAAAGGTATGAATGGTTTTCAATCTTGGTATGGAGAGTTTTTCGGGGTTACCGCTAGCCTCTCTTAGTACACACGCGGTACTTCAACGCCTGTATGCGACCAAGGCGCCTTTCCCAGTCGCATGAACCTACAGTAAAAACAATATTCCATAATTCAACACATGGATAACTAAGTATACGTATACTACGGTAGTACGGTTCTGCAAAGTGAATTTGTGTGCAAGGAGAACTCCCAAGGGTCACAACGGGATGTGTTTGTGATTAGTATATTGATTGGGTGACATGTGTGGTTACGGCCGCGTTCAATGGAGAACCAAACCAACTGCCATTATGTTTGCAGCACAGCGATGAACAATACAGTGTACATGTACGGTACTACTGTAAGTCTGGACTGTAGTGATAACATGAACAGTGTAGTATACTATTACATTAATAGTAAACGAGTAAATGTACTACTAGTAGTATTACTAGTACTTGGAAGGAACGTATGGACAGTGTAAGTTACAACTGCAATTGTTCTGGGACTTAGTAAATACTCCAGTCTGTACTTGTACTGGTACTTGTATTAATACTGGGACCGATAAATATGTACTAGCTTTGTGCTGCCACTTCTCCATTCCCTTTCACCGCGTTCAAGGGGCAAATGGGGTGCAACCAAGATACAGTAACTTAGTATCCCAGCAAGTCGTGTACTAGTATATACTTACGAGGCTTGAGCTCATCAATTGTTCCTACAGTTCTTTGTTGATTACGGCAAGGCTACTGCACTGTACTGGTACATGGTGATCAATTGTTCGCTTGTTTGAATCCATCTGTCCACGATGTTGCCACGTGGAACGAATTGTCGCTAGGGTACGGGTATTGTACTGTACGGGAATAGAGTGCTATGAATCGGCCTCGAATGCTGACTTGTGGTGTCGTCAAAGTGAATCGCTAGTCCTATTGCGCATTGGCTTTACCAAGTACTGTAGGCAAACTGTTTTTCCCCTCTGGACAATGCTCCAACACAACGTCGTCAACGCATAATGTTGAGCTGGATGTGGACGTGTGGTCGGATTGTAGTGCATACAAACATCAAGACAAGGGACAAATATGAACATTTTGAACGCGCCACACGTTTCGACATGTTTGTCTCAAGAGGCACAGTGACAGTTGTAGCCGAAGCAAACACTCCTAGATATGCATCATTGCATCGCACGATCACATTCGAATTTGCGGCCAACATGACCAGCCTGTCCACGACCAACAGCAACAAAGACTTGTCGTGCAAGTACTCGTACAAAAAGTGTCCTAACCAACGCACAACCAAGCGCAACGGCACCCTCCACACCCTTTGCGAGTACCATCGCGTCAAAGCCAATACGCTGCAGCAGGTGTATGCAAAAAAGAAGAAGGAGGGCACCATCACCAGCACCACCAGCACCACCACCAAACCACATCCAGGCCATTTGAAAGCTGTGCAGCGACACGATGAACTGTGTCCGCCTTGGCTAGAGTCGATCGACTTTTCCAAATCCGAGTTTATCACGCAAGAAGACTGCGCCATGCTCCATGAGCTGTTCTTCCACCCGCATGTACATTACACGACTAGTAGCAGCCTCGTCCTAATTTAAGAAGCAACCATTCATCATAACTTTAGTACGTATACCGCCCTGAGTTCATACGCATGATTGGAGTAACCCACAATCAAGATCGCAAGCTGTCGCCAATACTAACCAAAGCAAGGCGTTGGTGGAGCCCACCACACCCGTCAATTGATCGTTCCTGCCAATGACCGAATTCTCTTTGGACAAAAGCTGTGAGCTTGTGTTCACAAATTGAAATTGTCTAATAGGTTCGAAACTGGAGCCCTCCGTAGGATCGAATGTCTTAAGACTTTAGAGACGCCGCGAGGAATAATGGACGTAACGTTAAGTTGCTTGCAAGTTAGGCCAGCGCTGTGAAAGGTGTCGTTTCTACCGGTGTGTCCTCTAGGAACCGATGGATGTAGTCGGCGCAAATGTCAGGGTGCGACTGCTGCAAGATGTGTCCGCAGAGCGGGATCACCGACCTTCTCCACGTTGAGGGCGTCCATTCTCTCGAGACATGACACATCCAGGATCTACCACCGTCTTGGCCTGTATCTTGTGGAGTTGGTTCTCCAGCGCTGTTTGGTCGGCCATCACATCGGCCAACCAACACTTTGTCCATCACAAATGGATTATAGAACCGCCGAAGCCAATCAAATCGCGTTCTGCAACATTTCTGCCAATCGAAACGTTTGATTCGGCAAAACCATTTATATACTAATCTTTGTATGCGATTGTTTGTACAAGCTTAAATTGGGATGATGATCAAATGGATTCGAATGTTAAAGCTAACGTTATTTGGTGAAGTGACGCACAAGTCCAAATCAGCAGAAGGACACGGTCCCCATCATTCTACAGTATCGTTAGTTTCCATTAAACTATGCAGCTTTGTTTTGTGTTAAGGCAAGACGATCGAAATTATCTTGGCCGTGACCAACAGCCACAGCCCAAAAATAACACAGGCATGACTTGACTGTATCGACGCCAACCCAAAGGTCCGAGTCAGCCAATTGCGCTCCTTGGGGTTAGATTGGCTACATACACACAGGCATTGATTGCTATGGCACGGGGGGGGAGCACCTCGAATTTGGATGGGAGACGCATTGAAACAGAGTGGCAGATACTAGCCATACTAGTACGGTGCAATACATACGTAGTCCTAGCTGTGGAATGGTGTACGTGCATTCGAATCGTCCATAGCTCTCTCATCAACATGCAAGTTTGATCGTGCATTTCGAACGTTTGCTCGAATTAAATCATTTTGTATTGATTGTTTATGTACGACAATACCTAACTACCTAATAACTCGAGCAGCACTTCACAGTCTGCATTCGTCATCACGAGTTGTCGACTGAAATCGATCTGGTCCAGCCATGACGTGGTTCCATGTGAGGCCGTGATCAAGAGTACGTTGTTGGAGTCACCGCCAGCTTTGGCCTTTCGTCGGTCCTTTTTCCTCTTAGCATACCCTTGCTGCAGAGTGTTGGCTTTGCCTCGGTGGTATTCGCAGAGTGTGTGCAGTTTGCCGTTGCGTTTGATCGTACGAGGGTTTGGACATTTTTTGTACGAGTACTTGCACAGGTACGACGACGCCAGTGGTTTGCTCATGGCAAGTCGGACACTGCCCCACCATGGCGGGTCAACACTATAAAGAGAATGCGGTGGCTTGAGAGTTGGATTGACTGTTTGTTCCGCAATATCGTTGGCTAACGGTCGATGAGTCATGAGATGGCAGGCCATGTGTGAGGAGACACTTGCGACATCCATGGCCCAGATCTTGCTGGCGAAGTGCGACAAATTCATCACGTGGACAGACAGACTATCGTTCAATAAATCTCTGGATACTACCGTTCATCCAAGACTGAGAACAGTTCAAACTACAGTACTCCAAGAACAGTACAAACAAGTACCAGGAATAAACTCTAGTGTAAATGAGACATACTACAGTAGTATGTTTAGTACTTAGACCACCTCAACTCTTAGTATGGGTTAACATGTAAGCGTACCGTATCTCAGTGGTTACGATAGCTAACCACTGTCGATGCGCTTAACCCCAAGGATTTAGCATTATACTTTGAAGTATGTACGCGCGGGGGTAGGACGAAGTCCGGTTACAGGGTTACGGATCTATTTGAACGGTTCGCCGTCTCGGCGAATGGTACAGTGTACTCTCCAGATATTCGGAACGTTTTCCCATAGTTTTCTGTTTGGAATCCACGCTGGATTCGAATGATGCGGCTGTCTACCCGCCCACATTTCTGCATTTTAAATCGTTGAGGTTGTGGAAACCAGCATGGAACTGTCATCAGTAATTACAGTATTGTCGATCTCCGGCAATTCGCTGGTGCTACACAATGAAAACTCATACAAATGGAGAAATGAGACATCTTCGATTTGCATAACGTTAATACTCTGTAGTACGTAGTATTAGAGTTTGTATGTATTATGACGTTTATCCGCGAGCCAAGGAATCCTTTGCGCCTACAGCTAGAAGGACTTCGCATACGGTCGAATGTTAGACGTCTGAGTGCTGAGTGATTTGCAAATTGTAATATTCCAATGAAATAATCAAGTGGCACTTACACGTTATCGACGCCTGTGTTCCATATAACGTTTTATCTGAAAAAACGTGCTTTTCTTGTTGGACCTGTACGCAGACGTTTTCTCTCATCCTTGCGACCCATTGCAAGCCAGACCGATTGACAGTGAGTTACAATACTCCGAGTACTACAGTAGTACAGTAGAAGTACAGTACAGTGAACTAGTACAGTAGATCTGTAGAGCTTTCATCATCAGATGTTGGACATGGGTGGTACTACTGTAGGGACTTGATGTATCCAATGTATCCCTTCTGAGGAAGAACTGTTGGTACGCACGTTGTACAAGTGGGATAATGACGATACCGCTCGATGTAGACATGCCTCATCGAATGTTAGAGGATAAATCAAATCTCGAAGTTTTCTGTGCAGACAGAGATCGCAGTGGTTCCAGACTACAAGGTTTTTTGCTGGATTGTTTTTCCTGTGCAGTCTACAAACATGAACAGCGTAGTTTCAAACGAAATAAGAGGTGTTCGTAGAGCTTCAGCTTTGCATGGAGGAGGTCACGGGTTCCATCACGCGTAGAGTGAATCGTTTTTCATCTTGTTTTCAAGTAAGGTAATCCATCAATTGTTGACACAGCACCAAATTGTGAGACTGTCTGACTTTTAGCCAATAGCATCTCGATATTTCGTGTTGGCCTTGTATGATTGGATATGATAATATTCGTCTCTATATTTTATTACACGTCTCAATGCTGAAGTCTGGTCAGTTATTTTCAATCTCAAAATAGTCGTGTTGCATATTTTCAAAGGTGCAGTTTGTTTGACTTGTAATTTGTATCTTTAATATAAATCATTTCGCCACTTTTATCCATGTTTAGTATATGATATACAAACATCAATATGATTAAAGCATATTTAATGTAAAACTATCAAGTGACATCAACCACAACAAGCAAATCGGAAGGTAAAGTCCGCCGTTCGCGGAATACAGTGCCGTAGCTTGTTTAAATGGCTAGAACTAGGCATCATTTAGCCTCAGGTGCGATTTCGTCGTCGACAGACGTCTACCGAAGGTTCTGCGGTCACGTATGGCGTATGGAATCTTTTGAGCATGTTTAATCGATAAATACAACATCATAGAAGCGAGAGAGCCTTGTTAATGCTTCAAGGGTAATGCAACAACCACATGAACAAGTGAGCGAGATGTGGAAGTTTAAAGTTAAGATTTGCTTCTCTGGCGGCTGATTGAATATTTTGCCAATTTGAAGTGCATTTTTCAAGTTCGATAACTTCGCCAAGAGTGTGAATTTTGCGCAGCTTGAAGTAGCCAATCAAAGAGGAGATCTTCAGCTAGTACAACAAACAGATACGAGAACGAATAAGTTAAGTTTAGGACAAAATACTTCATTTTGAAGTCTAACATGACAACTATTTTGGACGACCAGAGTGGTAGTAGATAATACCTGGAGGCTGCGGGAAATCGTGATAGGAGTCTAAAAAGTGGGGCAAACTCCATAATTTAGTGCTTTATGAAATTTGCCCAGTACATTTTCAAATAGGAGGCTTCGGGAAATCGAGAAAGTAGAATACCGGTGAAAAAAAACTCACAATAACTTATATTATATACTACTCTGTCCCAAATTACCTCCACGTTTCACCTCTAGTTTTGCCGCAAAATCATTTTTATTACGAGGATTTATTTAAATTTCTCTTAAATCAGACTGGTGATCTTTGTATAGCGTGAACTGCCTCTTGTGAACAAGCAAGTGGTCGAGCCAATTCGCCCAAACTTCTTACATGGGCAATGTCGGTATAGAGGACGAGGAATCTAACCATGGTTATGGCAGGGATGTCTACCTGACTCTAGCAGAACCCAAGCGAGGAGTACTCATATAAGATAATACAATTATAGAGTTTACGTTACCTCTGTATATGAATATTGTTACCCATTCGACCATACATTAATCAAGTCCGGTGAGTGATTTTAATTCTGCGCTGAGGAGCAATATTATTTTGATGTCAGTGTGCACATTATCCAACAAACCTGTAATCAAAACATGAGCAAGCAAAACACCGAATTCCCAGCTTCTCATTGGTACAAATTTCGTAGAAATTGGGTAAATGAGTCAAATTTTGAGGTGAGTCGAAGTTGAAACGTGGAGGTAATTTGGGACGGAGTAGTATTTTGAATAGAAACTGAGAAGTCTAAATTAAAACGAATGCAATATTGGAGATTCGGTATGAATTTCCGGACCCCGTTCAATCGAATCTCGCCGAGTGAATCGAGCACCAAACTCTCCCATTGGTCAATCCGAAATTACTTGTCGCTGATTGGCTACAATCCATTTTCGAGTTTCTACTGGAAAGGGCGAAGTGGATAATGGCCAATCAGATGTCTCGGCTCTATTTGTGCTCGATTGAACGAACCATGCAAAATTGGGAAATTTTAAGAAAATCGACAATATATGGATCCTTGATTTTTGCATTTATTCAACAATAAAAATTTATAGAGGTACATGTACTTGCCAAATTGTCCCATGTCTCAAACTGTAAATTGGAACTCTACGTTATATTAATAGAAAGCATTACAGTAGACAGTAAGTACATTATGTTAAAACCATGTCAGAAAATACATGAAGCAAGTACACCAGCTCAAGTTATAATATTACTGAGCCGCAACCAATACCTACGTAAATGACCAATTTATGATCACTGTACCAATTTATGATCACTCCTATTGAGCCAATCACGTCGGGGTATTTTTTTACCCCAAAGCCTCCAATAGATTATACTGAATGAACTCGATACATTACACACGCTAACCATGCCTAATCATCCGGACATTCGACTTGAAAATGGGTAAGTTCATTGCCCTTAACCTAAAATTGCTAAATGCTTTCTAGTATCATGGATAGTATTGGTGCTTGTCAGGGAAATCACAGGTGTCGAAGACGACACAGACCTACCGTATTCCCCGTCTAACTGTACCCAAGCATTATCGTTACCCCATACTTTCACGCGCGCAGATGCCAGGGCTATGCGCATCACAGGCAGTCCTAAAATGAAACGATTGGAACAGGTTATCCGGACCATGTGTTGGAACTGTCCCATCAAATATTCTTGAAATACATAACCTTGTAAACTTATATATTACCTGACCATAATGCATACCCTATCCGCATAATTTGTATGCATCAAGGTATACACAGTTCAAGGTTAAAATAGTAATCATAAATTGGTCCTCAAAAATAGAGTAAACTTGCTTGGAAAGTCGGCTTTTTGTATTAAAAGTACATCTTCAAATGTAATAATTTGACTATGAAGTGAAAGCTCTTTGTTCGGTTGTTAAGAATCACTTCACAAAATGTGAAAAGTCGTCCTGTGAGCCGAGATATGCGAATTCTACGGTGACTACTCCGAAAAAGTGATCATAAATTGGTAATTCACGTTATACGTATAGTACGGCAACAGTTTGCATGCGGTGCTGGTGGGCATCGTAGTGCCGGAAGTGGACACTGTGGTCAAGTTGGTCAAGTCGTTGGGGATTCCACGCTTGGATATCGTGGAGTTGTGTCAACATGGCGAGGTAGGAACACCATCATGTCGTCAAAGAGGTGAAATGCGTTTGAGAGTTGATTGTGATTAGGCATGTAGGTGGTCGCAGCGATGCACAAGGATATTGTGCGCATGTGCAAAGCCGCGGGCCTCCACAGCTTTGAGATGGTCAAGCCCATCATATTGCACCCGAAGCCGTTTTCCGTCGGCAAACGACTCACCCCCCAAGTTTAAACTCAAGCACCAAGGGGGCGTTCTTGCCCACCATCAACGCCTTGTACTCGCAAGTGGGATATCTTTTTCTCATAACCTTTTCCTCATATAACCATTTAAGCTGTCAATCGTTAGTCTGTATTGACAAGGCAAATCGTGGAGTGCATCACAGTCAACCATACCGGTATACCCCTTTGCTTTTCTACCCTTCACAGTCAACTTTCATCGATTCTCCAAATTCCCTTCAAAGTGAACATTATATTACCTTTCATGGGTTATTCGTTTATACCAGGGTGCAAAAATCGAGGATCCACTGTACAATATTTGTAAACAGGCAGATTACATTTTGTGAAGAAATGTAAACAGCAAAACTCTAAACTTTGACCTCGAAACCCCTACTTAAACATTGACGAGTTACTTCCAAACGCTATGTCCACACACAGTACTCCAAGGTTTCAACGAATATATGTAGTCAGATCCGGATCATAATTTTTAAGCTCACACTGTCAAATACGACAACGCAATGTGTAGTTCTTGGATAATTGAAAGTGAACTCGTTCAATTGAAGTCCCAAATGACCGTCAAATGTTCATTGGTCGAGTTATTTCATGCCAGACTACAAAATGTGAACAAATACTTCGAAGTATTAACTGACATTGTATTTTATACTCATTTGAAATTTTACTTGTCAAATTTAATAAAGTAGAGTTGTTCCCACTGCAATTCCACCCATTTTCACGATTTCCCACAGCCTCAAGTAAGTAGTACTCGAGTACAAAATAACGTGGCAATTAAACATTTATTTACTGCCATGAAGTAACTCGACGAATGATCGTTTGGTGATCATTTGGACTTTACAGTTAATTGACTGTTTTGAACTACAGTACTGTAGTTAACTGGAACTTTCAGGAATCAAGGAACACATTCTACGCATTGCGTTGTCTTATTTGCGCCTAATAATTATGAGTTTGAAGGAATTTTAAAAAGGTTTCCTTTACTGTTAGGTTGATTATCGACGAAACCATCTAAACTTCGATGTTTGACGTGCGATTTTGAATTAACCAAGGCAAAATATATGGATCTGAAGGCATATTTTCGTTGAAACTTTGGTTTGGAGTGATGTCTGTGGTCAAAACGATTGGAAGCAATTCTGTGGTGACAGCGAGCTTCATGAATGATGGTCATTTTTTAGTGCGATCGCCGTTTGGCTTGGCCAAATGTGCAAGGAGCAACTGAGAGCCTCGAATATAATGCTAACGCTATCTTTGCACTTACAATACGTTACTTGCATGAATGTCCCGATTCACTGTCAATAGCACGAACTTCAAGATGGTTAAGTTATTCGAATAAGTTATTCTCACTCAAGTGCGTAACGCTAATAAATTATAATTTTTTTGCACCACTGGGAAAATATGTTATCTTTTCATCCTGCAGAAAAATAAGTAACGTTAGTAATATATCAACTCACTGTTAGAGAATAGGTAAAAGACAGATATTTGAGAACCCCTGGGGATGATGTCCTCTCCCTACCATGCAGCGATGGCATATTTCTTCACGGGCTTACTGTTAATTCGGTGACTGCATCACCGTCATCGGGATGATGGCGACAGGGTTGGGCATCGACGAGAAGGACTTCCACACATACAGAATACAGCATGATGTGTGTGCATGGTGCCTTAGACATGGGCGCCCTTGAGTTACATGTAACACAGTTGACTCTGAAATATTAGTACTACTACGTAGTACAATACGTACTACTGTATAAATAGCATATGTACTACAGTACAAGTACAGTATTGCACTACGTAGTACCGGTACTTGTAGTATACTAGTAGTACTAAGGACACAGGTATAGGTAGAATTTCCAAGTATTATAAATTAATAGCACTATTAAATATTAGTTAGGAGTGTTGGTAATTGTTTCGCAACATGCCAACTAATGCGTAATAGTACTGTAGTAATTCACACTGTCAAAGCAAATATGTTGGTGGCATGCCATTGGTCCTTTCAATAGCCAATGGTATCGATCGACTTCCTTCTGAATTTGTCTGGCAGCATGCTCGGACATCAGCTCATCACCGAGACGGACGCGCTGTTGGATCGACAGCGAAAAGATCGCGGTAATGCCCACAATCGCCTTTGCTCGAGCGTCGTAGCACTTGAAAATGGCCTTGGCTGTCATGTTTATGCGAGTTTGGATGGCATTTTGGCAACGCAACGGCGTCTCGAAGACGAGTGCCTGGCGTTGGGCAAGAACCAAGTCATGTACCACCAGAAAACCATTCGGTGGAAGGCCGAGTACAAGCGATTTCGGTCTGAAGTTGAAGACTTGCAAAAGTTTGAGCAGTGGATGCAACGCACGGAAGCCAACATGCACGCCACCTGCGGAACGCTCGAGTATGTGTGTTATCAATTGAACCGAACCAGCGCTGCTCCCCCATCCACAGACGCACTCCCTTCGTTGTTTGACTAGACTTTGTACCAAAGTACTATTCTGCCCATACTGTGAACCATGAATCGTGTTTGTAAGTAGTATCCCTGCATTAATTTGCAAGATGCGTCGACGCCCGCCGAGACAACTCGAGTGCATTTGCTGATGTGTCCAAAACCTGCACAAGTCTTTTGTATGTGGCATTTCCAAATCTCCTGCGACCGCCTCCATTTCGTTCGAGTTTGTAATACACAATAAGGAAGCAAACAAGGGTTTATTCTTGGGAGTGCCGTGGCGGGGTAAACGAAGTCTTGGCAGTGCCGACTTGTGTAAGACTGAGACTACATGGAACTAACTACGCTGTGGCATGCTCGATGCCAGGTTTCGCTTACATTGAAAGCATCAAAACCGCTAGGACTTCACATCGACGTAGAAAACCTAATGTGTGTATGAGTCCGGCAACACTATCACAGTGTTACAGTATCCTTCAACATATCAAAGATTCTGATTTTGGCGTTGACGCGTGTGTATTCAGCACAAAATTACGAATGGTTCAACCCTATTTTTTCTTTCGCCCAGTACTGTTACCGTTGCACGGCAAACAACTTCAACGGGAAATTGCACCGCCAACATGTTAGTCAAATCAATCCTACATAATAGTAGAAAACAGCTACTTCCAATTCGTTACTTAACTAGTAGTCGAAACCCGAGAGACAGTCATTTCCAAATTTGCCGGCACGACTGTCATGGCGTTGTACAAGTGTCGTACGTTGGCCTTGTCCGTGAGTGCAAAGTCAAAGTTCTGGACGAACGTGGCGACGATCACGAGCAACTCTGCGATCGCAAACCGGTGGCCGATGCAGTTTTTGCTCCCGATGCTGAACGGCATGTACACGAACGCGTGGGATTTCGACTGTCGGAGGGTTGCGTCTGCCGCCCACTCCGGCGTGTCTTGCATGAATCTCTCCGGCGTAAACTCCGTTGGGTTTGTCCATGACTTGGGGTTCAAGTGCATGGCCGACGTCAACACATTAATCGACGTACCCTACCAATATATATATACCACCACATCACATCTAAGTTAGTTAGCTGTTGGAAGTATTAAAGGCTGTTGACATGAACAGATACTTGTGGAAAAGTACTGCATCACAACATTTATAATACTGTAGATACCCTCGGGTAAAGTGTCAACGGTCAAAACCTGGATAGATATTTTAACCTCACATTATAGGATAATTCGAATACTCTAACATGTACCACGAGATACACACTGCCAAATTTTGCATCTCAGTACTTCGTGTATAGTGTAATGTTGTAGTTTACCTTTGGCAGGGGCAAAGTCGCCCCGTCACATAACGGAACGTTGTCGTCCTGTTCAGCGACTCGACGCGCCAGTTGAAAGAACACACTGTGCAGTCGCATGGTTTCTTGGATTACGGCCTGCGTATACTTGAGCGAATGAATGCCCTCCCACGTCGCAAGTGGGGACGTCGTCGCATGGTCTGAGACGCTGGTCAGAGTGTGCACTTCCTGGCGAATTCTGGCCACGACCAGAGGTCTCGCTGCGAGTTCCACCAGTACCCATGCCAGGGATGAACTGGTGGTTTCGTGTCCAGCGGTCATGAACGTCATCACATGCGTGACCGCGTCGTGGTTGGTCGTGGAGGTTGGGTCAGTGAGGATGCGATCCAGCAGGTCTTGGTGGTTGTCATCGTGGCTGCTTGGGTTGACACTGGCCAGCTTGTGCTCGATCACGTCCGAGATGACAGTCGCGAGCACATTTTTCGCCGCCCGACGGCGTCGCAGAGGTGGAAGTGGCCAGTGGATAAACCCGGGAACGGAAAACATCCCGATGAGCAGGAGCGGACTGGGCGCCAGCTGCAGCTGCTGGTACGCGCCCAGCGCTTCCGGGTGCTCGTGAAAGTCAAAACCGAACGCCACTTGACCAATGATCTCCAGCGTCAGCGTTTGCAGCACTACATACAGGGTTCAATAGGTCATTCAGGAAATATATATATTTATATATATATATATATATATATATATATATATATTGATACATTGTAGAGTGGTTGAGATAAGGCAATCCACAGCGAAGCAACGGCAAACTGCAAAATGGTACTGACTGTACTACGCACCTGAGGCCATGTCAAGTCGTGTGTGGGCTGTGGCAGCTGCCTCCAATATAGTGGCGCAGCAACGCGTGGCGAGTTGCTCAAACACTTTGACAAACCCTTTGACTTGGGCGGCAGTGAAGTGCGGATTCAGCATCTTGCGCTGGGCGTCGTGCTTGGCTCCTTCCGAGCTCACAAGCCCCTCGCCCATCACAATGTCCTACAAAAGTGTGACAACGTGTAGTGCAGGGAACAGACTATAACTGTGAAGAGAATATTAATAATAACAATAGATAATACCCCCAAATATGATCGAATGATGGGGTGTCGGGGGTAGTTGGAGGCGTGGGTCACTAGCACATGCTGCAGGGCCTTGGGGTCCGACAACATGACCGTATGGGTGAACAGTTCCCGGTAGTACACCGCCGACCCATACTGGTTCAACCAAGACAAGTACGGTTCGGGGTAGTCAGTCGTGGACTGCCACGTGGCAATGCTGCGTCGTGTTTGCAGTCTAGTCAATTGAATATGAAAGTCGAAAAACAAAAGAGGCGTTAACGACGTACGCGTTGCCCAAGAGGTAGTTGGTTGGCGGTGGTCCAGGGAGGAGTTTGCGGAGGGGATGGTTCACATAACGTACTACTGTTACGGCCACTATTGCTCCAAGTGAGACTGATAAGACCACCATAAAGGGGGCGAAGTGGCTGGAGGAACTCCACCACCACGGCTGGAAGAAGGCGCTGAGTGCAGCTGACGATAGCATCCCGTGGGCTAGTACGGCAATGCGAAAATGGTCAGGTTGAAGACTTCATTTGAGCCCCGTGAAGGGCACATTGATATTGAAGTGACTCACGTACAATTGGGTACCTACTTTGGACAGGAGTCCATTGAACTCAAAGAACCGATGCGTCGGATATGCACAAGCAGTGCCACTGCATTGTCTGTGCTAAATGGCGAAAGGACGAAAATATAAAGCCCCAATGGAAAGGACGAAGGTGCTGTACTCCCATTTTCAAATCAGCCTGACACGAACAGTTACATCCGTAACGCTCAAAGGCACATTTCGTCAAGCCCGTCAGTTTTATTGCTGGACACCCCACCTGCCACATAGCACGTCGATTGCGTCGGCCATGTTGTAGCAATTCAATGAGAATTGCCGCATGTACTGTATGTCAAACAGCCGAGGCATGTGTACCGGCAACACATACAACGCATATACGTATAGGATCGAAAAAATAATTCTCGAAAATGTAGCCGCAGAACTACATCGATGATTCGTTCCCTGGAATTGTCTAACGTTATTCTATATAATCTGTGGGTTGGCGCTACGTACTTACAGTAGAGCTCATCCTTGAGCATTGCATCAATGTAGTGTACACTTGTGCGCACTCGTAGAAGGGTCAAGCCAGCCAAATTTAAAATATAGTATAGCTATGTACTGTACCTCCATATACTAGTACAGTATTACCCATACTTCGAAGTGTATGGTATTCGCATCGTCCCCTCTTTGTTACGCATAGGCGAGCAGCAAAGGAGTGCCCGTGCACCGACGTACCTTTGACCCAACAATACCAATGATAACGTCACCTCACCTTGGTAGCTTGACTAACGATGTGCTAATTTACTCCGAAGACCCTCTAATTGTCGACACCACGAGGTATCCTCATCCAAAATACGCAATACTACCGGTAGTACTATATATGTACTTCGAGTACTGTACTTCGAAGTAGTACGTATGTAGTAGCACTTGGATAAGTACGAGGATAACTAATATGGGTATACTACAGTATTAATAGTACCACGTCCAGTTTGACGCGACCTAGTACTGTAATACTTCGAAGTATTAATAGTATATTTAACCGCTTCCTTCGTACCACAAAACGAGTGAGAATTCCGTGCCTATTGCAATTAAATGAAATAAAGTATGGATGGTTATATCCTCCAGGTCGTATTTCGGTGATAACGCCCGTATTATTCACAGTCAGAAAACTGAATGCACGACAAAGCCTCATATGATCTATGTCCTACTACGTATTAATAGTAAGTACAGTTATTATTAATAATAATTGTACAAAGATACTTCGAGTACTACTGGAGTAGTACTTACTGACTGTGAATGCAGGACAAAGCATCACACGGTAGGTGTGTACAGAGTAGGTACTATTAATAGTACTACAGTACAGGACTACTTCGTAGTATTACCGTATAGAGTATATGTATTTCGACGGATTCATCTATTGCGACTCCTGTAATAACTGATAATTTTCTTGTAATAACTGATATTTACTTGTGAACTTGTTTAATATACTTCAAATTTGTATGTCGCAATGGATTAACAAAGTTTTGTGAACGAGTGTCGGCTGGTTGTGAAATATCACCTGTCGCAATACATATACACTATACGGTATAGTATTAATCCTACAGTATAGTACTTCGAATTGCGTTTGAACTGTTGCGAGTGAAACCAAGTTTGGCTTGACCTGACGTATTCTTATACAAATAATGCGAGGACATGACCATGATGGTTGTCGTCCTCCACACCCCGAGGAGTCCATTGTTTAGCGTTAGGAATTCCTCTCTCTGTTCCAGCTGAACGGATTCTTCAAGATGTGTGTCACTTCAATGCCAATATCTCTTACAGCTGGGCGAACAGTATCTTGATGGCTTGATTGCTTTGTTAGCTTGTCGTCGTAGCACTTCATTTTAAAACTAACTTCGTCCTCGCTCCTTAGTAGCCGCGGGGATGTCCACGTCGACTGTTCTCAGTGCCTTCTCCCAGCCGTGGTGGTGGAGTTCCTCCAGCCACTTAACCACCGTCGTTGCTGCCTTATCAGTCTCATTTGGAGCTATAGTGGCCCTAACGGTGGTGCGTTATGTGAACCACCCCCTCCGCAAACTCCTCCCTGGACCACCGCCAACCAACTACCTCTTGGGCAACGCGTACGTCGTTAACGCCTCTTTTGTTTTTCGACTTTCATATTCAATTGACTAGACTGCAAACACGACGCAGCATTGCCACGTGGCAGTCCACGACTGACTACCCCGAACCGTACTTGTCTTGGTTGAACCAGTATGGGTCGGCGGTGTACTACCGGGAACTGTTCACCCATACGGTCATGTTGTCGGACCCCAAGGCCCTGCAGCATGTGCTAGTGACCCACGCCTCCAACTACCCCCGACACCCCATCATTCGATCATATTTGGGGGTATTATCTATTGTTATTATTAATATTCTCTTCACAGTTATAGTCTGTTCCCTGCACTACACGTTGTCACACTTTTGTAGGACATTGTGATGGGCGAGGGGCTTGTGAGCTCGGAAGGAGCCAAGCACGACGCCCAGCGCAAGATGCTGAATCCGCACTTCACTGCCGCCCAAGTCAAAGGGTTTGTCAAAGTGTTTGAGCAACTCGCCACGCGTTGCTGCGCCACTATATTGGAGGCAGCTGCCACAGCCCACACACGACTTGACATGGCCTCAGGTGCGTAGTACAGTCAGTACCATTTTGCAGTTTGCCGTTGCTTCGCTGTGGATTGCCTTATCTCAACCACTCTACAATGTATCAATATATATATATATATATATATATATATATAAATATATATATTTCCTGAATGACCTATTGAACCCTGTATGTAGTGCTGCAAACGCTGACGCTGGAGATCATTGGTCAAGTGGCGTTCGGTTTTGACTTTCACGAGCACCCGGAAGCGCTGGGCGCGTACCAGCAGCTGCAGCTGGCGCCCAGTCCGCTCCTGCTCATCGGGATGTTTTCCGTTCCCGGGTTTATCCACTGGCCACTTCCACCTCTGCGACGCCGTCGGGCGGCGAAAAATGTGCTCGCGACTGTCATCTCGGACGTGATCGAGCACAAGCTGGCCAGTGTCAACCCAAGCAGCCACGATGACAACCACCAAGACCTGCTGGATCGCATCCTCACTGACCCAACCTCCACGACCAACCACGACGCGGTCACGCATGTGATGACGTTCATGACCGCTGGACACGAAACCACCAGTTCATCCCTGGCATGGGTACTGGTGGAACTCGCAGCGAGACCTCTGGTCGTGGCCAGAATTCGCCAGGAAGTGCACACTCTGACCAGCGTCTCAGACCATGCGACGACGTCCCCACTTGCGACGTGGGAGGGCATTCATTCGCTCAAGTATACGCAGGCCGTAATCCAAGAAACCATGCGACTGCACAGTGTGTTCTTTCAATTGATGCGACGACTAACCGAACAAGATGACAACGTTCCGTTATGTGACGGGGCGACTTTGCCCCTGCCAAAGGTAAACTGCACTGAAGTAATATATAGATTCGCCTCTCTATGGCTATGTACCTACCTCTCTATAGCTACGGTATTATCTAATTCTAGTTAGTATATACTAGTATGTGGACACCAACAGGATTGTTTTCAGGAAATTAGGTGTAGTGCAGTATATATATATTGTATACTATACGTTTTCAATTTTTTTCGGTGTGTATACCTGTGTCATTAATAATATTAAAATCATTTTTCCTTGATATGAATTTAATTTCAATTCAAGGTTGATGCTACGAAAAGTGATGCCATTCATATATTGTGCTTTCGAGTGAAATTTCATGTTGTGGCGTGGTTTCTCGTTGGGATTTAAATCGATTTGATTGGCTACTTCAGTTGAGCTCAAAATTATTAGCCAATCAAAACCTTCTCAATGAAATTCAACCAATCAGATCGATTGTGGATCGGTTTGGTCGGCGCGATTCGATTGCACCCTATCAAATCGACAATACTAACGTGAGTATTAATTGAACGTGATGTCGAGCTGGTTAACTCAATTTGTTGCAAGGCTTCTTTATAGAAAATGTACAGTTCTATATTATTGATTTGGTATGAATTTCCGGGCTCACAGTCGGAAGCCGATGATGAATCGCTCCCATTGGTCAATCCGAGCATGCATCTCACTGATTGGCTACATTCATTTTTCTTTTTACTTTGCGCTTCCTGCGGAATTCGGAATGCCAATGAAACTTTGAGGCGAGATTTGCGATCTGTTTTACAAATCGCAGAGATTTGGAAATTGCAGCAAATTCATAATACTCACGATACTTTATATCCATGGTTCCACCTTACTCCATCACAGTATCTGTTCATATCAACAGCCTTTAATACTTCCAACAGCTAACTAACTTAGATGTGATGTGGTGGTACATATATATTGGTAGGGTACGTCAATTAACGTGTTGACGTCGGCCATGCACTTGAACCCCAAGTCCTGGGCAAACCCAACGGAGTTTACGCCGGAGAGATTCATGGAAGACACGCCGGAGTGGGCGGCAGACGCAGCCCTCCGACAGTCGAAATCCCACGCGTTCGTGTACATGCCGTTCAGCATCGGGAGCAAAAACTGCATCGGCCACCGGTTTGCGATCGCAGAGTTGCTCGTGATCGTCGCCACGTTCGTCCAGAACTTTGACTTTGCACTCACGGACAAGGCCAACGTACGACACTTGTACAACGCCATGACAGTCGTGCCGGCAAATTTGGAAATGATAGTGTCCCGCACCCCACAGTCAGTTGACGAATAAAAGCACTTACATATATATGCATATATATCGATCTCATAATACAACGCTAAATCAAATAGAAGTAAGTTGAATAGCCTTGCCTGAATACACAATATGCACGTCAGCGAAGTTGTTATTAGCATACTAGTAATAGTGTACAGTAAATAGAGAGGTTTAGGCCGGGTTTGGACACCACAATAATGGCATAAAATGGCCGTTTTGCGAAGAAAAGTGCCAAAATCGAAATATTCCATTTTTCGAGATTTCGTGCGTCTGGATGTCGCCACAGTTCAAACATTTATGCCACGATTTCATTCAGAATCGAGTGTTTATGGCATAAAAAAATCGACCGATTTGGTCCAAAGTTTTTATGGAGGTTTGTGTTCACTTTGAAGTCTTGCACTTCAATCGATAGTCGAAGTAATTTTTCGATAATTCAATTGGCATCCAGACAACCTTGTAGAAACTTCATTTTCTCCTTTTTTTCTTGGTATATTGGATGTTGGGAATTTTTGCAGACTTGCCAACACGGTTTATGGCATAAATTTTATGGGTGACATCCAGACCAGCCCTTAGCAACTTTAGACGGGATTTCGATGAATAATACTAATACATCGATGTAATAGTAAATAGTATTCCGAGTTAGGGCGTCTAAAGTAACATCTTACAGTGTTCAGAGCTGCTCTGGATGCCACTATATTCTGTCAGAAAACGTCCGTTTTACCAGGAAAAACAGAGTGGCGTGCATACCGGTAACCTTGCAAATTCGATGAATTTGTCCATTTGGCTCACACGTTTCATCCTAATTCACTGCCAAAAAGTATCCATGTTTTTCACAAAAGTCCTCAGCAGTGGGGTCAGCCCGCTACTTTGAAACGAATGAGGGCTCTACTGAAATCAACGTCCCTGACTTCGTTCTGTAAGCTTATTACTAGTATGACTATGGCTCGCTATGTACTAGTACTTACAACTGCCTCTTTCAGCCAGCCTCTAGATCGCATTCATCTGAGGTCCCAACAAGTTGAATGACTGATTCACATTGTAACATCAGTTGCATTCAACCAGATGGTGAACTTAAAATGAGGGACTTGAAGGGGCAGTTACTTTGACGTATTGGCTGGCAGCACAATCCCAGCCCGTGCCTCAAAGTACTATAAGTACTATATGTTACAATCCATTCACAACCTGCAATGTCTTGGGCGATTGCATGTTTATTGGGTCTAATAAGAACTTTGCCCAAAGTAGCTTGAGTCAGAGAGCCTCAATGTGGCCTGTGAATTCGTGGTAATCTCCAGTGGCTAAAGTCTAGGCCACCCGTACAACTGAATTATCGTCAACCTCGAATATTATGGTGTCAGTATTGGTTCTACCTGAATTATCGTAAACCTGCCAGTATTGGGTCTACCCACCCAATGAGTTCACAATAGTCAGTGGGTGTGTCCAACCTGCCGAGCTCGCATTTTCGAGGCCCCCTTCCATTCTGGATCTAGAAAATCAATTTCGATTGGAGGCATCGGCAAGGCTAAGTAAGGGCTGGTCTGGATGCCACCACATAAAGTTATACCATAAACCGTTTTGGTAAGTCTGCAAAAATAAATTTCCCAAAGTCCTATATCCCATGAATAAAAGGAGAAAAGAAAAATCTACAAAGATATCTGGATGCCAGCTGAATTGTGGACAAAAATCAATTTATAACATAAATCACCATAAAAAACTTGGACCAAATTGGCATATAACACCCGATTCTCAAGAAAATTGTGGCATAAATGTTTGAACTTTGGTGGCATCCAGATGCACAAACTCTCGCAAAATGGAATATTTCGATTTACAAATGTTAAGTAATTTTTCTTCGCAAAAAGGCCATTTTATGCCATTTTTTGTGGCATCCAGACCCGCAGTAGCTTTTGACATCGCTCAAATGATTCAGGGGGGCAGTGGCTGAAGGAAGACATGTAAAACGTCATGTGTAAAAGAACAATAACGCCTGACCAATGCCACCAACCCAAGAGTCTAAAGTATTGGCCTTCGATCGTACGTGACTGACGTGTGGCGCGCCTATGGTAATCCATCAATATCGCGAACGGTTGTTATTATATCCAATCAATGGTAATGAGGAGTTTTCATGTTTTCATTGGATATGATTGATTATATTCAGCCAAAGAAGATCAGGAAACCACCTTGAAGTTCAAAACTATGTTCATTTTTATGTTGTCCAATACAAATTTCAACTTGTATCTTAGGAGGCATCGGCAAGGCTAAGTAAGGGCTGGTCTGGTCTGGATGCCACCACATAAAGTTATACCATAAACCGTTTTGGTAAGTCTGCAAAAATAAATTTCCCAAAGTCCTATATCCCATGAATAAAAGGAGAAAAGAAAAATCTACAAAGATATCTGGATGCCAGCTGAATTGTGGACAAAAATCAATTTATAACATAAATCACCATAAAAAACTTGGACCAAATTGGCATATAACACCCGATTCTCAAGAAAATTGTGGCATAAATGTTTGAACTTTGGTGGCATCCAGATGCACAAACTCTCGCAAAATGAAAATATTTAGATTTTGGCAACTTTCCTTCGAAAAACGGCCATTTTATGCCATTTTTTGTGGCATCCAGACCCGCAGTAGCTTTTGACATCGCTCAAATGATTCAGGGGGGCAGTGGCTGAAGGAAGACATGTAAAACGTCATGTGTAAAAGAACAATAACGCCTGACCAATGCCACCAACCCAAGAGTCTAAAGTATTGGCCTTCGATCGTACGTGACTGACGTGTGGCGCGCCTATGGTAATCCATCAATATCGCGAACGGTTGTTATTATATCCAATCAATGGTAATGAGGAGTTTTCATGTTTTCATTGGATATGATTGATTATATTCAGCCAAAGAAGATCAGGAAACCACCTTGAAGTTCAAAACTATGTTCATTTTTATGTTGTCCAATACAAATTTCAACTTGTATCTTATTACTTTTATAATGCATTCAAATCTAATGTAGAATTGAGTTCATGTATGGTGCACGTCATCTATAAACTACCAACTTTTCACAAAATTTTCTGACTTCTATTTCATATTCATTACTCAAAATTGCAGCAAATTGAGACGTATAATCGACAGATCTCAATGTGGTGAAGAAATTCTACGTCTCAGATTCAAATTTTGTGATGAATTGGTCCAGAAATAGATATTTAACCTAGCGGTATTTTACATGGGCGCTTGGATATTTGGCCATAGGGGTGGCCGCTCAAGTGTATCTTGATTTTTGTATGTGACTCTTATCCGTATTTAATATCCGGAGGCAGTTGGGACCTTTAACCTCCCACTCGGGTGATAAAACGCATGCAATTGGTATTTAACGTATCTGGATTTTGGGTTTAACTACATTAATTGCACGTTAAATAATAAAACCTCCACTCTTCAATTTGGCCAATTGGAAATTTTTAGATGAAGTGCACCATACTAGTATAACAGTAAATAAAACATGACACCCAGGTATAATATTTTGGTAAATTAGTATTCCATACATACAAAACTAAGATATTACGACCGTTTGCTAAATACAGTTTCACCAATTCGTTAACGTTACGTTATAATTTCAAAATACAAATCGATTATGTACTGGAATATTTCAGGGACTTCTTGACACTAAAAAATGCAGCTGGATTTATATTTTCCCACGCTACCCTTAGTTTTTTTATTCGAGGGACATTTTGTGGTGGAGTGCTTCAAACATTTGACATTTTAGTGCATAAAAAGCGTTCGCAATATTGATGGTTTGCCATACTGTATTTCAACCCACTGCAGAGCGAGCATTCATTGACTGTGAGAATCATCACCACGACAAAACAATCCTTCGAAAAACGACAGCTGTCTAAAGAAAATATAATACGGCGGGATGTTATAACATTCATACTGATGTTACAGTGTTTTTGGTACAAAAAAGCTACCCTCCTTCGCCCCTATAACTGTTCGCTTGTGGTAGTTCTTTACTGCATACCGTAGGTCCTTCTTTACTGCTGCGAATCTCAAACGAGAGTCCCCACCAGCGAAATACTACGGTATTACCAGTTCGACGTATGGTCGGTGGTGTTCTGAATCCGTCGTTCGTTCGTTCGATCCACAAACAATCTCTAAAAACAATGTGCTTTCATGACCAGTACTTTCATGTCCTTTAAAATGTACTTGTGGAGTTTCAAGTCCAACACAAAGATGGTGCACAGGCAGGCGTAAGCGGCATAGATCGCACGCACCCTTATGATGGAATGTTAAATATCTCACCAACACTAAAAAAGGAACATATTAATGTTAACGTTAGTGACTGTTCAAACACTACTGTTAGGTGGTTGGATCAATGTCGTGCAGACTTCCAACTCGACGTACTTTGCACCACAGCGTGTATAATGTTTGGAAGGGAATTCAATGTGCCCTAAGTTCGTACTAAATACGCTACTACCTGATGTCCAGGATTAATGCAAAAAACGTCGCTATTGAACTTGCCCTCTAAAACAACTCACCACGTATCCCATTCTCACCAAAGAGCCAAAAAGTGGAGCTTGCTTGATTTGTAGTATCGAAGTCACGTAGACACGCAGCAGGAGCAAGAAAAACAACAGACACATTTGGACCAATGCAAAACGAACAACCGACCTACTTACTCTCCCATTCTCCAATCTTCACTGGGTTGTCCAGCGTCTTACTTATATCATGTGCTACCCCCTAAACATCCAAATGCCCCGCCAATCACAGCAGCCACAACAGCAACACGCGCGACGCCGCCGCACGGCCCAAATCACTCGGCTGTTGCAACGGTCGTACTTTGCCCAGTTCAAGCACGCCCCCTCCCCAGTGTTTGTGTCACTGGCGTTGAAAGTCGAGCGAATTCTGTATCGAACGTTCCCCCTCGACGACGAAGTGTTGTTAACGCCCGAAGTGCTCGAGGTGAAAGTTCGTCATGTGATCAAGCGCATATTGCTGGCCAAGGAAAGCGTGGCGCTCCAGCCCAACAATTACTCGGTCGAGGATTAACTTAACACGCACGTCATTTATCTATTAAAACTACCCCGTCTTTCGAAGCATGATGAATAGCATGTCAGCCTCGCTCGTTTACCTAAGTTACCGGTGTGTATGTTCTTGAGGGCTTTAGGTGTGTGCACAAAGTCCAGCTTGCGAGTGTCCGTCGACCAGAATTGCAAACTTGGTCTACATTTCCGTGCCGGTCGAGTGACCAAAGAATGTACTAGTATGTACTCAGTACTAACATAACCTATCATTGATCACCTGAACTTGATCTTGTACCCTTATGGCGACATCACAGAACCCATCGGCAACGGCGAAGACGCCAAGTTTGAACGGCTTGGCCGCAAAGTTGCCGCCGCAACCGGTGGCAAGTACAAACCCCAAACGTCTGCTGCTTTGTACCCTCTTGTTAATTAATGGGTGAGCCACCTTGCTCCTTTTCAATATCCAATCAGAATATATCACACCTTATTTCTTACACACGATTGGCTATAACACTGGCAGGAGAGGTTCATCGCAAGTGCTGAAGTGGCAGATTTAGCACTTGCGATGGGTGCCACCAAGACGTCTTGCGCCACCCGCCCGCGCAACTACGTGGTCACACCAGCAGGGAGGTGTACGGCACCGACACGGACTGGATGGTGGAATTCGGGATGACCACATTCATTGGGCAGGCAAGTGGTGATATTACTGAAGTCTAGACCTGTTCGAATTGACCGAGTCCGGGATACCACATCGTATGAACTTGCTCTCATACACAGCTTACATAATTATCTCAATGCTCCTTGCATCAACCGCCATGGAGTAGAATTTATCGCAACAGGTAGAAAAAGCAAGGAGAAATAGACAATTTTGTACTGTATACCCTTGCGAATTCCATATATAATTCTGAAATTGTATAGTTTTCCTTGAAATACTGTATATCTTCAAGTTTGTATTGTTGATTTTTATTTTTCATGTGTCTGTCTGTTTTTGGATTTCGCAAGGCAGGTGACTTTGCGAATTCAAAATTGTCCAATTTGTCCAATCAGATGCCGTGAAATCACGAAAATCGCTGCGTATATTCATCACAAGTTAATGAATTGCTTTTAAAGAGTTCGAATTGGGGCAAATAAATATTGAAATAGGAGACTCACAGTCAAATAAATAATTGAAATAGGAGCCTCACAGTCAAACAGTACATTCATGATCACATACTTGTTTAACAGTAAAGAGAGAATAATTGTGATGTTGACTATGAATGCTCAAATGAACTAATTTATAGAGGATTACTATTTCTCACAAGCCTTGCTTGCACTACGTACCACAGTAGTACAGTCTCAAGTATATTGGAGGGCAAGTATATTGGAGGGAATAGGGCCAATTCCATCAACTGACAGTGGACATGAATTCCGCCTTGTGATTGGTGAGATTATGAAACGCCCAATCTTTGATTCACAGTCAAGTGCAGCAATCTCCCAACCATCCATGACTTATGTTCGTACCAGGAATGTGCTTCAACGATATTCAAGTTGATAACACTAGCCCTCGTGCATATCCCGACAATGCTCTACAGCCTAAAACTGTAACGTGGCATGGGTAGGACAGGAAATTTCCAGCAAGCCACACCGTTATTCGAGTTCTTCCAAGGATACACGATACACCCAATGTCGTATTTCACATCTGCTTTGCATGTAAATTTCCTAGGTTTATCATTGCTTGCCCAATTTGGTGGTACAGTATTGAACCCAAAAACAGCCAATGCCGAGTACCGATGTTCTTGCCTTCCGAAACTATCCTCAGAAGGAACAAAAACACGCACTCGGGTTTTTCTGGGCCGGCGTTCCTTTGAATTTCTATTTCCTGAATGAACTCCAACACCCACCGCTGCGTCTCCGTTGTGACCGACTCGATAGTTCCCGCGCTAGTTAGCCGCGGCAACCGCATCCATCAGATCCTTCGCCTTCTTCACCGCCCAAGCCTAGGACACATCAACCATCCAGCAGCTCCCTCACGTGTCCTCTTACCCCTCGCAGTGAAAATTGAGCGCATTCTCAGCCACACGTGCCCCCTCGATGACACCGTCGATATCAATGCCTTGGAACTTCGGGTGCGCCGAATCATCAAGAGCATCCTAAGTAAGCGGGCACGTTCAATCAATTCGACTCGTACTACTATTCCGACGATCCCATCCAAGTTTTCCATTCAGAGCATGCTGGCCGACTGATGACATTGCCATGTTGTTTGTGGAGTTTATGAGTCCAGTATTAGTATTGTACATGCAACGTTTTGTCCGTTTTGAGTGTCTATGTTCGTACAAGGGCTACGGAATACTAGTATGTAGGACCAGTAAACCTCACGAGACTCTTCAAGGCCGGCGCAACCATATACGAACATGATCTTCGTTTGGTTGTCAAGTGTACCTACTACTGCACATGTTATTACTGGTATTAATAGTAGTAACATTAGCAGGGGATGCTCTTTTTACAAATAATAGCGTTACTCATACTGTAAGCGTGTACTACGCGTGTTTATGGTTGCAGCGCTGTCGTTTTCCATGCTGCATTACCAGTTTGGTCTCCAAAACGTTGTCGAAATACAAACTAGAATGTCACCTTACGCCAAAACATAAACTACTCTACTACTAGTACGACAGCCTGGCTTGAATACATTCTGCGATGTCTCAAATGGATCTGACGTAATATCTTTACTAACTTACATAGTATTAATACTACGTAGTGCTACTAGTTAGTACTACAGTAGTATTGTGAAGTAGAATACAGTACCGGATAGGATTGTTGACGCAGGTTGTTGTTGTCCAGTACTGCCGTGGTGGAACCCTGAATTCATTGGAATTGAATGGATTTGGGAACTTCAAGTCGTGACAGGTATGCAAATATCCATGTACAATCTTCTTCATCAACTCGTCAACCATATGCATCCGCCAAAAAACATTTGAATTTAGTTAGCCAGTCGAAGTTGAGTTAGGAACATCACTCCTTTGCCGTTGACTTCGTCAAAGGTTGAAGTCCATCGGCCCTTTTGGGTCATTTGGCCCATTGCAATAACTACATCCCTTGTCGACATCACCATTTATTGATACAGCGCGATGATCGATCGAATCATGGATACTCGTACTTGGTGGTTTTATGCCCACTATTGAGAGTGATGATCCGGCCGAGTCTGCATTGGAGTGTGTGCTTGTGGATTTGGTTTCGTTGGTTCTGCGGTCGCGTCCAAGATTGTGTGGCCAGCACGAACTGTACGTCAACGGCGACAAGAACAATGGCTGGCAGCCACACGTTGCTTTAAGTACAAGCTGAATCCAAACGTTACGCATGCCACTTTTGTGTGACATGGGTTTTGATTTTTTGGGGATAAAGACACCGTCGCCTTTTTTGTTGCCCTTCACAAAGCCACGCCACCGTAAACATTTCTCGCAACTACCCCAGCCGTCATATCCTGATCTGCAACCAACAGCCCAAACGAACAATACCATCCCCCACAACTCCATGTCGTATGCATTGTACCCCACACCCGTCCCCTTCATCCCCTTGCCGACCCCTCCTACGCGAAAGCGTCGTGCTGACATCATCACACAAATGCTGTATCGGTCCTACGACGCCCAATTCAAAGTCGCCACGTCCGACGTGTTTAACGCACTGGCCATGAAAATCGAGCGAATACTGTCCCGAGCATTTCCAAACGACGACGACGACGACCTATCACCAGACGTGCTGGAATCACGACTGAAATACGTAATAGAACGCATCCTGTACTCGAAGGAAAGCGTGGCGCTGCAACCTAACAATTTCACGCTCGACGAATTCGTCAAGTTCGAACTGTAACCCAAGTCGGATTGTTCAGTCCTGACAATCACCAACGGTAGTGATAACAGTTAGTAATTTAATTATTATTACACGTATTCCAATACACACGGGGTGCAAAATATACATGTCAAGAAAGAGAAAGCAACGAGTTGTTCAGGGTGACGTTATCATGCAACAAGAACGGCGGGGTTCGTTTACAATTTAAATCTGGTCCCCACTGTCAACCCTCGATACTCAACCTACCGGGGTACATGTACACAGCACTGGTACCAGTACTTGTACAGTGAATCACACGCTGCTCAGCTGTGGGCGAACTTTACCAGCCATGATAGATTGCTTGTTACTACAGTAACACTAACAGTCCTCTGGTCCACAATGATCGCTAACAGTATATAGTAAAAATTATAATAACGTTATTGGGTCACATCTCCTTCGAATTGATGCAAAAGGACGGGGAGTCACTCATCTTTGATAGGCTAGTTTAACTGCACTTTACAATTCATCCCATACCGGAGATATCAAGCCGGCGGCAAGTATCGCACCATCCTCGGAATCCTCCTAGAGAACCCTGGCAAGAAGCAACTCTCGGCCTCAGCGTCTAAACAGAGCAAGAGTTCGTCAATTGAAGTCGCATCCGGATATCGCATCCGAGCTGACATACAGCACCACGACATCCACCATCGACTGCGTTTGGAATACCGGTACCATAAGTTACCTTTACGTTGCCACTTCATGAAAGTGATGTTTTCGGAATCCCTATACGCATGGAGTATAATTCATCCTCTATTAGATTATTATCTGCTTTCAAATCAATTTAAAGAGTTTGAACTTTGGAGTGACGATGATTTATTCTATTTTCAGGGTATGTCAAGGGACTTCTATTTCCGTGTACTTCTATTCCGTCTTGCGGTAGTATTGAATCACGCTGGAGTTCTGATTGGCTGAATATACTTGTACTTTCTGCAAGAGCCAATCAACGACACTCAAAAATGGATTAGCCAATAGCATCGATTCGTGATTCGATTCGGCGGCGAGATTCGATTCGACGAGGTCTGGAAATTCGTATCGAATCCACAATAGGCGACGCACACAGTATATCCATGATCAGCCGACACATACTTGTTTAAACTATTGGATATTTGTAGTGTTGACAGAGCTAATTTATAGAGGACTAGTACATTATTACTGTACCGTATAGTGTATATATATATATATGTATTGTCCATTTTCGTCAAATTTCCCAATTTTGCATGGTTCGTTCAATCGAGCACAAATAGAGCCGAGACATCTGATTGGCCATTACCTTTCCAGTAGAAACTTAGCCAATCAGAGACAAGTAATAATGAAGGTATTACTTCTTGGGGTAGTCGATTATATTTAATCTGTTTCTATTGGGTTATCCTGTTTGGCCGATCAACGAAAGTTCGGCTCATCAACGAGAGGTCACTTGCGAAACATTTGAGAGGTCCCTTTATAATCCACGATGTGTGTTTTGCGTGTGATTTTGTAGGTATAACCCACTTGTACAGCTGTGTAAAACTGTCCTTATAACCAGACCTCCAATTGATGTGAGTTGAGAGGTGAGGCGAGGAGGATGTGTTGCGGTGTCGAGAGGGATTGAGCGCCTGAGGCGTCCTCAATATACGACATAAGCAACTGAGCTGGACCGTCGCGTGGACGTGTCCGCCGTGTCCAGTGTGGTAGACGTCGATGAGACGAGGTACGACATGTGCTATCGCCGCTGCTCGAGACCGTGAGGGCCGAGGCGGAAGTGCGAGTAACGGGGTTGTAGTATGTGATGACGTTGGAGTTGAGGTGGATGTCGTACTCACACATGCCGGAGTACGACAGTCTGTACTTCTCGTGGAAGGAAGTACATGGTACGGAGAAATATTCCTCCGTTGTGTTGAAGATCAACGTTCGACGACGCTTGGGCGTCGGAGTGGTGGACGACTGGTGTGAAGGGTGGCGGAGGATGCCACCCAAACAGACAGGTGGAGTGATGTCGGGTACGTCATGTACTATAGGGACTTGCCACACTGTACCTATTTACCCACGAAGTAAAGTCGCCCCAAGTGTGGGTAGAGGTGAGGTCGTATCTCCCTCCCCCAAGTAGTGTGGGGACAGATGTCCCAGCCTCCCCAAATGAGGGCGACGTGGATGTTACGGCCTCCCTAAATGAGGGTAGAGGCGTCGTCCATGAAAAGGCCTCCCCAAACGAGGGTAGAGGTGTTGGTGTCGTAGACGGCGCAGCTTCCCCAAGGGGTGAAGGCAGGCTTGGTTGGAGGCGTGGTGAGCTTTGGCCCACAGTGAAACAGTTCCGCTGTGGATGTTCAATTCGAAGACGTTCCACGTCCTCGACTGATTTGAGGAGGGGAAACTGATGTTCAACGAACGTCACATCGCGGCTCGTAACCACGTAATGTGTGTCGATGTTCAGCAGCTTGAACCCTAGAGATGTCTCGGGTAAGCCAATATACATGCACAGCATGCCTCGGGGAGACAGCTTGTTCACACGCATGGGTATGTTGACGTGTGCGTAGGCTACACAGCCAAATACGCGTAAACGTGCGTAGTCTGGATGGCTCTGGTGCCATAGACGATATGGAGTGCCCCCACTGATGGTGGTGGACGGCAGTATGTTCATAAGGAACACTGCATGGGAAATGGCTTCGCCCCACAAGAACTGTGGTAAATTACCATGCAGTAGCATAGAGCGAGCCATGGTGACGATACGCCGCTCGGCCACAGGGTTCTGGGTCGGAGTATAGGCATTCGTGTACGTAAGGTGGGTGCCGTATTCGCTCTGACTACGGGCCTCGAGTTTAACATACTCCTTAGCGTTGTCCATTTGGAGCGCTTGGATTTCCTCGAACTCACTAGGTGGTAAGTGATGGTAGCAAAGCTCGATGACGTCGGAGCGATAACGCTGCCGTGAGTCGCGACAGAACGCGCTGTACTTGTCGTTCAGGTCCGCGCGCTTTTGCATGGTGTACACAAAGGTGTATCGATGAACGTGACGAAATATCGACCCCCAGTGATAGAGGGGATATTGATTGGACCCCACACGTCGGAGTGCACTCGTTCCAGAGCCCTCGACGACTTGGGCATTTTGTTGCGTGAAAAGGGAAGTACTTTGGACTTCGACCTTAAACATGTGTCGCACGAAACATGGGCCGCGATGGCCTGCCGAGAGATAGGAAATTCAAACACGGTCGAATGACGCCGCAATTTGCGTAGCTTGTCATGACTTGGATGGCCCAGTCGATGGTACCATTGCATAGTGCCCTGTGCATTCGACTGCGTCACGAGGACGGTCGATGTGGAGTCGGCGATGCGCGGTGAAAGCCGCGTCGCAATGACATACAATCCGGTGGATTCGTCGTAGGTTGCGGTGAACTCGCCGTCGTAGGTGGCTAGAGTCCACTCCTGTGGGGTGATGGAGACAATTTTATGTCGATCCATATGTAGTGCACGACCCACGGAAAATAAATTTGAAGTGTAAATCTGGGATGTGATATACATCCTGCAGATAGATCACTAATGTGTCATCGTTGATGCCAGTGACCTCGAGTCGGTCTGTGCCACGGCCGATGACATGGAGTTGGTGGCCGTCGGCTGCACCAGCAAAGGATGAGAATGGTTCGTAGGTGATGAACCACTCATGATGGAAGGTGGAGTGCTTGGATGCACCACTATCTACCTACCTACCGTCCAGTGACGGGATCGACTTTGCTCTTTGACAACCGGGCTGGTTGTTGACACGCGAAGTGCACATCCAGTACCCGTAAATACAAGTGATCGCGATACAGTAGTATCGAGCGAATCGTAATACGGACTGAAGTCCTGTAATAATGTCGAAAGTACTTTGGATGTACTTGACTTGTCGGTCGACTGCTTTAGTCCCGTAAAATGAAACATGTGAATGTTGATCATCTAAAATATGTCGAGGCATAAATGCCGGCATGTGTGCGTGAAGACAGAAATAAGGAGTCTGGTCACGTTGTTGACGTGTGTTCTGCGACACTAACGTACGGGTAGAGCCTGTTGGGCGTAGCCTTGGTCGACCGGCGGCGCGCTGCGGCTGCGGCTGCGGTGGCCCCGATGGCGCGCAGTCGTCGCGGTAATAGCCGAGGTCTTCGCGGTAGTCGCGGTACCGGTCGCCTGAGCGACTGCGGTAGCGGGAGGCCGACTGACGAAACGGGCTACGGCCGCGTTGATCGTCGCGATAAGCGCCGTAATCGAGGCTGGCGTAGCCGGAATGGCCGCCTTGTCCCATGCTGGCGTAGCCTGAATGGCCGCTGGAACCGTAGCCCGGTGGGCCGCTGGATGCGTAACCTTGTTGACCGCTTGAGGCGTAACCTTGGCGAACGGTGTTGAGGAAAGATGTTCCGGTTTTTGCCATGGCGTTTGCCACCGCGGTGGCCGCTTGGTCCGCCTTGAGTGCGTCGACCACCACCACTTTGGGGTAATTCGCCAGGTGGGATGGCAGCCCATCCTGGCGGAAACACAAAGTCTTGACGCACCGCGTTCTGGTGGAACTAACGGGAGAGCTTCGTGGAGGTGTACGTCGAGTGGCTGCCTGAGGACAGGCAGTAGTCACACCAATCCGCCATGGGGTCTTGGCCTTGGGTGCCCCAGGGTACGATGGCCGCTTGTCCGTAGCCTTCACGCTGGCTGGCGCCATCGCGAAAGGCCAATGCGCTAGACCGCGTCATCGTGGTCACGGTTGCCGAGCCATGTACCGGTGCAGCCATGGCGATCGGCGCTGGGCCGAGGTAGTGCGGGTACTTGGTGACCAAGCCCGGCCAGTTGCTCAAGCAACTGGCGCATGTTCTTGTATGGGATACTCTGCTGAGCGCCGCGGCATACGAACAGGTCTAGAGCGATGCACTCAGGTAGTGCTGCCAGGAGGGCCGAGGCTAAGTGGCTATCGCTGAGGGGTCGCCCTTCCAGCTTCTCCACTGCCGTTCGCATCTTGTCAAAGGCTTGGAGGTTGATGTCCAACAACACGTGAGGTTTGAACTTCAACGTGTGTAGCTGTTGGTAAACGAAGATGGCCGTTGCATGTTTTTGTTCGTCGCTGGAGAATTTTCCCCGAAGCGACGAAATGACACAATTCGCACGCGAATCCCGGCAGCGGCATCACGCTGGACCGTGGAGGACAAGTAGGCGTAGACCAGCGCGTATGAGCGCGCGATGGTCGACTACTCCAACATGATCAACTCATCCACGTGGTTGCGGATGGACTTCGCAATCGCCTCGTCCGTTGAGCGGTTGTCCGCGAGCTACTCGGTGAATTCCGGACCCAGTGGTGGGTGGGCGTCGAGCGTGAGTGGCCGGTCAGCCGGCAGGCAGTGCTGCCGCTTCGGCTTGGTGTAGCCGGATGCGCTTGCAGTCATTCAATAGCATCGTGCAGGCTCGACGGAGTCCCTTCATGGACGTGGCCGTCTCGACTTGGGCGCAGTGAGTCGTCATCTTCGGTGAGATCCTCACCGGCAAGAATGACGGAAGTGAGTTCAAAGAACCGTTCACTCAGCGCCTTCTCGGCGCCGAGTAAACGGTAGGGCAGCGCGAGAGGTAGCGGGTGGAAGGCTAATAACCAGTTGAGAGGGTAGTAGGCAGGAACAGACACGTGGGAGGCAGAAGGAATAACTGGAAGTGAATAACTTCTGACTGGAAAGAATCAGCCAATCAAAATCAGCTATGATTGACCACGGCATCCAATGATGTTCCGTGACCAAATGTCTGCGCTGACTTCTACCCTGAGGAAAAGCCTCTAGAAGGCACAAAAACCTCCTACACAGCTAGTCGACGCTGCTACGTGACTGACAGGGCAGTGGGGATGTTCTCTATCAGAACAGGGTGTTCTGACTATGTGTAACTTCGGGTATTTTCGACGAATTTGGAGGGTTTCTGATAATTCTGCATACAAATGCTTAGTATAGATAAAAGCCTTCAAATTTGGGCGAAACTTTTATCGGCAGTGTGTTTTGCCCGAAATATAACTAGATTTCCCAAAACCGCGGTGGAGATGCTATCCCCATCCAGTCGCAGCTTATCTAGGCATCTAGATGTGCTCGTGAGGTCGCTCCAAGTTTGTGATTCGAGTAGAGCGTTGTATTCTCAGTATTTTAGCGTATTAACTGTAAGCCAATCATTAGCTTCCCATGTGACCAGATATCAACTTGACTCCTAGTAAGCCACAGTGTTGGCATGACTTGAATGTGTTAACTCGTCCTGCAAAGGAGTTGACAAGGTATCCAAGTTGCTGGTTTTTCATCCTTACAGTTAATATTTAGGATCTATTTTATTATACTATTCTATTATGGATATACAAACGACAAGTATGTATTAAAATTACCGTTGCTTACAAAACCAAAGATAAAAAGTAAAAAAATATGATTCGTCGAAGTATGCTGCAAAAGATATGGATCAGAGCACAGTATTATACCCCGAAACCCCAAGTTCAAGCAAATTTTCTTTCCGTAACCCTGTAACCCCGGGACTTCGTCCTACCCCCGCGTGCACATACTTCGAAGTATAATGCTAAATCCCCCGGGTTAAGCGCATCACCAGTGGTTAGGCCAACACTGAGATACGCTTAACCTAGTAGGAGTTGAGATGGTCAGATTACAAAAAATATGCCTCATCTAACTGGAGTTTATTAGTTTGAACGGTTTTCAGTCTTGGTTGAACGGTATCCAGATTTATTGAACGTTTTTCAGGGTTTGTTTGTATGGTGCATTTGATCTAAAGACTACAGATCGGCCATCCCCAGGAGGAGGCGTTTTAGTTTAAACGCCTCGGTTCTTTCAGTTAAACCCACGTAATGTTGACGTTAAATTATTATTACTTACGTTTTTATCTGGTAAATAGGTTAAACATCCTGAATAATCCGGATACAATGGAAACGTTCATACGGATAAGTGCTGTATACAAAGACCAAGATATACTTGATGCACCTTTTCGGCCAATATGTGCCTGGCTCGATATATTTCCATACAAAAAGGCTGGTTGGTTTAAATTCTATTTCTCGATCAATTTTTCACCAATCGAAATTTTGAACCGTAACTTCTGTTGGTCTTGACCAGTTCTATCGTCATTACGGCTTATTTTCCTAAAAAATATCAATACAAAGTTGGAATAGCTGTCGAAAGACAAGGCATTTTTTTGTAGTCTTTAGTTGAAATGCACCATACTACATGTCGGCGTAATGTGTCCATTGAAGGCGAAGTTGCATTCAAGGTGGCTTCTCGAGCGTCCTGTGGTAAGTTCTGCAGAAAAGAGGATGAAAATGACAGGGAGAACAATTAGTTCGTTGGAGTCGATTAGCGAATCGTCCGTGAAAAGGTCTTTTGAAATTCCAGGATTTTTGAGCTTGACAAACATAACCAAGCTGTGAATAAGCATATTTTTGGTGTCAACATTGCCAATCAAATGACACCAAGGTTTCAGTCATTGATTGTGCAGCGTCAATAAAATATCCACACCCACTATTGGCGACTACCGTAGATACAAACCCCTGTATTTTTTTGAGTGCAACACTTGCGAGTTCCACCTACAACCACGTCACATTGGCGTTGTCGACGAAGTTCGAAGTACAACCTTTATTATTTTTCCAACGTTCAGTAGATTCCATGGTAAATATCGCTCATCCAACGAGTGAGCGGGAGTTGGAGCTCAAATGCTCACAACGGGAATGTGAGCTTCATGGGGTATTTACCAACTCTGAGAGGACGATGGCGATGGCTGTCAATTCGATGCTTATCTTCGAACTTCGACGGTGCCACAAAAACACGCAGAATAAACAGCCTTGCCCAGCTGAATTGCACGTTGCGATGTGCTACGCACTGTCCGAGCACGCCTTCCTGGGCTCGTCAGCTTTGTCGCCTCCGTTGAACCCACTGCGGAAGCGCCGAACAGGGCAAATCTTCCAACTGCTGCAAAGGGGGATTCAAAACGACGGCGCTACCACCGTCGATAGCGTTGCGATTGGCGCCCTCGCACTCAAGATGGAGCGGCTATTGTACCGCAGTGGCAATACCATTGTGGGCGAAGATGAAGAGGCGGCGTGGCCACCCGAAGTCCTGGACATGAAGCTGCGGCAGCTTGTCCTGCGCATTCTGCAATCGAAGTCTGCCGCGTCCTTCGCCCCCAACAACTACACGTTGGACACGATAGCGCTGCGTTGAAATGTTGTGAATATATGTGTAGTTGGACGGCCCTGATCGGACGTCAAATGTTCTATTAGTATGTACTACCGGTACTCTATTGTTTGATTGTAATGTGTTGGTCAGCTTTGGGGGCTGCAATACGACAGTTTCGCTGCTATTGTCTCTTGGTTAGCTTATAAAGTAGCGCGGTTGAGTTGATAACAGATGGGACACCCAGGGGAATTCCAATCACCAAATTGCAGCAACCGCTCACCAAGAAACAGGGCAAAATAACCCTCATCCAATGTGTTGCCTTCATTGGATGATCATTAGAGCATCCCCAAAGTTCAAAGTTCATACCCCTGGTACATTGATGCAGTGGAATTCCTTCCAACTTTATCTGTATCAGCCATTCATTGCAGAAAGGGGAATGCGGCGTAGAATCAGCTATGACTTGTTGCTGTGGGTGATGTAACACCCGTAGCTGGAGGATGGGTGGTCTCTCTGGGGGTCCAAAGGTCGGTGCCCTGCGAATACGAGACCTAACCAGCGCGGCCCCGCAGTTGTCTCAATTCCAAACCCCACCCCAGGCAACCTCCAACTGGCGGTCAACCCTACAAGTCGCTCGCAGCAAATGACAATTAACGTTACAATAACGGTCTCATATCTAAAATAATTGTACTGTTCGGTACTTTGGCAGACTACGTATATACCCTGACCTCTCCAATCCGTGTGCAGTTTGTATTTTGTTTCTGTTGCATTAAAACGTCAGTCGGAAATTCTATCATGAGACATTGGAGGTGCAATGTCTGTACAGGGGGCTAACGAATACTCCAGTATTCGTAGTACAGCATTATTCAAATGTAATACTATGTGGCGCCTCCAACTTGTGTTGGTTCTTCTGTATGAATCTAATGATATATACTACTAACGTTATGTCTTTTCCCTGTGATCAATCCTGTACACTTGATCCATACTACTGTACAACCTACCGGTATCATTTATATCATCCATTGTATCCATCAGTTGATGGATACTGGTACATGGTAGGTAGTACTTCGAAGTACTACGTAGTAGTACTGTACTTTGTAGTCGAGCCAAAACCTACAATAACATTAACAGTAAACCCAGTCCTGGAAACAAAGATTAACAATGACCGCTTTCCTCCACATCAACAAATCGGTTCGAATGAACGAATGTGCGGTAGGCCAAATTGAGCGCAGGCATTTGACGTCATGTGACTGACCGCCAAACATACGCAAGAGTTATGTTCCACGTTGCTGTTAATTCTACAAAGAAACGCAACGAGTCACATTGAGTTGCTATGCAGTCACGTCCTACCACCCTCATTTGCCAAATGGCCAGCCCCAACCATGACGCAGTCGTTCTCAAACCAATCCAGCACTCAAAGCGAACGGATCAAATCGTTCGACTTCTGCACCGGCACCGGTATAATTTCACGAGTGGCAAAGCCTTAATCAACTTGGCATTGAAAATCGAACGGCTGCTGGTGCACACCTTCCCCCACGATGCCCCTATTGTCTTGTCCTCGGACGAGCTCGCAGTGAAAGTTAGCCGCATCATCACTAAAGTCTTGCAGTTACGTCGAAACAGGCAGCAACGACGCCGATCGTTTACGATTGCAAGCATGCTAAATCCTGTCGACGGAACTACTACCGGTACTATCGAATAGCCAAGCGACTTTTAAGTTAAGGTTCATTTTGTCCTTCGATACATATGTCCGACCAACTATCAAGAGACGCAGGGAATACAATCGCAGAGTGCAACTGATCGCTTGAATCAGGGGTGATGCTCAACTGGATTTCAAACAATCGCACTGACTTTGGTAGCTACAGCTAGAACCCACAATCGGGCGTGGATACGTAGAGGTCAGCCGAGGTCAATGTGAGATCCAAATCGAGCGAGGAATCGTAGAGTGACGCGGCGCGGCGGACGATAACGAAGCAGTGTCCCTTCCAACGACGAGTACGTAGTGCAGTCATCGGGGGCTTATTTGGGCGAAAATCGGCGGCCTAATTACCTTCTTGGAACCGATGGCGCCAAGTGCAGTGGAAAGGGACTGCTATCAGGCGTACTATAAGGTGTAGGGCTGACGGGGGCTGGGGTGGGCGCCTAGTACCTATCGAACCAAAAGTTGGCTACCTCATCTCTGTAGATCGTGAGGTGGCAGCTCCGAAGCTGGTGTCATAATCGGTATGGTTGTTGTTGGTGGTTGTAACGATGTAGTGAGCTGCGTAGTTGTACAAGGGGGCTAGAGTCTTGCCATCGAGCACGACTTAAACATTCGAGCCTGGCAAGCAGGGTATTTATTGACTATGGACGAAGGTCTTGGTCGCGGTATGCCGTGGTAGAGACGAAATAATAGGAACCTGCATAGATTTAGAATGGAGTTGTGTATAGATACGCTAGCTATGGAACCAGGGCCTGTCGAGTTGCGCCGTCAAGCAAAATCACATTCATAGTCGAATATTACAAGTAACGTTATACGAGTAACGAATATTACTAGTAACGTTATACGAGTAACGTGATATTGTATTTATTGGGTTTAATAATACGCTTTATTATTGGATTGACGAATACAGTACTAAGCTTATTAATAGTACTAATAAGCATTCGATACACTAAGTAGTATTTGTGAAGAACTGCCACGACACAGAGATACGAGCATGCATCGTCTCTGGCACCACATAAATACAATAAGGAAAGGATCAATTGTCAATGTGCCCCCAACGCCTGGAATCGATCACTTCTCACCATGTAAGTCTCCGCAACTGCCGACAACAGCGCACGGTCCAAATCATGCGTCTCCTACGAGCAAGTGCGGTATTTCCTGTTGCACCCCTAAGCGATCTATCGTTGGCCGCCACGGCCGCCAAACTCGAACGCGTGCTTTCCCGGTCTTTCCCTCATAATCCTAGCATTTCGAATGACGAAATGTTGGAGCTGCGTCTTCGTTATGCCATCACGCACATACTTCAAAAGAAGGGGAGGGCATCGCGAACTGAATCCGATTTGGTGGTGTGAAGTGGCCAAGCCTATGGAGTTTGTTGTAGTCGCAAACCAATGTGCGTACCGTGTAGTTCTGTAAAATTCTGTCGTGTAAGTACAAATAGTTCAGAGGCAATCTTGAAACGTTAGTATTGCAATACAATAATGTGCATAGTGTAATTCTATAGTACTTTATCATAAATATATTTTTGACAGCTCTGCGTCAAAATTTGTTTGATTTATTTCCGAACGTCAAGTTTTGCGATTGTTTGATTTATTTCGGAACAGAGGTAGTAGTTCTGAATATCGAGCGATCTTTGGCTGCAGTCTCCTGACAAGCATCATATCCCTGCAGAGCGGGTAGCCGCTATATATCCACGACGAGTAGGTACATGACTGTAGCTAGCCCTATGGATTCCATCTCCCAATCAAAGCATGCGAAAAACGAATAGTTCGCGACCATTTACTAATGAAGTGTTCGCGCGTGCATCGAAAACGCACGGCTTGGCCAATTTCTATGCAAATCTAGAGGCCGAAACAATCATCCACGCTGCCAGAGACCCGAAGACTCGAGAATGAGCACTCTAAATCGATGTATTGTTTCTTCATAGCATTAAGTTTCGATAAATAGGGAGGACGACGTCGGTTATGCCGCCATGACGCTGGCTCGGCTGTTCGAAGGTGTAGTTGGATGGTAGTTTGGTTTCTTGCTCGCGTTCAAAATGAGGTTGATTACTCGCCGCATGCGCACTTCGAGCGCGTCGTCGGACAAGAGACCGATGTTGTCGGGAAGCCCTCGGTACACGAGTCGTTCGAGTTTGATCGCCAAAGCAGCCAGCTCCAGGGCATTCATTTGTGACCACTGGTGGCTGTGGGGTCCCCTTCGAAACATTTGAATGATTTGAGTCATACGAAGCTGGCGGCGCTGTTGGCGGAGGGCCACCTGTAATTGGGGGAGGTGGGGTGTTGTTGTGGATGGCTGGTAGGTCATGGGAAATGAATTGAACAATGACCTAGTGATCAGGATGGTTTTAGTGATGATGATGCACGTTTCTATAGTCAAAAACAAGATATGGCGCTGCATTATGCACCCAAACACTCAATTTCAAAGTGGTGCCTTTTATATGTAAGGTAGGTACCGTTCTTCCAGCTATTAATACACGTTACATAGGTTTAAAATGCCTACAGTAATACAGAACGACGGGCGCTGCTTTGCCTGCAATGACTACACTAGTTTCTCGTGTGTGAGAGTAAATTGATTTACAGTTAATTGTACTGTGAAGTAGTAATTTTAATTACTACATCAATTTACTCATTTTAAAGAGTAAATTGATGTTACATGAACCCATAAACGCGCAACCTGTCTGAACAAAACCCGCAAACAATCACACGGCCACGCAACTTTTCTTCGGTTGCCACAAAGCGCATTCTTGTATCCCCCCAATTATTACTCCAGTAGTATATAATTGGGGCGACGATATTACAATAGATTTTCAAATTCTCCGCCAGCAAAACGAAAACGAGGTGGTTATTATACCGTATCGTTTGCAATAAGTCAGTGTTGTCAGTCAAGCCTATCGTGATCCGTGTTGGGTGGACTCAGCCTAGCCCATTCCTAATCCCAAATTGCAACTGACTTACTACTGTGGAACTACCTCGTAGTATTATAACAACAGGAACAGTTATTAATACGAGTAGTATATAACAATCCGTCCGATATCCAATCGCACTTAATCGATCCTTCAACGAAACATAAATGTGGTCAGCAGGATCAAACTGCCCTTGCGGGTTTTATGCTCCCTCGTCCAGTCGTCCGAGTATCCTTCTTATACACTGTACATTACTCCAGAGTAGTACATCCAATGAGGTTTCGCCTCCATCATGGGAATCGAATTCGACCAGTGTTCACGGTACGTACGGTATGTAGCTACGATACCTTTAACGTTAGCTACATACCTACAGTTCGTCTCGCTTAGGTTGAAGGTTGTACAAATATACATCCTGCTTGTGCAGTACAAATGTTGAACCGACCACATCAAAAGTGCTGTTGCTGCAACTGCAATCTGCAGTTGTTCAGTTTATGTGCAACCTTCCATCAGTTGTTTGAGATCGTAATCCTGACCATCCTCCCGCGATCCTCTCACGTAAACCAGGGCAAACTCTGGTAATCCGACGAGGGATATCCACTGAAATTGAACTTAGTCCATTGGTTGTTGTTGAACGAGATGGAGTTGCCGCCGCTCGCCTTGAGGCTAGGCAAGGTACAATAGCCCAGCTGCACTTGATGCCAAATCCTAAGTGCATATCAATGTGATGGAAACGTCAACTCCGTGATATATGCTGGGATGAACAACTTCAGACGGAATCCGTGTATCCCACTAAGTCCGCTCGCATAAACATGCACACACACAAGATGGGTACAATAAATACTAGTTTTCCCAGTTGTGTCTTCATTTTCGAATTTCGTCCGTGTGTCGTCCATTCACCAACCCCTCTCAGTAGTACATCATGGTTGCCCTGTCGTCGCTCCAGCAAGCCGTGGCCTGCTTGCCTATGAAACCTCTCAAACACACCAAACGCACCGACCAAATCATGCGCCAACTGCAGCACACATACAGCAAGCAGTTCAAGTTCTCCAACGGCAAGGCGTTTATCACGCTTGCGCTCAAGATCGAAGGGATGCTGTACCGCGAATTCCCCAACGACGCCAATGTTGTCTTGTCGTCGTCGGCCCTGGCACGAAGGCTGCAGCATGTTGTTGTCAAGGTTCTTAAACTCCAACAACAACCAAAGGACATGGCGGCCACCACGTGCGCTTCGCTGGCAGCGCCTTGCGCGTCTCCGCCGCGGAGTTTTACGATCGCATCCATGCTGTCGTGATGATCCAACGTGATCCTGTATATGTGTGAACGTACGATGTATACGTCAAAGTATGGTATTTAATAGAGCAAGCGTAACTCGATTGTGTCGCGTGCTTACAGTTCACCGTACGTATATGAACACATACTTGTTCGAGGCTTGAAGTACTGTATCCTGGGTGGGAATCGACGACGACTAATCGTGTCACCAAATTACACTATATATGTATGCACTGTAAAATTAGCGTTGAAAAACTTCAAAAAGCCATGGGCAGCAGCGTTCTTAGAGCCCCCACTGCACTGGGCTATTAACGTTACTTGTAGAACGAACCACGGATTTTACTAGGACGTGTGGTGTAGAAGGACGATTTGTCTGAGTTGGTGAGTGCTGATGGTGTCTGATGGGGTGCAGACACTTTGATTGCCCATAACGGTACTAGTACTACTCGTAAGCAAAGTACATGTTGCGAAAAAACAAAGCTCGTGGGAAGAATAACAGTATTGGCATCGAATTGTAGCCGGTGGTTTACTATCATCCATGAGAACCTAACGAACGTTGACCATCAACGAAATGAATGGTCGGACGTGCGCGCAATCACGACATGATGATTGCGAGGGCGCCGCTTTGCAGCTTAAAATTAAGACAATTCGTTCCCAAGAATCTGTTGACGTTTCCAGTACAACGATACGCAATGGAATAATACAGTATACATTGACACATACACTTGTCAAGTTTCTCTTGCAAGCAGCGCTGCCGACATACTAATATACCTCGAGAAATTCCGGCCAATGGTGCTCTCTGTACACCCATATTTGGTTCATTTGTGTACCTACGAAATGCCTGCGAAATCTCATCAAAACACTCGACTATCGAACGATCGAATATCTATTGGTTGAAATCATATTGATGAACGCATGTCATTGGATATATAAAAGTTTGTTCAATGTTTGGCCATTTATTGATTGAGGTAGGGACTAGGTACAATCCTGGACAAAATACGACATACCGTAATACCGTAAACATGACATGGATATGACCAGTAATCTTCAGCAATCGCGTAGTGTGATTGCGGGAGCGTTAAGCTCGTACTTTGCAGGAAACAAACAATATGGCGGAAATCGTCGAGAAATCTATTCCGATACGTTTATGTGGCGCACTGGATGTAGGTAAGTTAGTACCGTAATCTCGTCACATAATACTACGTAGTATGGTACAGTAGCTTGGTGGACTGCACCATGCTGTGGACTGACTATGAACATAGTCCATTCTATTTGAGCCTTTGGTACATGAGTTCTACGGGGGCGACTTCTGCAAGCAATTATATATAGTTGTGGGTACCATGGTACAGTAAACATGAGTATGACCATGGCTAGACAACCCCCACTGTCAACAGCCTTCAGCAGTAATTTTGGTGTTGCTGGATGACATGTCAAGTCCACGGCAAGTCCATTTACACATTATGACATTAAACTAGAGTGAGATAGATACACGCAATAAGTTATGAGCATGGTTCGTTTTAGAGCATCACTACGACACCAGTGGGTTCCGAAGGCGGCATGCCGAGTGGCACGGGGACGTTCTTGGCGTCCAAGATGTGGTGAATCACTCGGCGCATGCGAAGCTCGAGCAGTTCGTCCGACAGAATTCCAGTGTTGGCCGGCAACACGCGGTAGATGAGGCGCTCCAACTTGATCGAAAGTGCCGCGAACGCCAACTTGTTCAGCGGACACGGAGTTGTGGGCGTGGGCTGCGACGACGTTCGCAACATGCGCACGATTTGGGCAAGTCGACGCTGGCGGCGGTGCTGGTACTGCATGGTCAGCTGGGGGCCTTGAGGCACTTTGATGTGGTTGGGGGCTTGGCACATGCTCAGGAAATGACAGAATGAGAGGAAACTCTCACAACAGTGCTGCTTGTGATGCAATTACGAAGAACGAACGTATATACCACGAGGTGTCAAAGAAGCCCAAACTCGCAGTTCTATGACGGAATGACGGGTTGATTATATAAATAGGCCGAGCTGGTTTTTTCACACCCGAACTTGCCATCGTACCCTGTCGCGCCTCTGCGACACCAATATATACCGCATTTTGGCCAATCGAAGTGCAAGAAAGAGAAGAGTCAATGGTAAGATTCACACTAGTATTCGCGTTTCGAAGTAATTTTGGTTAACTGTTAATCACAAGCTAACGTTACTACGAACCGCTTCATGTGAACAAATATGATGCTTATGGGAACAAGTGATGGCCCCGCGTAGCATCCAAGGCAAAAACAGTAAGCCTTATCGTCAAACCTACACTTACTTTAGTCGTTTCAAGCAATCCTCATTACACTCCATGTTGTGTTCGTAGTTCATGCCATCGTAATTCTGAACGAACGTTAGAACATTCGACTGTCTTTGTGCACGAGAATCGCGTATTCACGTATCTCTGGATTGCGCGAGTGAAAGCACATTTATATTGTTGCTATTAAGCACAACAGCCCAGTATTAATGAGCTCAAAATAAACGTGGGCGCTCAGTCTAACGTTATATGTAAAATTGAGCTCCTCCTTAGGGAGCATGTCTAATGACTAACGTTATATAGCCTTGGGAACGAGTCCGCAGGTGTTGAAGATCAACGTGTCGGTGTGACTATAATCCACAGCATAGGAGGTACATTTATTACCATCGTCGTGAAAGCTGCGATGGTGGAATGACGTACGAAATGGATGGCGCCAGTTGTATTCAGTGTGCACTTTGTGGTGTTTACTCCACACATATCAAGGCTACTATTGGAGAGTTACAACTTACAGACTGATTTATGTTATAATTCGTGGTTGTTATATACTACTTCGAAATGTCGCTGTACTGACCAATTCAGAAAAAGGATGTTTTACTATAAACGTGTTGGTTTTATGGGTTAAACCTAAACTTCGACCACGTTAAACCTCATCATTATGCGTTTTATTCCTGTCAAGGTAGGTTAATGTGTACTTCGAATATGAACAGTATGAAATAGCAGCCAGACGATTTTATTGTTGGAAGTTTCTAGGTGAACTGCACCATAATACTAGTACGTTATAATAGTACTGTACTTGAAGTGTAAGTACGGAGAGTTAATAGTACATAGTTGGCCCGCGCTCTGATGGAAAATAAGTACTACGTAGTATTGTCGATTTTCTTCAAATTTCCCAATTTTGTATGGTTCGTTCACCGCTCGGCGAGATTCGATTGAACGGGGTCCGGAAATTCATACCGAATCTCCAATAGTAACGTTAGTATTTTGGATTGCAACAAATTTCCCAATTATGCGCGACTCGTAAAACTGATCACAAAATCTCACCGAGAAATCGAGAAAATTCATTTGCCTTTCCCGATTCCGCCGAAAACACGGAGTAATAATGCAGCCAATCACCGAGAAGCATTTTACCAGTGGGGGCGATTCGTGCTCGGTGTTCAACGGGGTTCGGAAATTCGTGCCAAATCAATAATACTACCACAAGAATGCAACTAACATTTCGGCGGTAGCACTTCACCGAGTGTCGTTTGAGCCATTACTATTTTAACTAACGTTAATAGTAATGACAATAATATGAGAAATTGTTATATTAAAATACAACAATTTCTCGTAATATATTATTGTTACTTTGTCCCCCCCACTGGTCAGGCTTCGTTCCAGTCAACGTCCACGATGTCGTTGCTGTCAAGAGACGAATGACAAAGTGTCTCCAGCATGAGTGTTGACGGCATTTGGAAATTCATATCAAATCTAATTATACGAATTCAATTCCTCCGTCGTCGTCGTCATGACGGCGTGCACAAATCATGGCACAGACAACTTTGCAGGGGGGTGCCTATCCTGTTGGAGCAAAACGTGTCCGTTCGGCTGTCGCTCGAGACACTGCGACGATGGACGACCGAGTCGATGTATTCCAATGAACACCCGGGACTACTACCGAGGACGGAGTTGCTGGCAAGTTGGGACCAAGGGCGCACCGAACATACAGTACACGCTGGCATTGTCTGGACTGCGCCATGGACGTATACGCTCCAGGTGCGGATACAGTTGGAGCACACGACCTATATACGGATCAGACTCAGACGCGGCGTGTCAGAATCAGACCGTACCTGTCCACATTTGCGGCAATGTGCGCGGCAGTTGCCGGCGAGGACACGAAATTTCTTGTGGCAACGAAAGCACGCCCGCTTCGACTTCAATGGCACGCAATGTTCAATCTGAACCCACGGCCCCCGACTTAGCCGTTGTTCTCGAAGCCGACGATCCAAATGAACTAGCGGCTGGCGACACCTTTGTTTGAGTGACGTAGCCACCACCCATTCCAGCACGCGGCCGCCAAAGTCACAGTGGGACATACTCGTTGCCACGACCGTCGAACAAGGCTTTCGCCGGATGGATCTGGACGCTTCAACGTACACTTGCCCGGATGGACGCTGGTCCAGGTGCATGTTGGTGTCGAATACGCACCCCCTGCCCGCATAGTAGTGTTGAACTTGAGGCAACTCGAGCGACTTTTGTACCCGCAGCCAACCCCGCTTGCCCCCTCCAGCATCGAAACTTGCGTCGCACTAGAATACCGGAACCTGTTTATATATATATACATACCGATAAGCCAGATAAGCCAGGGAACAAATACAACGTACCTCCAACACTATCGCATGTCGAGGTCGAATAATCAACCGGTCCAACACACTATTGAATCGGATGGACTGGACTATTAACCGATCGACGGTCATCGTGTGTGCTTGGGGAGACTGCTGCTGCTGCAGGTGGGCTTGGGGCAAGATCGTATACAATGGCACCGCCACAACGTCGCGTTGCGACAGCGTGGTGGGGCTGTTTTGCAAGCCAATCACTTCGTCTAACGTGGCTGAAACATGTGTGACACTGCAAAAGAGGCCCAACGTGGGCGACTTCTTAGCCGGTGAGGGCACTGTAACCCCTTCGTACATGTCCAAATCGGCTTGATGGCGCTGCAGCGTCCATTGAATATGGTCGTTGCTGGCATCAACATTGGCATGACGAATCTACACGGATGTGTTAGAATGTTGAACTGTACATAGATTCACAGTCCATCGACGCACCAGTTCGTGGGCAGCTGCCAGCGCGATGGTTGTAATCCGATCTTTGTCTTGCTTTGACAAAGATGGCAAGGCGCTGCTGCTGTTCATGTTGCGTGAAGGTTGACAAGTGCGGTACAGTACTTCGTGGTACATATAAGTTAGTTACCATGCCAGACAATAATCTCTTCATATAAGTGGACCTAAACCGGGTGAGATATCTGGTATGTTATGGACAGTTGATTGGGCATTTAAACCCCATTCTACAATCTCCGACCAATCCAATTCCACGTGTAACAAAAACGAGTGTATCGGTTCAGACATGCCATCACAACGCCATCACAAACGCAATCATGTCCGTGTCCAAGTGCAATAACGTAATCGTTGTAGATACCATTACTGGTACTGTGGCCAGACACAACATCACCAAGTGGCGTACCACGAAGTCCAATGCTGAATTCCTGACAAGCTTATGGGCATATTTATAAGAGATACTGCAGGGGGAGTCACTGTATCGGTGGTGCAGCCCTCTGGATAGAGATGGGGGAAGCGGCATTGCGATATTAACAAGGGGGGCATGGAGCGTTATAGCAAGTACTTCTTACTCCTCATTTCAGTCAGGGTGTTATATATCGTAGGCTCCTCAACGTTTACACAAACACTAACAGGTAGTACGTAGGAAAAATGATGTGTTGATTATGCACATGGTTGCCTCATAGTAGTACTCTAAGCATTGTAGCAAACGAGGTACAGTGTACTACAGTACCATCATTGGAAGTTGACTTCGGGGTATAAAGTTGCCAGCCATCCTAACGTTACTACTACAGCACTATGTATGTAGTACATGGAGATCTTTGAATGTGAACATAACCACTGCCGCGTTCCCGAGTCCACATCACAGTAAATGGCCGCTACTCCTAAACGAACTACTAACTGACACACATCTTAACACTAGTCAAATGAAGCATTATTATTAATATTAGTTCGTACAAATATTATTAATTATACTTCATTTGGCACTGTAACTTTGTATGACACATATTAATACGTATTGTAACTATTATTAATAGTTAGTAGTAGTAGTTAGTAGCATTATGCCGTGATTACTCTGGACTATTTTTATCTACACGACGGGACTGTATTTGAGGAAGTGCATGGAAAAGTCGGCTTCTCCTTGCGTTTTCGACCGCAGCGACGTGGCGTAGCCGACCATGTGCGCCAACGGCACATGGGCTTCAATGCGACTGCGCCCCACTCGTAGTGACGAACACTGGCCCACCTACGATAGAATATTATAATAATATATAAATCAAACAATAATATATTCCATCCACACAATAATATATATATATCAAACAATATTATATTCCATCCACACCCAAACTATAAACTACCAGCAGCATCCTCCACCCACAATCCGTCGATCCAAAATAAACATGATGTCTTGAGGCAAAAAAAGTGAACTCTGTCACATTTCGGTCCTTATATCGAGGTATGGCAGTATAATAAACCACTCTCGACAACACTCGATACAACCATATCAGTCGTACGTACGTACATAAATACATTCCTTTCAGCCAAATCAAGTACAATAAACTGGAAAAAAACGCGCAAGAGTTACATCACAATATCTTTAATCATCTGATAAAAGTCTAATCATCGAAGCAGATTATTCAAAACGATATAGTCGTCGTGACCTCTCCTTGGTAAAAATACACTATTTCATCGTGGCCCTATTCCAACCATATGTCCACTCCATACAAACGTTAATATATATATTCGAGTGCATCTCTTGCGAGTTTTTCCCCACTTCACTGTATATCGAGCGAAATACACCCATCAGGTTGTGTACCCACCCACCCATACATACAACAACAATAGCAACCACCACCAAATTCTGCATCCTTGCGTGCGATGTCATCGGAGTTGTGTTTTCACGTACTTGCTGGATAGCGGCGCGACGGTGGGAGTTTAAATCAGACAAAATATCGCCCACACACCGGTCCGGGCTTCGGACGTTGAGCAGCATGATGGGTTCGAGAGGGACAGAGCCCGCTTTGTCTAATGCTTCGCGAAGGCCGAGCGCCGCCGCCGCGCGGAAGGAATTCGCAGACGAGTCGGAATCAAACGCGCAATTGCCGATATCCAACTCAATGTCAAGATATGCCAGGCGGTGGCCAGTGTGTCCTCGACCGAGGGCACTCTAAAAAAGAGAGAAAGATATGAGTGACGGTAATATTGATCTGGTTGTTATGGCTTGACATAAAATTCAAGCAGGAGAAATGGTGTTTGAATTTTTTTTTAAAGAAATGTACTATTCAAGATATGGATATTTGAAGTTATGCAAAAAAAGTATGGTACGGACTAAACGGTGGGACCAAACTATATACGAATCAATGATTGGTTGAAATGTTTCGTTGGTGAAGTTTGATTGGCTAGGACATTTTCCATTTTCACATACAAATAGTTGTGATAATATTTATGCGATTCGACTCGAAAGTCCAACTTGGATCCGGTTTGACCATACAAATCGACGATTGGTTTATTATATGCATGGAGTCATACGCAAAAAATAGAGTGAGTCAGAGTTTAGAGGATAATGATATATATATTATCCATCAACTAGAATCGTTAGATAATCCTAAAAACAATATTAAATACAGATTTAGGCCGAGTCTGGGTGCCACAGAAAATGTTATGTCAAAAACTATTTTAACAGTGAATCAATCCCCTTTTCAAGTAAAACGACAAAAAATATTTTTTCTATTTGCAAAATATTATTATTTTGATGGGCCCTCGGGGTGCCATGATGGAATGCAAACTATTCCCAGTATATAACTATCTTGCAGATCTAAACTTGGTCAGTTTCTAGTAAAAACTATTTTCTGTTAGAAAAAACACCAGTAAAAATTAGTCAATTTATTTATATATATATATGTCAGATGTGGAAACACTAAAAGCTGTCGTTTGAACAATTGTCATCCTATTTTCGAAAAAAGAAAGAGTTGATTTCTGACAATTTTTTTAGGGCAGCCAGTGGGGCCCTTGTCGTGCAATACGTGAATACATATTTTACGTAATTCCATATGAGATTATATATATATATACAGTATTATTACCTGCAGGCCGTCCTCCATGGCCTGCACAAACGCAAATGGCAGCGAGGTAGTTCTGATCGTGTCAGCTGCTGGTTGCACATGTCGGATGTGGTTGGCGCCGTCGTCTTTGGAGCTTGCCACGTCGCGAGGCGTAAGCTTAAATGCGATTTTGGCAAATTGACGATCGCTGCCCAGTACCGTGTCGTACGTAAACTCGTGCTAGTCAGATATATATATCATATCTATCAATATATATATATATCATATATATATATAAAGTGCGTTGATTGGAAATGACTGTATTTTGGAAAGGGGATGATGGCACGAGAGAGGTCGGGTACGAACATACACAAAATACCACCAATCGAATATTGTCAAATCGATTCGAAGCAGAATCGAATGTCTAAAGAGAATACGGATTTAAGAACCATATCCCAAAAGCCAATCAAATCACGTTCTGGCAGAAACTCTAACCTCCGCATTGGGCTAAACTATATATATCATAATCTTTGTATCGTATACTTTGTACAAGCTTAAATCAGATCAAATGGATTCGAATGCTAATTGGCGAAATCAATCACAAGTCAACAAACTACAAATAGCATCCGTATACATATCATGCACGAACAACCTCTAGCTGAAAGCAGTACTATCCACGCAATACACCATGAAGTAATCAAAACTCAGGTATCGACAGTTATATTACAAGTCCTCATATATATATATATCTCCACCACGTGCCTAAATCAACTCGGTCACGAGGAGTACTTTGACGTATACTTCCCCCACTAGTCCAAATATATTTAAAAAATCATGGGGATTGATTGATCTCATAACTATTAAACTCACAATTATATGACACACTAATATGGCGTTAGAGACGACACCATTTGTTGACAGTGACAATTATTCACAACAAACCATATAAAAATCATAAAAATATACACAAACATAACATTCTACACTATCACTTGCCACGCAATAAAAAATAATATATATATATACCCATTTTAAAAGAAAACAACCTTAACAAATATCTCACTTTCTACTACGTATATAATATATATATATATATATATATAAATACCGCGATCGCCGACCCAACCGTTTCTCGGTACGCCACGCGCATGTGGCCAATCGACGGGTCCAGCTTGAATTCGGTGCGCAATCGGTCCTGTAGAATCTCGAGATGGAGTTCCCCCATACCGCTCATCAGCGTCTGGCCAGTCTCTTGGTCCTGGGTCACGACAAAGCTCGGGTCTTCCCGCTGCAAATGACCGAGGGCGTCGTCCAGTTCTTTCTGGCGACTCTGCGAGTCCGACTCGATCGAGCACGTAAATACCTACGAAATATAGTGTGAACTTTTTTAATAAAATTATTTTTAATCCATTTTTTTTTAAATTACATTCAAGTACTGCTAGAAGGCTGGTGTGGCGTACTCATGCAACACACGATCTATATATATATATATATCCCGATCTATGTACACAAAATTAACAAAAAGTCACACAACTCAAAACGCTTTGGTACAGATACAACATATATTGTACACCAATATGGTTTTGTTGTGCAAAATGGAATGTCAAGTCAATATATATATATATATATAGACTATATATATATATATTTCCAGAGGAGCATTCAAAACATGACAAATCAAAAATATCCAATCGATATATATATATATTAATTACACCAAGTCACTCTACAGTACCGGGGCGGGGATACCAACGCCGGGCAAGATGGTTTTGACCGAGGCGTTAGCTGCCACCAATGTATCGCCTGTGAATCTACACTTGATTTCAGTATACCATACAACCCCTCAGTTCGTTTTACGTATGCTTGAGGCCCACAGCTGCGCCAATGTGGCCAGCTTGGATCTGGTCCACTTCATCGGAATCGTCGGCAGCCACCAGCATCAACCGAGTGAGTCGCTCCTTGGTATTTCTAATGAAAGACAGGAATAAATATAAATATATATATATATATATATATTTATCGATAAGAGCCATTTTGTTTTCCGGGGTGCATTTTTTTCTTACCTTGTGGTGTTGAGTAATTGGGCTTTGGCGTGCAACGTGCCAGAATAGACGCGGAAAAACACAATCGGACCGCGTTGGCGGTCGTGTTTTACCTACACAAGATATCCCATATAGTGCATACGAACCAAGGCATTCAAAACCAACCTTAAAGGCCAACACACTCAACGGCCCAGACGCTGTGGCGTCGACTGCCAACGATCGAACCGACTTGTCTCTTTGAATCACGGACGTCTCAAACGGAGAACAGCTGGGGTCCACTGGAGACGGCAAGTAGTCGATCACAGCGTCCAGCAAGGGCTGAACGCCTTTGTTTTTTAGCGCACTATGTCGCATATTAGAGAAAATTCACCGATATTTCGTAAAAAAATGATGATTTTTTAGCAAAAAATTGAACAAATATGGTCACCTGCCACACAGCGCCACGACGGCTTTGGGGTGGTCGTCCGGCTTGGCCACAGTAATACGCCGCAACGCCGCTTGCAACGTGGCTGCATCGATGGGTTCTTCCGACAAGAACAAATCCGCCAATATTTCATCAAAATCCGACGCTTTTTCAATCAAACTAGGTAAAAAACATAAGAAAATTCATGAAAAAATGGTGAAAAATCACCTTTGGCGAGCGGCCGACGCATTGTTATACAATTGTTGCATGGATTCGTTGGACGCTCCTGGGACCAACGGCAACCTACCATATATGTGTACCCGCGTTGCCAATCAAAACGAATCTTAACATGTGGGAATAGTACACACATACCGTCGAATTGTTTGGCCTTCGGTGTCACTCCACGTCAACATTTCCATCGTCAAGAGATCCACAACCCCGTGAAAGTCTGCGTTTTCACCCATGGGCAATTGAATGGCCAGCACAGTCACATTGAATCTAAAACGACAACAAATAAATATATATTATATCTCTTTTAATATATATATATATATTAAAAGCGATCAAGATTTAAACTTAACAATATATTGGGCGATCAATTGATCTGCAAGACATACCGTGTTTCAATCATCCCCACCGTTCGGTCAAACGACGCGCCTTCACGATCCAATTTGTTGATAAATGCAATGCGGGGAACCTACCGATAAGCACTTTTTTGAATTCCGGAGCCCCACGATATAATAACAACCACATCCCATATAGTTAACAATCACATCCCATACTAAGTATCATACTAATTTTAGCGAACCCAGAATCTCACCTTATATCGGTCCGCTTGTTCCCACACTGTTTCGGTTTGAGCTACAATCACATATACAAGTGACTAATTCAGCTATCTAATATATATATATATATATATATATGTAGTAAAAATACAAGACAAATGGATAAATTATAAAACGAGTCCAATACACACATTCGTCGAATAGTGAACGTAGTGTTGTGTAAGAATCGGCAGAAGGATTTAGTCAATCAGATTGCAGGAAACTGTCATCAATGTCAAATTAGTGTATGACTTCAATTAGTATGATCCCAATCACCACTCGACAACTTTTTTACATACTCCAGAGTATAAAATTCAGTACAATGAATCGATCGATAGATTTGGCGATCAAAAGTCAACCAAATTTTGAGTAAAAGAAAGACAATATTGAGCCAATCAGAGATTGCAGCAGGAAACCTTCATGAACATCTAATTAGTGTATGTGACTTTAATTAGTGTGATCACAATCACCACAGGATACCGTTTTACATACAAAAGTCCATTCACCGAATCGATCGATGGATTTGGTGAAAATCAGCTCCCAAATGTCCAAATGTGAAGTTAAACAACAATACCTTCGACGCCCGCCACGCCGTCAAACACTGCGACCGCGCCGTCCAGCACTCGCACAGCGCGCTCCACTTCGATCGTAAAGTCGACGTGGCCTGGGGTGTCGATCAAGTTGATGTGGTGCCCTTTCCATGGGAACGAAATGGCTGCCGACCCGATCGTGATGCCGCGTTCGCGCTCCTGTGGCATGAAGTCCATGGTGGTGTCTCCGTCGTGGACTTCCCCCATGCGCTTGATCGCGCCTATTCATACATTGTCATGAGTGATGGAATTTTTTCGTCCGTGACGTTCACCGGAGTAGAACAGCATCCGTTCGGTGGTGGTCGTCTTGCCCGCGTCGATGTGCGCCAAGATGCCAATGTTGCGGATCTTCGTGATGTCCGTTGCTGCTTCTGTCGAGTACGAGCATCCCATTACCCTAGACCAATGCCGCGTCGCCGCTGTCCTTGCAGACTCCTGGCGTACGCCGCGCCACCATGTGCGAATCATTGTTCAACTCGAGTTCAATGGTTTTGACTTGACACAATATCCGGAAATGATTTAACCGGAACATCGGTACAGCAGTAAGTTAACGTTTTATGAGTGACTGGATACACGTCCGGATAATTGTTTACGGCCAGTTTTTGGTTTGGCCAAATCAACTGAAAGCCTTAAATATAATGCTATCTGTGCGCAGTGCACTTACAACACGCTAATTACGTCGTGAATGTCCCCAAATTCAACATCACGAACTGCAAGATCTTTGAGATATTTAAGTTAATCGAATAACTTTTTCTTTCTCAAGTGTGCGTAAGAAATACCGGTAGTCTATTTATATCTTTTGTTGCGCCACGGGGAAAATAATTTTGTGTTTTTCATCCTCCAGAAAAAGATAAGTAATCTATCAACCCACTGGTGAGAATTGGTAAAAGATAGATAGTTAAGTACTGTGCTCCTGAGTACAATAGGTTGATCATTGGCTTGGACGTTAGGGTAGAACAACATAGCACGAACGTTCACTGTTAATTACTTGAAGTAAGTAGTACTACAGGAGTGAAACTGTTAACAAAAGCCACAAACTCAACTCTAAGTACTCATGAATCCTTCACTCACTGGGGTCACGTACGTTTAAAAAACTGTTTGATTCAATATAATTGACCGAGCGCATTATAACGTTAGCAGTAGTAAATCCAGCACAAATGTCATTCAATGTAACTGCTACGTAACCGTGCACCTGCGAATCGATGCGTTGGCCCGTCGTGTGGTGCGTGACCTTGTCGTTGTTGGATCAAATATGGTCCGCAATGGATTTGTGTGGGTCTTGCTCTGGTCATGGCACTTGCACGTCCGCTACTCGTATCTGGTGCGTCCCTTTTTCTATCCATATCAAACATATCAAATAGTTCAGCTACAGTTGGGTTGATGGTCGCAACATATTTAGCAATTGCATGCGAGGGTATCAAGGCCACCAGTGTGAACTACGGAGCTGTCCATTGGGCATTGCTTGGGCGGACTATGCTGTAGCCAATGACTCCGCCCATCAGTTGGCCACATGTTCCAATATGGGATTGTGCGATACGACCACTGGATTGTGTACTTGCAACGCCGGCTTCGAAGGTCCTGCTTGTGAAGTCAGTACGTAGTCTACCTACATATGATTATTGATTCGTCGGCAATGGATGCCTTCATAATGAGCTGCGTAGTGTCGTGTCCTACATGTGTATACGGCCGATGTGTGACAATGCGCGAGGCAGCAATAGCCCAAGACGACTACAATTTCTTTACGGCTACGACTTATGCGTTGTGGGATGCAGACAAAGTCCGGGGGTGTCAATGTAACTATGGCTTTGAAGGCTACGATTGCTCTCTACGGTAATCAACTTTACAATATGTGTTTTCACACACAAACAAGATGGATCGTTTTGTGTTTGGTTGTAGAAAGTGCCCCATTGGCGACGACCCCCGGACTATGGTGCGATCCGATTGCATTCGATTTGAAACGATTGAACGGTTAGTTGGGTATATAGGGTCAACCAGCCGAAGTACAGCAGCTCAGCTGCTTGTGCAACGGATGTACAGGCTCGTTTGCGCTGTCATATCAGGGTTTTTACACCAGCAACATCCTGCCTTCAGCAACGCCAGCTACGCTTGCTGCAGCCCTCAACGTAATGTCGTGTTCAGTATTTTGCTGTTGGTCCCTATTAATTACAAGCGACTAGGCCCTACTTCCAATTCGTGGAGTCTCTGTAACATTGTCTGGTGTTGGCTCATCTATCTGTGACTCGGACGGCGCCGTGACGTCGATCACATTCACGTACAACGGAAGCAAGGTACCGCCGCTTCGAGTGACAAGCATGCTCAGTGGCGGCCCGTCTGAATCGGCCGTTTCAGTTCAATATGGTACTACCGTACTACTTTGTGAATCTATCATTTTATTCTATACAAAACATCATTCATATGGCTTCAAGGTGGCGCCACGGGATTGTACGATGGCGTGCCCGCTACAGTCGTTCGAACAACCCTGGTACTGTCTCACATCAAATCTGATTATGACGTGGCATTGTCTCAGGCATACCCTTGCTCCAGTCGCGGGCAATGCGACAGCTCGTCTGGGTTGTGCACTTGTTTGCCTGGGTATGGGGATGGCGACGGTACGCATCATTTGCGCCAATCAACGACGTGTTCGTTTCAAAATAGACCAATAGGAGCGGGACAAGCTGGAACCATCGCCAATTGCGGATTTGGTTCGGCCAATACGTGTCCGGGTACTACTTACTACACATTGCACCACTGTTTTAATGCTTTCATAAATGTTGGAGGGAGTAGTGGTGAACGCGCTTACGTGCAATAATCAAGGCGTGTGTAACCCTGGCACCCTCTACAAATGCATTTGCAGCGCTGGGTTTACAGGGGTCGACTGCACCTTGAGTATGTACATAACCTCTAATACATAATACTACATTCATCCTCACGTATTTTGACTAGTGATTTGCCCCAGTGGCGTTGCCTGGTTCGACGAAGCCTCGGCCCCAGACACTGCTCACGCCCCTGCCATCTGCTCAAACAAAGGCACTTGCAACTACGCGTCGGGACTGTGTATTTGCCAAGCAGGATTTTCCGGACCCGCATGTGAAATCAGTACGTTCTTTCACCATACATAAACTGTATATATTAATAAAATTAGACCACATATCATTCAAATTCTTTGTCTACTTCGTAGTGGATTGCCCTGGAGGCTTAACTCCGTGCAGCGGCCATGGCACGTGTGCCACCATGCAGCAATTGGCATCCCTATCGAAGGGAAGCAACGGGGTACTTCAAGGTCTTTCCTATGGGAATACTCCCACCCCGTCAACATGGGATTCCAATAAGATTCAAGGGTGTGTGTGCTCCGAGGTAGGATATGTGCGCAATAAACAATTCCACCGACATAAGTGCCATGGATAGAATGTATACATGGGGCCATACGTGGCCGAAATGAACAATTATCAAGCGTACGACTGCTCGGAACGTACGTAACCTTCGGCTTTCATTAGATTATTGTCAAATCTGTTCTAATTTGGGCCTCCCCGTTGAATCGAATGTTAGGCAAATCTAATTTAGAAGAATGTCCTAGCCAATCAATTTACACATTGGGAATTTGAACCAATCATCTATCACTGTAGTTTGGCCCAACCCAAAAGTTGATCTTTGAATTTTTAAACCATATATTGAAAAAGCTTAAAATCTGCAGCGAAAAGGACAATACCCTAACCACATAATTTATGTACTTCTCGATGGTGAACTTGACTGGTTAGGAACGTGTGTCAAAGGATCCGATCCATTCGAACGAAATACCGTCGACGAACAACAAACGGTCACATGTTTTGGGGACGGGGGGACGTTCACTCTGTCGTTTCGGCAATTTACCACCGCCCCAATTGCAACGTCGGCCACGTCGTCCGCCGTGGTCATAGCGCTGCAAGCTCTGCCTTCCGTTCGATCTGTCCAAGTCTCATTTTCGTCTGGAAGTAGTGTGTGCAGTGTCACAGGCGTGGGTAAGGCTCGTACAATACCGTACAAAATGTACTTTTGAAAGAAATTCATGACCAGAAATATCTCGGCTGCGTTAGTGTCCACGGTGCGGTTCACGTATGCGAAAGGCGCGTTGCCGCTTATGACGGCAACCACCACGAGTTTAACTAGATCGAGTGGGGGGGCGCCAGGTATCACTGTGGGAAGAACTGTGACGGGGTCCAAATCAAACGCCGAGTGCTCCCGACGGGGCTTGTGCCGTGAGTTGTCATTAAGAATTGTGGAAAGATTAAATCATATTCAAAACGTTTAGATCGCGATACCGGCCGATGTGCATGCTACGATGGGTTTTTAAGCTCCGATGGCGACGGCAACATTGGCATTCGCGCCGACTGCGGCTATTCCTCCATGGCAAAGTAATCACAGAAGGGTAGTAGATAAAACTCAACAAGACTGTGTACTACGTCGTTGATTTATATGTATTAATAGTACTCGAACAATTCCATCCATTCCATTCCGATTGGATAACCACCAAATGTCATGGTGTTCGGTGGCAAAGCTTCTTAAGCACATCAACGTTGGTGCTTTTCATAGCGGACTCACCATGTAAAGTCGGTTGAGCGAGGCAATGTAGTAGAACTACTCAACTTCAGCTCGGTGTACGAGGCTTCGTCAGCTACCAACGTATGGTGTTCACATTCATGTTCTAGGTCATATCTATATGTGTACAGTAAATTACAGTAGGTACCTTCCGATATACTCTATAAGTAATTCGATTTCAAAATGGACTGGGGCTGCCAATCAAATCGACGAAGTAAAATCGACGCAGTAATTGACGGACCGAAGTAGCCAATGAAATGTTCGAATAAAAATCTTTCGACCAATCAAATTGCAGGTGTGTCCGGTTTCACAACAAGTTCAACCTTTTTCTTCGACGTATCTGACAGGGTTCACTGAGTATATTTAGTTCAAGTAACACGACGACAACACGACGTCTACCGTATTTATCGTTGATCTCCACCATGAAATATACTCGCAATTATAACGATATAAAATTCAATGCTATTACTGTAATAGTATACTAGTAAGCTTAAATAAACGATGCATTGTAAGCTCTTGATCAAACGGTAACTTGTGTCGCCGTAAAAGCGTAGCTGGAGGGAGGTCGGACGACGCAACGACGTACTGATTTAAATAAAATGTTCAAAATTAGTAATTACATGGTGCAAAGGTACGACAAATACGGTAGACGATTTCAGGTAGATTTGACGTCGTTTGCCGAATCTACCGAAAATACCAAATTTTGAAAGCACAATATTGATACAGCATCGTCTGCACAATTCGACCAATAAGTTTGCCTCGGATTTTAGTATTTAAATTATAACGTTGCTATCGTATGTATCATTCCCAACCCCAATACACTGTGTACAGAAGCCATTGGATGTACGACCTTGACGCGACCATTAGATGGTTGTAAATATGAAACCGTCTGTAACCGTCCACAGCAAACCCAAAATCGCTCCAACCTTTCGCATCGTCGATGGTGTCTACAATATGGGTGCTACGCGTATGGACCGCCGTTCAACTCTTGGGCGTTGTCGCTGGGGACATGTGCGATACGTGCAATGGCAACGGCGTATGTGACATCGTCACCCGCATCTGGTACTTCCCTCGATCAATTCTATCCATCATTGCGAACATCCTGTTAAAATACTACAGCCAATGCAAAGCAGGTTACCGGGGGAACCGCTGCGAGTTCAAATCGTGTCCGTCAGGGGCAGCGTGGGCGGACTTTGCAGTCGCCACCGACACGGCGCACAGTCCGGCCGTGTGTTCCAACATGGGGATATGCGACGACGTCACGGGCACATGCATCTGCCAGGCGGGGTTTGAAGGGCCGGCATGTGAAGTCAGTACGTACTTTGGACTCTTCACTCTACTTCAAGTGATGTATAAGGGCAAAGTCGTGGATGTATGCTAATAGCATATAGCATAGTGCTATCATGAGTGGAGAAACCCATTCTTTTCCACTAGTGTCGTGTCCCACTTGTGTGTACGGCCGATGTGTGACAATGCGCGAAGCAGCGGCGACCCAAGATGACTACAATTTCTTTACCGCTACGACCTACTCATTGTGGGATGCCGATAAAGTCCGGGGATGTCAATGTGATTACGGCTTTGAAGGCTACGATTGCTCGCTTCGGTACGACAACATGACAAGCCATTCGAGTGGGTTTTTTTACGTTTAGTTGCCTACTTTTCCTGATGTATTGGAAATTTCACATGCCTCGAACTTCACTGTAGAAAATGCCCAGTGGGGGACGATCCGTTGACTACGGTACATCCCTTGATAAGTGCACACTTACTACAGTAGTATACCAGTACGAGCTCATTCTGGTGTTGTGCACAGGGCCAAGTGCCTCAAGTTCAGCAACTCAGTTGCAAATGCACGGGCTGTACAGGGTCGTTTGTGCTGTCGTTTCAAGGGTTTTATACAGTCAACATTGCGCCCACTGCAACTGCGTCAACCCTTGCGGCAGCCATCAACGTATCTATGAACTCAAATATACTGCTGTCTAGTATTCCAGGAGCACTTATTGGCTAAATCTCCTTGTAGAATTTGGTTCCCCTGCACGGTGTCACAGTTACGCTGTCTGGGGCTGGCTCTACCGTGTGCGATACTGACGGGGCAGTGTCGTCCATCACGTTTACCCATGACGGCGGCAACTGGCCGGCGCTTCAAGTAACGAGCTTGTTTACTGGTGGCACGTCGGATATCTCTGTGCAATCTGGTACTACTACGTTACCATTGTTTTGCTTATAGTGTCGGTGATATCGTACAAGTGTCCGAACTCGTCGTACAGTTAGAAGTTCCAGTGGGATGGTGCAATGTCGATTAGTGAAAAAGCATGCGAATTTTTCTAGACATATGTAATTAATTGACCATAGTGTGATCCAAATCAATTGACCGCTGCGTGATTTTATAACAGGGGGGGCCACCGGTTTGTTCGACGGAGTGCCAGCCACTGTCGTTGGCACTACCGAGGTACTTTTACAATATATATACATGTACTTCGTACGTAGATACTATTATTGGTCGAGTAATTAAATAAACAAGTTAAATTATGTTCAACATCTTGAGATACCGAATGTTTGGTAATATATATTTTTACTACCAACAATATTTAAATTATTTTTTCAATATTTGGTTTCATTTGAGCTTGTGTTTTATATCAACTACTAAGCACATGTGTATACAGTCTGCAGTGTGTTCGAATCGTGGTCGATGTGACTCTGGCACGGGGTTATGCCAATGCTCCCCTGGTTTTAGCAGCAGCAATGGTAATATTATACATCATCCTCCTTTCATCATAGTATCTCGTAACTGTTATCTAATCGGTTTGGCCAAATAATCTAGGAGCGGGAAGTGCCGGCACGATTCCGAATTGCGGTTTTGGCACAACTACCATTTGCCCAAGTATGTTCTTGTGTGTAGTCGACTGCATGCTTATTATTTATTTATTTTTTACGTTAAAATACGTATTTTCTAGCAATGTGTGATTGGCCCAATGAAACGTCGTGCAATTTGCATGATGTTTTCCCTATTTGTTTGAACATTGAATTTCTCAAATTTAATCACGAGGCATTTAAAATAAGTGGAATTAGTATTCAAACCGGACAAATTTGTGTTCAACAAATCGAAAATCTTGTGCATATTACAACGATGATGCCATTGTTTTCACCGATATTTCATGTTATTTTCTGGATTATGACGTTATATTTATCTTTTGTAGCGGCAGCGGCGAATGGCTTGACTTGTAACAACCAGGGCATGTGCAATGCCGGCACCGCGTACAAATGTGTGTGCAACAACGGGTTCACGGGCATCGATTGTGCATTACGTACGTTGTTCAGTTCTTATTATTGGCCGTTTACCCCAAAATTGGACTTTTATGCTCTGAATCGCCAAATCTATCGATCGATGCTTTGTACTAACTTTGTAACCATGCCCAGCGTTACACTAATTTTCATGCACACACATACTAAAACTGGTCCAAGAGTGCATAATTTGAGTGGACACTAGATTCGTGGTGTGGGTTTTGATTGGTCGATGGATTGTCTGCTGATTATTCGGTGCTGCTGCTCTTTTTCGATTGAGTTCGCCAAATTTCGAATCGATTTGACAAGAACTATGTACACTAGTGAGTGAATTCGCCCTAAACGGTGGGATGATACTAGCGCTCAGTTTAGTTGGTTTAGCAGCCATGTAGACGCCGCTGTTTGTCTGTTCTATTATGGCAGTTTTGTGAGCGTGAACCCACGTGTATGACTGACCTTTCATACCATGACGATGAGTAGGTGCCTGTCCCACAGGTGCAGCTTGGTTCGATGGCGCCACTGCCACGAATACAGCGCATGCAGTGGCAACTTGCTCCAACAAGGGCATGTGCAATACTGCCACTGGCATTTGTACGTGCCCATCAGGCTACGCGGGCGCGGCGTGCGAGCTACGTACGTCGCCACCTACCTACTTACGTATTTCAATATAGACCTCGAAATACTATCGAATTCAATTCTATATATTTTATACGAGCACATTGTTTGGTTTTATTCGAAGTTATTAGTGGCCTGTCCTGGTGCGGTCAACGTGTGCAGTGGTCGCGGTCGGTGCAAAACCATGCAACAACTGGCTAACTCAGCCGCGTCCAACGGCAATTTGCTCGGGGTTACCTACGGCAATACCCCCAACCTCGTAGCAACGTGGGACTACAACAAGATTCAAGGCTGTGACTGTGGAGAGGTATGTTGTTTTAATAAGTCGAGTTTTTTATTTGCTTTTAATTTGGACGTTTGTTCGTAGCATTATTACATGGGCCCGTCCATTGGACAGCTGGACGACTTTGTGGCGTACGATTGTTCCGCGCGTACGTTCGACGATTCACAATGCATCTCCTTTCTCGGACACTTTCTACCTCAAAATCTCATATCTGCTGCTGCTGCGACAATTTCCCCTCTTTAAATATATATGTAACTAAGTTATTGTCCTTTTACCCAAAATTTGGACTTGTGTGCAGTTTTGCAAATCTATCGATCGATTTGTTGGGTTGTATTTCGTATGTAAACAGTCGTCCTGTGGTGATTATAATCACATTTAATCAAGTCATACGATAATTATATGTTGATGATGGTCTCTTGCAACCTGATTGGCTAAATATTTGGGCCGATTCTTCTGTACATTTGAATATGTCGGTGCATTCTCGAGGTTGCTCGAGTTTAGAATATACACAACCCAATATATTCTAGTCTCCCACAGATTGAATCGACTTTTATTGGAGCATTCTACCATGTTTGATGTACCTTTGCACCAAGTAATTAAATTTGAACAATTTACTACAGTAGGATTTAAATATTCCACTTGTATAATATCTGTTAGTAGTATGTACAATTGAACCAACTATTCTCTCTTGTGTAGGTTCATGTCCGTTTGGCGCGGACCCGTACGAGACCGGCAAAGTCGACGAACAGCACACTGTCACATGCACGGCGGACGGGGGGTCTTTCACATTGACGTTTCGGCAGTTCACCACCGCCGCGATCTTGTCGACAGCGACGGCGGCGGCTGTCCAAGCGGCCCTGGAGGCGCTGCCCACGGTCTACTCGGCCTTGGTCACGTCGGCCAGCTCCACAGTGTGCTCCAGCAGTGGTGCTGTTTCCACAGTCCAATTCACGTCCACCCAAGGCCCATTGCCGCTCTTGTCGTCCACAGTTGCGAGTCTCACTTTGACTGGGGGGGGCTCCCCTACTGTGACTGTAGCTCGTACCGTTCCTGGCACGAAAGCCAACGTCGAATGTTCCCGTCGTGGCATTTGCAGTACGTTTATGCATTGTATGTATAATATTGCGTGAAGACTATTTGTGGTTATGGTTGGGGGGAATTCATATGTGGCTATTATTAATACTTCGAAGTATTGTCGATTTGATACAAATTTGGGGAGGGGGTCGAGCTACAATCAATCTGATTGGTTGAATTTCGGTTTTGATTGGCTAATAATTTTGAGCTCATCTGAGGTAGCCAATCAAATCGATTTAAATTCCAACGAGAAACCACGCCACAACACGAAATTTCACTCGAAAGCACAATAGTATACGTTAACGTAATTGACTTTTGTCTTACAGTTTTGTAATTTCACAACGGTAGAGATACAAGTCTTGCCTAAACCAATGAGTAGATCGCGACAAGGGCGTGTGTGTATGCTACGACGGATTTTACAGCTCTGACGGCAACGGCAACGTCGGCACGCGGGGGGATTGTGGGTATTTGTCGCCATACTACGACATGTCCAAAGTGATAGCTCGTCCCCTCACCGAGATATGACATTCGACGCGAATAATACATGTGTACTATATACCCCTAGTTACTGTATGCCGTTATCGCTGGTTTTGGAGTGCTTTTAGGTATTAATACTTAGTAGTTTTTAGAAGTAGCATGAGCCAATCAAAATCGATTTAAACTTTTTTTTCATGATTTAGAAAAAGAGGCCTCTTTTTCTTCTTTTGGTATAGTGAGTTGCGTAAAAAATCACAGAAAAACAGGTAAAACAGTAGGTAACTGTATTGTGAATTCGCTATAAACTTCCAAATTCGCCTGGTTTGTCCAACCAATAAATGTACGCCAGAGTTCTGATTGGTTGAATATACTTGTCCTTTCTGCAAGAGCCAATCAAATCCATTCCAAATTGGATTAGCCAATAGCGTCGATTCGTGATTATTCGATTCGACGGGGTCTGGAAATTCGTATCGAATTCACAATACTTGGAACCAATTTTTCATTTGCTAAAATATCTACAGTACACTAGTACTAGTATTACTGTAGCATAATGTATTGTGCTTTGCACCTTTTTTGGCAATTCCAGGGTTAAATTCATTGTTTAAAAATTTCTCAGGCTTAAATAATGTCTAAAGTAACTTGAATAACGGTTGGGTGCGTTGTTTAAAGTTACTTCATCTAATGCGATGATTGGTTGGTTGAAGGTGGTTTTACTGGAACTTTCGTAAAACAAGTTGTTTGCCGTGACGGATTTTACAGCTCTGACGGCAACGGCAACGTCGGCACGCGGGGGGATTGTGGGTATTTGTCGCCATACTACGACATGTCCAAAGTGATAGCTCGTCCCCTCACCGAGATATGACATTCGACGCGAATAATACATGTGTACTATATACCCCTAGTTACTGTATGCCGTTATCGCTGGTTTTGGAGTGCTTTTAGGTATTAATACTTAGTAGTTTTTAGAAGTAGCATGAGCCAATCAAAATCGATTTAAACTTTTTTTTCATGATTTAGAAAAAGAGGCCTCTTTTTCTTCTTTTGGTATAGTGAGTTGCGTAAAAAATCACAGAAAAACAGGTAAAACAGTAGGTAACTGTATTGTGAATTCGCTATAAACTTCCAAATTCGCCTGGTTTGTCCAACCAATAAATGTACGCCAGAGTTCTGATTGGTTGAATATACTTGTCCTTTCTGCAAGAGCCAATCAAATCCATTCCAAATTGGATTAGCCAATAGCGTCGATTCGTGATTATTCGATTCGACGGGGTCTGGAAATTCGTATCGAATTCACAATACTTGGAACCAATTTTTCATTTGCTAAAATATCTACAGTACACTAGTACTAGTATTACTGTAGCATAATGTATTGTGCTTTGCACCTTTTTTGGCAATTCCAGGGTTAAATTCATTGTTTAAAAATTTCTCAGGCTTAAATAATGTCTAAAGTAACTTGAATAACGGTTGGGTGCGTTGTTTAAAGTTACTTCATCTAATGCGATGATTGGTTGGTTGAAGGTGGTTTTACTGGAACTTTCGTAAAACAAGTTGTTTGCCGTTTTCATTCTGGCAAACAACTTGCTTTACGTCAACAGGTCAAGGTGCTTGACGCAATGAAACTGAAGGAGCTATGGCCACATACATAACCTCCCATCCGTGATCACTACAGTACTAACATTATCTACTCCGAGTAATGTATATAACGTTAGGGATATAGTTAGGCTACAGTACATGTAGTCGTCGCTCTGTCCAATGATTCAAAGCTATGCCATACCTACAATTCTTGATCTGGTCTAACCTGAGCACTGTACGTGGAAGGCAAGACGACAACACGATGTATAGTACTCCCATTTCACAGCCTAATACGGTATGCATCGTGATGAACTGGTTGTTGTACGGCGTAAGTTGGCCTGGTGCTGCAACTCGATTAGTTAGCAGCTGAAATAAAGTAAGGGTTGTTTTATTCTGCTGAAATGCAGAACTTATGTTTAGGGTTGTTTTATCTTCAATCGGGCTTATATTATTTTAAACGTCTGGTTGTTTAACGCAGTTAAACAACGGGCAAACTGCATGAAATGCACAATATCTGTAGAAATTGGTAGTATTCCGGATGTATTATCCGGATTATCTCGCGTAGTACATGTACCGGTAGTACTAACTACAATTGTAGTACTCCGGAGTAATACAGAACTATTTAGGATAAGTACGCATAAAAGTACAGTAACTGTTGCTGCAACTCCACATCAACACTAACGTTAACGTTACAGTAGGTACTGCAGTACATGTTGCAAAAGTTAACAGTAAGTAGCATTACAGTGTTCTCGACTGCAGGTACGTACTAGTAGTACTTACTGTAGTAACTTACGTGTACCGGCAGTCGTGCAATACCAGTAATAAGTTAACGTTAATATTCTCTCCATCCACCAGTCATTTTACAACTGACGTGAAAGTTTGTACTCCAACTGCTTCCACGAGACCAAGATGATGGATCGGGGGGGCAAGTGGGCCCAACATTGCTTGACCTGCTATTAGTACTACTACCAGTGCCTCATGACCAGAACATTTCGCCGCATTTGCTTTCGTCCATATCATCCAATCACCTTTTTCGTACAGAAAGTACTACCGGTAACTGTGGTACTTTCTGTACTAACGTTATCCGGATAATCCCAACCATGGATCACCCAAGTTGACCTGGTGGCACATTCGCCTTGGCCACCAATGCCTCCGACGGACGTGGTCGAAGGCGTGCCACTCCTGGTCGTCAAGCCACATGCGGCATCGCTTGACAAGTTAGTTCAGTCCAAGTCGCCCACGTCGACAAACACCAACAACCAAGGCTCTGTCTTTTCGTCGTATGTTGGCATCTTGTGTGCCATGCTGGGAGCCGGCATCATGACGTTGCCGAGCACGATCTCCGCCATGACGCCAGCGTTCGGCGTGGGACTATTGCTCGTGACTGGATTTCTGGCTTTCGCGTCGCTGCGATGCCTCTGTCTCTCCGCGGATGTGACCGGGTTGTACTCGTACGAGCACTTGAGCACCCGGTTCTTTCCCCCGATCCTGCAGTGGATGCTTCGGGTGTTGACGCTAGTGCCTTGCTTTGGGGCGTGCGTCATGTACATGATTGTGGCCATGGACATGTTGCTGCCATTCGTGGGTATCTCTCGTCCGCTGTTGTGTGCTGCCTACGCCGTTCTAGCGTATCCCCTTTGCCTCTTGGACTCGTTTCACGCATTGCAGTACAGCAACACCGTTGTACGTACAACTTATATATATATATATTGTCCTTTTACGCAAAATCTGGACTTTTGGGCGATTGGTCAAATCCATCGATCGATATATTCTTTGTGCTGACTGTTGTATGTCAAAAGTTGTGTGGTGATTGGAAGAATCACACACATTTATTAAGAGCTCTTCTCTCACGAATGAAATTCGAATGATGGTTTCCTGCAATTGGATTGGCTAAATACTTCTGTCGATATTTCTTTTGTAATACCTCGTTCCATTTGGTTGTGATATGTAAACACCAACCATATACTACTTGCTATATTGATGTTTAAATACCACGATGTATCGTTTTGTAGGTGATTTTCTGCATCTTTTACATCACTGGTGTGTTGGTGCACCACGCTTGGGGAAGGCCGTGGCCTGACCAATCGACGCTGCCCATAACAAGTGTGACGTGGGCTGGGCTAGCGTATGCTATTCCCATTCAAACGTTCAGCTTTTGCTGCCACTTCAACTACATGCGCGTGTACGGTGAACTGCAACACAAACCGTTGGTGTCAACTATAACGTGGCTCGTGATTGGGTCGGCGTTCTTGATCTACGGGACGTACTCTGTCGCAGGCTACATTGTCTTTCAAGGGTTGCCTCCCCACGACATCCTCACGGGGTTTCCCATCTCGGATGCGTCCGTGACTGGCGTCAGGCTCGCGCTGGCCATGTGTATGTGGTGTAAGATGCCGCTGGCGTATCAACCGATTCGAGATGTGGCGGAAGTCGTGTGTTTGCCCTATTTGGCACCCTTGACCAAATGGCCGTTTCGCGTGCCGTTCACCGGGGTACATAGCATACACCATGTTTTTTCCCTGGCTTTAACGACGACTTTGATGACGCGCCTATCCTGTTGATGTCCCAACCCTTATTACTGTACACAGGCGTTTTTGCTGATGGCGTACGGTGTCGCAGTTACCGCCGAGGACCTGAGCGTGGTGATGGACTGGATTGGGGCCACCGATGGCATCTTGGTGGCGTTTGTGGTGCCGGGCTTGTTTCTGTATGCTGCGACCAAGGAGTACCAAGACAAGTTACCCTCGTATGCGTCCATGTTGGCGCTGTCCATGGCGTGCGTGGGGCTCGTGCTCACCACGTTTACCGTGTACCGGCTAGTGTTTGAATAAAAAGTGCAGTGCCCTGATCTGAATACATAGTTTATGGAAATAATAATATAAGGTATTCGTCTGCACTCAAAACGCAATTGTCGAGTTTGTACGTTGATGAGATAGTTTTGGGGAATTGCTGGCGTGCGATTGTTTTCAGCTAACTAGTAGTTGTGTTAGTTGCATTATTGTCGGAAACGAGTGTAGTACACGTACTAGTATATGGTCGGTGGTGGTGGTAGCAATACACAACGGGTAGCTAGCTTCCTCGATCGTACTAACGTTAGTACAGGAATGACTTATGGACCAGTGACCTAGTATACGTATACTATTAATAGTACGTTTATTAGATTATTGCAGTACTTACACTCACACAGTCATGAAATTCCCGACCAGAAAATGGCCAATCACAATCATCCATGAACTATGATTGGACAAAATTACGTACTCTTGCATCAAATACTACTTGTAACAGCAACAATGATGTGTTAGTTACATGTATACTAAGTTTGTCTAGTTGGGATCAGCACACCAACCCATCCAGTCATCCTTGTATGTGATATGCCTAATACTCGAAACAATTTCACGTTGTGCACTACTATTAATAGTATGTGGTATTCACTGATGGTGAACTTATGTATAGTACAGGTTACTGTATCGTCGTCCGTTCACCTGGAAATACATGACCAGTCGACCGAAATGTGAGCCCTCGTCAATCGCAAATATGCGGGCAAATACTACATATTGCGTAAACTTACATTTAGCTGCAAATTGCACGGGTGTATACAAGGCAATACAGTATGAGTAACGGTAGTTACAATAATAAATCATGGCGATGAAAGTTACTACGTAGTAGTACTATAATAGTTTATAGGTACAGTAAAGCTACTAGTATATAGGTATATAGGTACAGTAAAGCAACTCCTCAACTTTGTGACCACACTGGATACATACATGTATTCACTGTCACACTGTCAAGTGAAATTATAAACTGAAGGTGGCGTTCCGAACGCGTTTCGAAACACCAATCACTATATGTTATAAATCATAGTTACAGAACAACGTTAGCACAAGTATTCCCAAACTAGGTCCATTGCACGCATACATGTATAAACTACTACACACACCCCGTGGTACATTCAATATGTCGAAAACACCGCACGTCGAAGTAGTACTTCGAATGAAAAACCTGTATGTACAACGATGGATTCACAATTCCGATGTTATTAGTAAATATCGTTATAACACTACTTTGACCTTGTAGTGTTTCGAACACGTTTTAAATACACTGGCCGTGAAAAGCCAGTCAGTCTCCATCATCGTCGCTGGTGCTACTTCCCGCGACGACGGCCTCGGCACAGACCAACCCCCCCACCATTGATCACACATCATGCACGTCGGAGATGAACGTCCTGGGTGCTCCCTCGTCTTCTTCCTGCTCGTGTGTGCGCCGACGATGGCCGTGAAGATGTCGTGGAGCGCGCAATGGGCCGCGCTGGGCCCGATCTTGAACGACATCTTGGAGGATTCGTGGCGGACGCAGCTTGTTCAACTCATCGGACCGATCACTGGCATCATCATCGCGCCGGCCGTCGGTGTACACAGCGACCGTAACACGAGCAAGTACGGCCAACGTCGTCCGTACATCTTTCTCTCAGCGCTGTCGACGATTCTCTGCTGGTGCGTGATGGCGTACCTCAAGGTCTGGTTCGAAGACCAGCCGACCGTGTTCGGCATGCTCACTATCCTCTGCTACGTATGGATGGACGTGACGGTCAACGTCCTTCAAACCGTGACCTTTCTGCTCATTTCCGACGTGGCGGGGCCGCGGCAGGTCACCGGGTCCGCGATCGCACACATGTACGGCGTCCTCGGGCAAATGGTCGTGTCCATTTACATCTCCCTCGCGAAAAACCCCAGGAACGACCCGCAGCCGTTCTTCGCGCTCCTTATCGCGGTCATGTTCGTCACCGTCATGCCGGTCTGTTACTTTGTGCGCGAGAATCCGTGGGAAGCCATGCGCCGCATCGCTCCAGGCTCAACCTTTGACCACCCTGCCATCACGTCCGTGTACCCCGCGCAGACGGTAGGCATCTGGACGGCGTGGTACGTCGGCATCAAGACATTGCCAGGGCCGTTGTTCGTGTACTGGCTCGCCGGCCTGTGTCTGCAATATGGGTACCAAAGCTACAACGGTGTTAAAAGTACGTTTATACTAGGATTTTCGTGTTTAGGTTATGTTTTTTTCTACTTGATCTGTAAGGAAATTCAAGTTTTTTCGAGTCGACTTTTGTGAATATTGTAGATATTATTTGAATCTAGTGGTGGTTCGAGTTCGATGTGTATTGTGCTTTCGAGTGAAATTTCGCCTTGAGGCGTGATTTCTCGTTGGAATTTAAATCGATTTGATTGGCTACTTCAGATGAGCTCAAAATTATTAGCCAATCAAAAACTTCTCAATGAAATTCAACCAATCAGATCGATTGTGGATCGGTTTCGTCGATTCGATTGCACCCCGTCCCCAAATTTGTATCAAATCGACAATATTTAAAAAAATATTTTTTTCACGTGGTTGAATCGCCATGTATCTATATTCTCCACGTTTGAAGCAACACAGGGTCGTCCCTTTCATTCTATGTATTGTGTGTTCGATGCATAATTCCCCCATAATATGTCCAGACCTCCAAAATATGACAGATATGTATATTAATTTTAATAAGGATCGTGTATCAATATATTATTCATGTGAGCCAGGGATATATTCTTCATTCTTCTGTTTATCCAATCATACTGCTTTGGTCGAAATGTTTACAAGCACAATCCAAGATTGTTCCTTTTACCCAATATATATTGGACTTTTGTGCTGATTCTTTGCCAAATCTATCGATCGATTCTTTGTCTTTTGTATGTAAGAATCGTCCAGTACTACACTAATTTCAGTCACACACTAATTCGGTGTTGAATTGTTGTCGAACGGTGGATAATTTGATTGGCTACTTGATTCGTGTTTTGAGTTTTGATTGGTCGATTTTCAATTGTATGTCGATTTGATGGGAGCAGCACCCAAACACTCGAATTTCGAATCGACTTGAATAAACAATCATATTTCGTGTTGTATCTCGTTGTGGGATTGTGTATGGAATGCATACTATTGCTCATGTTCTTTTCAAGTACATATATATATCTAACCACCCCCCCCACTCTTGCTAGCCGTGTTCTTTGGTGAAAACGTGATGAACGGCACACAGTCGTCGTGCCGCCGCGGGTCCTCGTCTTGCACAGCCGCTCAAACCCGCTACCACGACGGCGAAGACTTGTCCACGGGCGCCGCGGACCAGTTTTACAATGCGCTAGCCATGTTTACACTCGTGTTTTTGCCTCTGCTGGTGCAAAAGTTTGGCGTGCGCCGGGTGGTTTTGTTCGCGTTCTTCCCCCACTGCTTCATCTTGGCCATGGCGTTGTATCATCCCCAAGCGTTTGCTGTGATTGTCGTGGGGCTCACCGCATTTGGCCAAATTTGCGTGTTTGTGCTGCAAGTGCCGCTGATTCTGCATGTAGTGGCAAACTTCCGCGATGAAAAGGTGCTCGGGTTGTACCTGGGCGCGTTCAACACAGCCACGTGCCTCGGGCAAATGCTCATGTTTGCCACCGCCGGCCTCGTCAACCGATTCGCCGCCAGTGTCCGCCAAGGCAATGTCGTGGCCATTTTAATTGGCGGCGTGTTTAGTGTGTGTGCGTTGCTGCTTGTATTTTTCAAGTTTCACGTCAAGTTGCACAGTTGGTGAGATGGGAGTGAGAATTATAGGTTTATTTATTCACAAAAAGAACAACATAGTTTCGACGACTCGTTGGTTGGTATGTTTACCAGTCGGTTGTGTTGGTGCGTACGAGCAAAACGCTGTAGTAGCCACGTGGTTCCGTTGTGGGGCTCTGATTGTAGTGCAAATATTAATACTATTATACTAACTGTAAGTTACTTCAGGCCTTATCAAACATATAGTTTGGTATAAATATATAATGCATAATTCTCAATCAAGCGTACATTGGACAATACGATTGCTCAATATATACAATGTAATACAATCGTTCATTTTTGTTTTTGTTCGCCCTCCAAATTTACAATACAATACTCCTAGTATTATTAATAATAGTACACAATACAATACTATTACTATTAGTATTGATAAGGCCTGCTTGGAATTCTACTGTATTAATATCATAACTACAGTACTACAATGACTTACTGTAGCACCGTACTGTAAGATCTGCGTCAACACTCGGGTTTTGAAACGGATAGAACAACACCGAGAGAAGCGCAAGATCATTATCAACATCACTTCAGGATCCCGTGTGATCACATGTTCAAGGCTCGCTTGGTGCAGCGACTTCAAACCACCCGCGGTCCGCTACGGCTGCCCAACGACGTGGACTTGACCAGCCCTGGCTGCAGTCGCTGCCGCCGCAGTGGAGGCAGCACCGAAGACAGCAGCAAAACCTCAGGATCGCTGCGCTACCAATACGTGGTGGCCCACCCATCGTGGAAACGGCTACGGGCTGTGGTCGGTGGCAGAAGGGTGCCGTTCTTCGACTCGCAGCTCCAGCACATTCGTCATCGCCGCAACCGCCTCTTCCTCGACAACGGCTTGAGCCCAATTGTCGAAGAAATGATGTACGAGTGCGAAGCCTGTCATTCGAATGCGTTCAGCAGCCTCGAGCATACCAAGCATATCACCCTGACTCGGTCAAAGGGCAATGTCCAGCTCCACCTTCGTTGGGCGACAAAACCACAGTGTGCCGCTCTTGTATGTTAGCCAACTTTTGGAGGTGGCATGAGTGGTCAATCATGTTCAATCTCGCATTCGATCACGACGTAGCTACAGTAACCTGTAGCCAATGATACATTGAAGCACGCTTCGTATGTGCAATGGATGAAGGTTTCTAGATTGAACCGTGAAACCCTGACATATTGCTTTGGCTTTTACGATGGGGTTCGGGGTTACGTGCGGGAAATAAATTTCAATTCATTAATATTTCCGATTCGTAAAACCGAGGACAAACCTCGCCGCGATATTCTATGAAAGGACCAAGAAAAAAGAAGAAAAAAAAGAAGAAAGAATGCAGCCAATCAGAGAAGCGTAATCTCAGATTGACCAATGGGAGCGATTCGTATCGGTTTGGACGATTGGACGGGGTCCAGAATATTCGTTACCACCTCAATACTACAGTAATATTAATACACCTCGAAGTATTAATAACTGACATACTATTAATACAGTATTATTAATAGTAGAATTAATTTCTGTTTTACAGGTAAATAGTGTACGGTAAGATGCACAGTATTTATCGTCAACGTAGTGTGATGGGCCATTCGCTGACTGAAGTGGCGGCGACGGACCTGTATGAACGCGTGATCGCCGAGTTCGGATCGAACCGGCCTCAAGACCAAGTGGACCGCACACTACGACACAAACCACCCGAGTACTTTGACGTGATAGCTCAGGTAGGAACTCTCTCTTGACTCCCCGAGTGTCTTCCAAGCAAACACACATGAGCATGACGACGCAGTTGTAGCGACTTCGTAAGCGTCTGGCGCTGTACACTGGCGTCACCACCGTCGACGAATCATCCTCATTACCACTTGATCCTGAGGACGCATCGACCTCTCCATCTGCCGACACTCAAGCAACAGCCTCCGCCGCACCATTCCCGTCAACGAATCACCCTGATGACAGCAACGTCCCACAGATGCCACTACAACTGCCATCTCTGTTGCTCATTCCCAACCGCCAGCACCCTCCATTTCACGTCGACTTGAACGCTATCGGCCGCCCTGCCCCGACAATGGTACTGACACCGAATACAATATGCATGTTGCATGATGAGGCAAGGAATGCTTAGGCCAATCCACATCAACCTTCCACCGACACTACCGGTATGCTGCCATCCTTATGGGACAGGTCCAAAGCTCCCAGACGGGGTCGGCCCAAGGTAGCAGAATCTGACCTCGCTTATACTTCGAATCAACTTTCGTCATATCGTGTTGATGTGTTGTTATCCAGGGAAGGACCGCGGCGCCTCCATCGTCCGCAAGCGAACCCAGTATGGCGATACTAGTACCTCCTCCTACTAGTACTACTACTAGTAGCAGTATCCCACCCCCCCGCGGCGGCCTCGTTGGAGTGTACGCGACGACCAAATTCACCCCGCGAACATGCAAACGGCAGTTTGCCCTTGTGGCAGCCCTTGTGCGTCTGTACGAACCTTGGCGTCCGACCTCGGAATGGACGACTAGTAGTACTACTACTCCTCCTAGTACCCCACACGAGATGTCGTCTGCGACGATGGTCATGGTGGCTATGAATAACGATACCCCCGAATGGGCTGTGGCTACCATCGTTCCAGACACCGATGATGACCAACAAGGTGGTGGGGTGCTGGTGCAACTGGTAGAGTCAGGGACTCAATCTCGAGTGCCACGTCATCACATATTTGTGGGCGTCGATCACTTTGTCGCATTTTCGGGCACGGCCGTGGTGCAAATCAAGGAACAATCTGCTGCTGCAGGTGTACAGGAGGCGATTGTATGACGTCAACCCAGAGGACCGCGACCAGATAGAAACTTTAAGAACTAGTTACTTTGGTCATATTTATTGGGCATATCGAGGGCTAATTAGGAATGAGGCCATTTGCAAGTAAACAAGGTGATATCATTAGTTGCATTTTGTGCAAAGAATCATACATCAAACCAACCACGTTTGGTTTTATAGTGTCGATTAGGTTACTATTGTCCAGTCGATTCGAAATTAAAGTCGGATGCCCACAATCGTAGGAGCAGCTCAGTAATCAAGTAGCCAATCAAATCCACTCTTCGACCAATTGAACATCGAATTAGTGTGCGACTGAAATTAGTGTGACATTGGATGATTCTGAAATGGCCCAGTATTACTGTAATAATAGTATGCTACGCTATTGTCGATTTGATACAAATTTGGGGAGGGGGTGCAATCGAACTCGACCAAACTGATCCACAATCGATCTGATTGGTTGAAATTCCTTGAGAAGAGTTTGATTGGCTAATAATTTTGAGCTCAGCTGAAGTAGCCAATCAAATCGATTTAAATTCCAACGACAAAACCACTCCACAACACAATGAAATTTCACTAAAAAGCACAATACCTACGGTAGTGTTTTCTAAGAGTGTCCCCAGAATCACACTAATTCCAACCCAAGGTCATCGCTGCACATGATTGCTCCGTCCAATATCTCGTTTCGCTCCTGATTCATCTATCGACTCATCTATCACCCCATTCATCTATTTCGCTGGTATTTCAATTCCACGTTATGATTACGCCTTGTCAAACTGAGTTGACCCGAGCGTGAACCCGTCGTTCCCGCCTTTCGCCAGCGCTTCGCCCAGCGCCGTGCCCACCAAGTGCGTGTTTGTGATCTTAATATCGCGCTGCTTACGCTGTCGCATGACTTTTTTGTTGCCTTTGCCGCCGTGCACCTGTTTCAAATGTCATCACCACCACAAGAAAGATATGGGCAGTACTTTGCGCATCTTCGACCGATGCATGTTGGCTTCGTGCATGTCTCGCGTCATAAGGCCACATTGGAGTAACTTGCGCTCCAATGACAAGCGATCCGCGGGCCAGTCGCGCAGCGTATCGCGCCACAGCTGGCGCACGTCGTTCGTACAGCCTATACAGCCAAATATCCAATATGAACGTCATGGCATTGCACATATTTATACTATGTGCAATTGTTTATTTACACCCAAATTGGCCAATGTTAACGGAGTGTGGACAGTGTCAATCATCGAGTAAAGCAGTTTGATTCGCTATAAATAATATAAACGAAGCCTTTTCATTGGCTCAAAAGAACGCGATGATAAACGGCAATCGTCCAGATACCTCTTATATTGAATATTTTATTCAATTTCGCAGGTTCGACGATTGTTGAACGGTTTCATTCAACGAGATGGTTTAGCTTATAAGACGAAGATTTTCATAAGCCATGACGATGTTGATACTTCAGAACACGATGACGATACTCCAAATACATGAGATTTCCGAATAGATGAAATATAAAATAGATGAGCAATATTGTGCTTTCGAGTGCATTTTCGTGGTGTGGTGTGGTTTCTGGTTGGAATTTAAATCGATTCGATTGGCTACTTCAGATGAGCTCAAAATTATTAGCCAATCAAAACCTTTTCAATGAAATTCAACCAATCAGATCGATTGTGGATCGGTTTGGTCGGCGCGATTCGATTGCACCCCCTCCCCAAATTTGTATCAAATAGACAATATATGGTGTACCATGTTTCAAGAGGGGTACAGTGAGCCCACGTCCGGGTTTGGGGGCGGCGTCCCAGCGCTGGAGAAGCGGGATGTTGCCGCGGGGGTCTGGGAAGGCCGTGTCCAGTGGCACGTGGCCGCTGTCAAAGTTCAAATGGTACCTAATAATATAAATGAAATGATCAATAATAAATGATTCACATCAGGAATAGATGAATGTACCGCGTCTTCTTTGACGCCGAGAGGTTCAAATCGCGCACAGACGACACGCTCTTGGACGTCATGCCCGCCATGAACGTCTGCGGCTGGCTACTGCCCCCGCCAGTCTAAACATAGGTCACATTTAGTGACCCCAGGCACACTTAGTGACACTCCCATCATGTCCAACCGACCAATCAAAAGCCAGGACACTTTCAACATGGCCAATAATCTGTACAAAACACATCGATAAGTGGATTTTTGGCGATGCAGTATAAATATATCTTCAAATGTTGGCTTGAAAGCACAATACTTGTATGGATATATATATATATATATATGTATGCACAACTTATCACAAGTCCAGTCCATGGGGGAATTCGAGTACTAATAATATGTCCATATGTACGAAGTATGTCCTTGATCATTCTGGCCTTCCGTACAAGCATCCACATATAGTATGATATACTGATATAGAAATAACCTTATGTAGTGCACCAAACGATTCGGAGTGTATACATTGAATACCATAATGTAGTGCATTTGGAGGTACCTTTGGCGCCGCCGACACGCGAAACCACTGGTCGCCGACTTTGATGGCGTCGCCGCGTCGAATCTCACTCGTGATGTCTTCTTTCGTGGCCACAATGAAGCATCCTAGGTACAACGGCGTGTCTTTAACAGATGCACAAGAAATTGCTCGTTGTACCATGTTCCACCAGCCCCGACCCCGACAGCTCGACGAGAAACTGACCGCCGCGCGGGTAGTACACGTCGTTGCCGTCCTCGGTGTTGCGGATGCAAATGACTGTCCCGATGCGCGTGAGATCGCGGAGGTCGTCCTCGACGTTCTTGTAGCAATCCTTGAGGTCTCGGAATGGAATCCCTTCCGGGGACTGGGGAAACGACGACGACGACGTAATACGACATGGTTATCAGTCGATGGCGAGAGATAGATCGTACCCGATTGAGCTGGCGAAGGACGTCGGCGCGGGTCTTGATGTCGAACTTGGCCTTGTATGCAAACTTGTCGCCTTCAATGCGGACCTTGGGGTTGTTGCGCACGCGTTCGCACACCTCGTACTCACCAGGCGACGCGAGATCCTACGAGGAAGGACACCAGTGGCATCAAGGTGAGTCGCATGATGGAGAAGGGAAAACGATGCATACAATGCCCGTCTTTTGATAGATCTGAGGGACGGTGACCGCGGCATGGTTGGCAATCGAGTTCAAGTACTCGAGGACCTTCTGTAGTCGCCCAACCACGGTCTCCGGGACGTCTACGCGATCGCATGAGTATGAAGAAGAAGGTACGCTTATGTTCATGTACCGACCCTTTGGGGCGACCTCGGACACCACGAGCTCCGTGGACTCGACTGCCTTGGGCTCAGGGATGGCCTTGTTGTACGCCAGGGACTTCCACATCGAGGTGCAAATGGAAAATTGTAGGGAATGTACGAATGAACCAATCGATCCAATTGGCTAATAAAGATCTAAAATAGTATAAGTTTTAGCCAATCATATATATCCATGTCATTCAATTGAAATGGTCAATTCTCAAATTTACACTGTTAATTCACGAGATAAATTCTGCACTGTCGGGTTGATGTAAACCCTATACTGTCCTGGACTTTTTCTTATTTTAAATAAACCTTTATTTTTTATATATATAAAAATATTTTATTAAACTTTGCTTTAAAATAAAAAATAAAACCAAAAAAAAAATACAAAAATTAATGAAAAAAATTATTTTAGAATAATTCATCAGGAATTCGATTTTTTCCTAAAATATTTCCATCTTTTAAAAACCTTTCGAAGAATTTTAAACTATAGATGGTATTAATATCTGAGGCGAACTATAAATGGACCGACTGTGTGTCGTGGGCTCATAGTTATTTGTTTGAGTTTACAGTTAGAATTTGACGGTGAAGGTGATGGCCTTCGGCAAGTATACTATCGCTGGAAGTTCAGTAATTGATACGCAACGTCACTAAGCTACTAAGTAGTACAAGTGCATGATAATAATATATACCAAGTGAAATATTATATATTGTTAGAACAGACGAAGGAGCTAACCCAAAGCAAACTGGCTGTGTCCTCCAGGAGGTCTCGATACCCTGGTGCTACTGTGGCCGTAGCTGCCAGTGCCGCTCCATTGCAAGGTCAAGGATGGTTTCGAAGGCGATGGTGCGGCACTCGATGGCATGTGATGGTAAATGTCCGGACGATGCGGTTGCTGTTGTTGATGCTGTGGGGCATAACTGGTTGGCTGGCGCTGGTTGTTGTCCGTGTAGTTGTAGCTCAGTTCGTCCTACAAGTATACACATACCGGTAGGCCATGAGTACATATACTACTTCCCCATTGGGTTCTAGAAGATTTATATATATTGTGCTTTTCAGTTAAATTTGCCTATTTTGGGGGATCGATGAAATCGCCAACTAATTGAGCAAAGGAGTATGATTGGCTACAAAGAATGAAGGTTGTAACTTGGCAATTTGTTTGGCTAAAAGTAGTATTGCAGTCACAAATATACCTCTTCAAACTTAGTTCTTTTTTATGAAATTTCGAAGGTCCAGCGATTATTCGGCGGTTCATTCAATCAACCGCCAGAGGAAATTTTGAGTAGATGACACAATCCTGTACATATATTGATAAATGGAGAGTACTACCTGCGAGGTCAGCATCGCCATAGCACCAGCCGATCCAAGTGTACTACGCGAGGAGTGAGGGCGCTGAGAGGACGCTTGCTGGACGTTTTCAGAGGGCATTGCGGCCTCGTAATGCTGGGGCTCGAAATTATTGTTGTAGCAGGCACCCCCTTCAAATCTACAATGCACCACCAAATCAAATGTATTTTATCAAATACAAAAAATAGCGTGTATTACTTGTTCCATAGTGGTGGAGGCTGATGTGCAGCATAGCCGCCACTGTTGCAATGTTGAGGTTGCTGTTGCCATTGCGGCTGCTGATAGGTAGCGGGGGCCATGGGTTGAGTGGGCTGATGATATTGGGCTGTCTGGGGAAGGGGCTGATGCCCATACAAATTGCCACCATGGTTAGGGGGCTCCGTGAAACTAACCTACAGGTCACATGCATACTATATACTTCGAAGTAAAACCTAAGATGTATTCATACGGGGGACTTCATTCGGGGAACTTCGTAGGATTGGCCCCCACCAAGGCACCCTTGTCCCCTTCGCCTACGATTATCACAACATGAATCAACGAATGAGTACGTTGATCAACAGTACTTGTTGGAGCCCCCCATGGAGTGAAACCCCCCCGAGGTCGAAGGTGGGGGGGGCACTGGATTCGAAGTACTCGCGGGGTTGATATCGTACGGGTTGTGGTACTGGCCTTGGCCTTCGTGGGTAAATGGGCTGAACGAGCTGGCCCCCCCACCGAAACTCCGTCCCCGGGTTTCGTTTTGCGCCGCACTAAATATCACAAAAGATGCTCACGCACGGCGTATGTCGATGGAAATGTACCCTGAAGGGCCCGCTTGCAGCGTTGGGGCTGTGCCAAACATGTTGGATCTACAAAGATATGTTGGGTCGTCTCAGCCTTATGCCATAGGGTATGAGGGATACATACTGACGGGGCTGGCCATAAGGCATCGATGTGAAACCTCCTCGACTGTCCACAGGTGTAAGCTGTCGTAGACATAGAAGGTTGCTCGTCGCAGTACACTACATACCCTGCCATGGGGGTTGCGCTTCGAAATACACACCAGGATTTACCAAGTAAAACAAAGTGTATTTATAGCCTGAATCGACAAACTATCCAAACAACTATCAACAATACGGCATTAACTTGATATAATTATTTCATTAATCGAGAGAAGAACTTGGACGGCGAAGTTATGGTCCTACTTTCTACCCCCCAATGTGACCAAGAGAGCCCCTCCAAGTAGAAGGGGGGTGGCCACTAACGACAACACATCCGGGGGGCCTTGGACATTGGCAAAATAGCCCAAAAATGAACCAAGCAGGGGCTCCCATAGCACGGCCACGCCGACTACGAGGGGGCTGACATACTTGACGGCTAAATTCATCAACGTGTGTCCTGCGATGCCGGAGACTGCAGCGGCCCCCAATGCATAGCCCGCTCGATGGGTGTCCCCAAGAAAACCGAAAAGGGCAGTTAAGCCAACGGTAGACACCGTTGTATTTGACTCGGTGGCCAACGAAGCTACGGCAAGACTGACTGCTGCGACGAACGTGACGGGGAAGGCATACAGGAACAGCGGCATGAACTGCCGACAGGACGCCCCAACCTCCAAATACGGAATGATCGCAAAGGCGCCAAGCAGAGCGGCTAAATTTCCTGCCACCGTGGTCACGGCCGTGGAACTGGACGTTCCAGCGGTGTCCGGTGCCATAAGCAACAACACCAGCACACCGAAAAAGCCACACAACGCCCCCAATGCCTCCAACCACGTTGGAGCATGTGGATTTAGGGGACAGAATACTAACCGCAACCACGATTGTGCTGTGCTATCCGACTCATTTGGGTCAGACTCTTGTGGTGCAGCCACGTACGAATCCCCGTCGTTCGTGTTGTTCTGTGGTGGCATGGTGGCCTGTGGTGGTGCCACGTACGCTGGAGAAGTGAATCGACGGTACAGCCAGCGCAAGGTTTGGATTGCGACGAGTAGTAGAGGCACCGAACTGACGAGGAGAAGTGAATCCAGCAGTGTCGTGCGTGCAATGCTCCACCCCCAACTGCCAAAATGGATGGCCAGGGCAACGCCAGACGTGACCAAGAGCAACCACGCCCGTCGAAATCGAGACCAAAATGCATCGTCGAAGTTGACCGTGCGAAGTTCGTATACCACACCAACTAATTGCAAGCCCGACGTGAGTGTCAGCCGCCAGCAGGCCATCATCAACGGCGGAGTGCCAAATGTCCCGAGCAATGCAAACCAGATCCCGCCAGATGACATCGCGAGCACGGCCACTGCAAGGACGAGGTACGACCACCGAGGCGGGGCTGGACCAGTTTCCGCTTTGATGTCATGTTCACGGACAGTTGGCTGCAGCTCCTCCTGGATATGGAACCCCTCTGCAGGACAGTCCATCTTGTGCACCTTTTCAAGGATTCTGAAGTCGAAACGTCGCGTCGCAGTTGGATAGTATCAACATAGAGAGGTACATGTCGATTTGAATTGATTTTACAGGCTCTACTAGTATTAATATCTCCTAATTAACACACTAAATTAGGACTTGACACTCGCAATATCCGAAATGAACGTGGCAGGTGCAGCACCATGCCCATCATCCGGTTGTTAGCCGGATGACTAGTCGACACCTCCTCTCGAATACTGTATACCAAGCTGTCCTCTCGACAATACAGTACCATGATGTTCTCTCGACGATACATTGTGTCGTCCACTGAGTTGAACGACAACCTGTGTACACCAACCAAACAATGGTTGGTTGCGCATAGCTTAGTGATAGCGTAGGAGTTTTAACGCTATCAATTCATTCTTGATTCTACCATCTCCTGCGCCTTCCTCTGCGCACGCTCACATCGGTACTGTAGTCGACTCTTGACTCTTTTACATACCGATAGCTATACATCCTCATGACGACACTCAGCGCTACTAGCTCCACTCCCATGTGGGCATACGCCATCCTCGTCGTCGCAGTTGTGTGCATGTCGTCAGGTGGTGTGTGGTTTGCTCTGTTGACGGAAACCCCGCCGTTGATGCAAGCGTGTTGGCGGCTCCTGCTCACGGTCGCGCTGCAAGCCATGGGGTTTGCCCACGAGTGGCTAACGAACCCGATTCTACAGGATCCAGCGTTCTGGGCTCGACTCCGTCGCAATGGCGGGCTAGTGGTCACGATTGGCCTGGCGCTGGGCGTTCACTTTGGGGCGTGGGGGTGGAGTGTCGCGCATACGTCGCTGCTAGACTCACTCTTGTTGGTTTGCTCGACGCCGTTGTTGTTGGTCGTGATTTTGTCGTTGCGGTGGCTCTATCGTCGTGTGGTCGGTGGCACTCCAGTCGTACCTCGTCCCCCCCACGCTGTTTGTGAATCCCAGTCTTCGTTGTTAACGACAAGTGCAACCTCCCACGACGTCGACCCGTCGTGGTTTCGTACAGTCATTTGCCCGTTTCCGGCCTTAGCTCCTACTGCGTTGGAAGTTGTAGGGGCGGTCGTGGGATTTTCAGGTGTCGTGCTCCTCTTGACGACCGCTAGCTCGGACCAACATGATGTCCATCCAGTCACACTGGCAGGAAATGCCGCCGCCTTGCTAGGGGCGCTGGCCATCCTTGTCTATCTTGAAGGGGGGTCCAGCTGTCGCAAGTGGATGCCGTTGTTTGCGTACGCCCTGCCCGTGACCGCCATAGCCGCTTTTGAGCTGGCTATTGCGTCCTTGGTGCTCGAGCCCTCCACGACCCTTCTTGGGGTTGGCCCCACCGCGTTATTTGGGTTTTTGGGCGATGGCCGGCGGTTCGGAGTTGCGTTTGGCGCGGCCGCGGTCTCAGGCATGCTGGGCCACACATGTGCCAACTTGGCTGTGAAATATGTGAGCCCGTTGCTCATTTCCGTCGCAGTGTTGTGGGAACCCCTGCTCGGGGGGTGTATCGGCTACCTCGTGGGCGTCCAAGCGCCGCCGGACGTGACGGCTGTGGTCGCCGCACCGCTTTTGCTCGGTGGGGCCTTCTTGGTCACGCTGGGCGCCCGACAAACTGGCCCCGACCATGTCGTGCTGACCAAGCAGTGCGACACGGACGATGAAGCTGAAGGCGAGCGCCGAGGCATTCTCTAAGTGCTGCAATCTGCAAATTTGTATCGAAGGATATGAATTGACGAAAAGGCAATAGACATCATAAAATTCGTATGCGTTATAGGATGGATAAATTAAATATTTACGACAGAAATCTGCAGAGTACCTTTCTTTGTTCATACCTCGAAGTATTACAGTGTAACTTGCAAACCACAACTTGTTTATGGCCGTAGTGTAGCCAGGATTGTAGTATTCACCAGGCCATCGCAATGTGAGCGTTGTACCGTGTAGGGTAGCCGAATAAAGATGATAGTTTGACGGTACTGTGCCTTGCAAAGCTTGGCCTACTCGTTCGGAGAGGTAAGGTATACATATAGATTACATTCCTTTGCTGGGTCCTACATTGATCTCAAAATCGTCCCATCATTTTACACCATTGGTTATACTGGGGTCATTAACACGATATAACGAACAGTGCAAAAACTCTAAATTTAGTTACTTTTGCATTTGTGATGCTACGAACCAAAGCTACGACCCCGCCTGCGTCGTCGACGGCTCGGGTAAGTCGTACGTCGAGTTTACCTTCGAACAACCAAACAGCGGCTGCAGTTGTTGACAAGAAGAAGCCGTTGTCGGCTCCACGAGATGGCAGCCGCGCTAGACAATGCATCTCCCGCACGGATAAGGACATGTCGTCCCCCACTGGCGTGACGGTTGGCTTGAAAAAGGGAAGCAGTGCTGCTGCCACCGCATCTGGGCCCTTGGCCCGAGGAAGCAAGCAAACTCTGCCAGGGAACAATCAGCTCGAAAAGACCACCCGTAAGTGTAGTTCTGGAACAACTCGATAGAGGTTAAGGGTACGTTATAGCAACGGCCAAGAAGTTGCACGGGATGCCGTCGGCGGCCTTGAACAAGCACAAACAAGCTGACCCGTGGAGCTCCAAGAAGAAATCCAAAACGAACTTTGGCTCGTCGTACCAAGCGGGCAACATTCCTTGCCGGTATGTATATTACCCAGAATCATGCGTTATTTTGGCTCTACTTGCGCGGGATACACATCCCAATCGCCTGTTATGGTTGTTATAGCATCAACCATGGTGGCATCAAGAACAGCCTGCAGTGGAACACGCCCCCCGAAGAACTAGATTACAACCCTCTATTGGTCACATGTTGCGAAGGGTTTCTCGAAACCGACCACCCGTTTGTGTTTCTTGCGCGACAAGGCTTTCAAGATCTCATGGGGGCCAACGTACGTATGCTATATAACCTACGCGGCCGTTGCCATGAATCAAGCTCACAAGTCCACGTTATAAGTATATAAATGTCACCATTATATTAGGGAGCCGACGACAAAGTTCGCCCGCTCCTGGGCATGCTGATTCCCCCAATCCGTGGGGCCCTCATGTCTTCAGACGACGAAGTTATCACGGTGGCCCTCCAAGCAATTCAGTAAGTCAAGTTATGAGTAGATATCTCATGCGACAACCATCTTGTATGTCGATTCCACTAGTCACGGGGTGATATTTCTGCAAAACATAGATCCGTATCGGAAGCGGTGGGGGCAGACATGAACGTGCATTTGGCAAAGCTAATCCAACAAGTGCATCGCAAGTACACGAATAAGGCGTTGAAGGGACCGATTGACGCGACGTTGGCGGCTTTGGAGCGGAACGGGGGTACGTTGGACGACTGGTCATGTGTTTTCAGTCTGACGAGAATGTAGGCACCGAAGCGTTGCGCATCATCCGCACCAAAATACCTACCTATGTGTCATTAGTGTAGCTCAACACATCGTGTTATGCCTCCCAAGATTCCTTCACCACGTTGGACACAACACCATCAAGGCACATGATAGGTTTGACAGGCCATAGTAAACATGTACCATTTTGAAAGTTTCAATGTCCTGGCTACAAGTAGGAAGGCATAAATCGCTATCAACCTGGCATTCAATATAGATGGGCGGGAGGGTGACGCCCCTGTGTTCGATTTTAAACAGGGCAAATAAACTAGGCAGTGTAAACAAGGCATATCGCCCACGTAGCACTCTGGATCAAACGTCCTCAGGTTTCGTTTTACTCATGCACTGGCAGTACCTTTTCGTAGCCTATAGTGTTGCGGCCATGATATCATTTGTTGTCGCATTTGAGTTGCCCGAATGTGCTCCCACTTGTCGCGAGGGCGGGACCACTGGCTGCTACGGATGTCCCGATTGGGGCTACGCCATGGACCCGTTCGCAGTTGGCCTTGCAGACGGCACGGTGATCCTCCCCACAGCCAGTCGGGAAGCTGCTCCTGTCGTCGCGAAAAGTGACGGTGGCCTCGGGGGGGCGGGGACGGACGGCGGCATTTTGACGAAAGCAACAACTGGAGACTCGAATACACGACCAAACGTTATCCCCAGCGACGGAAACATCCCACTTCCAGCTCGAACACTCGTGGTGGTTATTCTTGTCATAGTGCTGGGCCACATGCTCGGTTAGGATGCGTGCAAAAACGCAGCGATAATCAAATAATCAAATCTTGTTTTCGATGAATCAGGTAGCCCCAAACCTCAGCTTGGTTACGGTATGGTCACGGGGTTTGAAATTAATAGAGACTTCTTGGATCGAAGAAGATGCCGTACCAAACCAGCTTAACCAACACGCTGTAGCAACTACTATATAAAACATCAAAATGTATTGATCGATGAGCACAAGCAGCACACTATGTGCTTTGGAATGGATCCAACTATTACGCGAACGTCAAAAATGCCGTCAGCGTCACCACAGTCGCGGCCACCGTGACTCCAATCGCACCCGCTCCACTGCGCATCGCGGTCGTGTGGGGGCTTGAAGTAGTGGGGTGGCTGGCGTTTGATTTCGGGGGGCTTGTGGTTGCATTTGAGCTCAAAAGGCCCACTTGGTTAGCCCTGTGCACTCCAGTGGTCGAATCTTTCGGGCTTTCCGGCGTCCCGGGAGTTTCGAACGTTTGGTCGAACCCGTCGGGGCTCGGAGTCGACGCCGCGGGGGTGGGCAGATGGTCGCCCTCGTCAACAGAAGTGCTAGCCACATTCACGCGGATAAGAATCTCGCGATTGCCTTGATCAGGCACGCCAACGTTGTATTCGGCCAAACGGTTGCTGGAGGGAACGGCGCCCAAGGAATGTGCTATGGCTCCGACAGCAGCAAGAATCAAAGCGGGAGAAGTAAACTTCATCGTGCAAATATAACACTGAATGTCTGAACGCAAGTTCACTCGACCGTTAACCTTGCTTTTTCGGCCTGGGAAGGGGAAATGGGGATTGGGCCGTTAGAAGTCGATTGCATTTTCGTAATATACAAGTCGAATTTCGAATTAATACAGCACAGTACTATTAATCGTCCGTGTTAGCTACTATCTTGTCATCATTGCGGCTAGTTGAACTCACGATGCTCATGTATATTGATAAAATACCACTGCCCAGTGTGGCTTCAAAGTGACATTTCGCTGTAAAGTTAAAATCACTCAGCGGGCACTTAATCGCATCGCCCGCGTACTACCTACATCGCGCCCATCACTGAAAACCGTCTGCAAGAGCTTGGTTGGCCAATTGTTCACAGGATTTCACACCCCTCCCTTCGTCAAGATCAAGCTTGGAGTATGCATGTTGATGTATACATATTTAACTTTATGCTGCACTAGAACCTGCAGAGAGGTCGACGTCTAATACTATACTACACCGTTGCCATTCCAAGCGCGACTACAAGCACAAACACTGCTGTTGCCGCGCCAGTTACCGTCGACGCACCACTGCGCACGGCCGTCGTTGCTGGCGCCGCCGTCGCTAGAGTCGTGGCTGGGGCCGTCGTGGTACCGTTGGTGGTATTGATTTTGGGGGGAACAGTCGAGACTGTGACGTTGATCTCGAGTTCTTGGTTACCGCCATTTCCCATTCCGTTGCCCATTCCGTTACCAATTCCATTGCCCATTCCGTTGCCATTGGACATTGGACCTGACGAAGGACCTCCCCCCATTGCACCGGAGATGTCACCGCCTTGGCCATTGTTGCCCATCATCATGTTGCCCATGCTGCCAGGTTGGGCCCCCATCATCATG